AATTTTTCCTTTGTTAAATTTTTTGTACAGTCCTGGGGCTTGAACTTAGGGCTTGGTTGCTGCCCTTGAGCTTCTTCTCTCAAGCTAGTAGCACTTTACTTCTTACCTGAGCCACAGTTCCACTTCCAGCTTTTTTGGTAGTTAACTGGAAATAAGAGTCTCACTGATGCCAGGTGCCAATGGCTTATGCTTGTAAGCCTAGCTACTCAGGAGGCTAAGATCTCTAGGACTGCAGTTTGAAGTCAGTCTGGGCACAAAAGTCCCTGTGAGACTCTTATCTCCAATTAACCAGTCAAAAACTTGAAGTAGAGTTGTGGCTAAAAGTGGTAGAGCGCTAGTCCTGAGCAAAAGAGCTCAGGAACAGCACCCAGGCGTTAAGCCCCATGACTGACACACACACAAAAAAAATCTCACAAACTTTCCTGCTGGGATTGATTTCCAACAGCGATCCTCAAGTCTCAGCCTCCTAAGTAGCAAGGATTACAGGCACCTGGCTTGAAAAGGATATTTTGTAGGTCAGCACATCATATTTATAGCCCTCGTAGAGCTTCACCAATATTATCATATTTTTTTTCTTTAGTTTTTGTTGTTGTTGGTGGTGGTCATGGGGTTTGAGCTCAGGGCCTGGATGCTGTCCCTAAGTGTTCTTTAACTCAATGCTAGTGCTCTACCACTTTGAACTACAGCTCCACCTCGTTTTTGAGTGATTAATTGGAGATTAGAGTCTCATGGGGACTTTTCTGCCCAGGCTGGCTTTGAACCATGATCCTCAGATCTCAGCCTTCTAATTAGCTAGGATTACAGGTGTGAGCCTCTGGTGCCTGGCTCATCCTATTACTTTCTCTGAAAACTTCTTTAGGAAAAAATGTTTAACTTTATTCCTTGTCAGGTCCTGTACTTATTTAAACGTTTTAACTCCTATTAACTCCTAAACTATTTTTTTTTTAAATGAAAGGCAGGTTTTATTAGAGAAAACCTGAGAGGGCCATGGCTCACTGTGAGGGGAAGGTAACTCCTAAACTATTAAGTTACTAGTTTAGAAAAATCTAGCTTAAAGTCCTGTCTACAGTACTGTTCACTTATACTTACTCATTAGTGGTGATCTAGAAAACTAAGATCATCTCAGAATATATTGTTGAATGATTAAAAATATTTTTTTCTTATGAAAGTATTTGCAACTAAAGGTTGCTGTAGGCTGGGAATGTGGCTTAGTGGTAGAGTGCTTGCCTAGCAAACCCTGGATTCAATTCCTCACATCAACAAAAAATACATAAAATTAATGAATATAAAAGGAAAAACAACCAGTAAAATTAATTTTTATTTTAAAAAGTTTGCTGTTAATAATCTCAGTAATATTCTGTATTGTTTCTAAATGTGACTTTCTAACCACTAGATGGCAATATATTACAATTTTTGTTACAGACATGCTTCAGGCTATTAATAGTTGAAGAAGTATTTGAGTTTTCTGTTATACTATAATCATTTAGTCATTCCTCAAACATTTATTGAGTACCTTTAAGTTCTTGGAACTCTGATGGATGTTGGAAGTAAGAATGAAACCATAACAAAAATGTCAAAGAGTGTACTGACACACTGTCTTTAGATGCCCTTCTCCAACCTTAGCGGGGAAACATTCTCTTTTTAGAAATATACGATTAGTCCAACAGGGAGAAGGGCCTTCCAAGTCAGGGCAATAGGGAGCCCTGTGAGTTTCTAAGAAGAAACACTACAGTACAAAGGATTTTCAGGAATACCTACCTCACAGTGTATTTGTAAACTGGAGAGGCAAGGAGAGCAAGAGTAAAGTCAACACAATTAGGAAGTTATTTCAGTCATCTAAGAACGAAATGCACCAATACTCCTAGTTACTCAGGAGGATGAACTCTGAGGACCCAGTCTATGAAGACAAATCCAATTAACCAGCACAAAGCTGGAAGCTGGAGGTGTGGCTCAAGTGACAGAGCACCAACCTTGAGTGAAAAAGCCAAGTGAGAGTATAAGGCCTTGAGTTCAAGCTCCCATACTGGCACAAAAGACAAAAAAGAAAAGTAGGAGGCTATTAGAAGAAAAGTCGGAAGGGAAATGAAAAGGATCCTCTTAGTATCTATTTGCTGCGTAACAAACTACCCCAAAATTTAGGGATTTAAAAAGTTAATCATTGGGCTTGGAAGGTGGCTCAGTGGTAGAATGCTTGCCTTGCATGCATGAGGCCCTAGGTTCCATTCCTCAGTACCACATAAGCAAAAAGAAAAAAAAAGCCAGAAGTGGTGCTGTGGCTCAACTGGTAGATCGCTAGCCTTGAGCTGAAGAGCTGAGGGACAGAGCCCAGGCCCAGAGTTCAGGCCCTACGACCGGACCCTCCCCCCCCCCCCAAAAAAAATGGTAATCATAGCTTGGCATCAGTGGCTGACATTTATAATCCTAGCTCCTGAGGAGGCTGAGATCTAAGGATCAAGGTTTAGAGCCAGCCCGAACAGAAAAGTCCATGAGACTCTTATCTCCAATTAGCCAGCAAAATAAAAACCCCAGAAGTATCCACACGTATCCACACAATGCCTACCCTTCCTATCACTATATATTAGATTCTGAGCTTATGAAGAGACAACCAATCATAGTTGCTGACCAATTATAAAGATACAGCAATTGGGCTGGGAATGTGGATTAGTGGTAGAGTACTTGCCTAGCATGTATGAAGCCCTGGGTTTGATTCCTCAGCATCACATAAACAGAAAAAGCCAGAAGTGGCACTGTAGCCCAACTGGTAGAGTGCTGGCTTTGAACAAAAGAAGCTCAGGGACAGTGCATAGGCCCTGAGTTCAAGCTCCAGGACTGGGAAAAATCCTTTAGCTTGCGACTGGGAAAGTGGATCAGTGGTAGAGTGCTTGCCTGGGTTCGATTCCTCAGCACCACATAAGCAGAAAAAGCTAGAAGTGGCGCTGAGGCTCAAATGGTAGAGCACCAGACTTGAAGCCTTGTGAGAAAAAGCTAAGGGATTTTTTTTTTTGGTGGTCATGGGGCCTGAATTCTGGGCCTGGGCACTGTCCCTCAGCTTTTCAGCTCAAGGCTAGTGCTCTAGCACTTGAGCCACAGCACCACTTCCTGCCTTTTCTGTTTATGCAGTGCTAAGGAATCAAACCCAGGACTTCATACATGTGAGGCAAGCATTCTACCACTGAGTCACCTTCCCAGCCCCCAAAAGTTAACTTCTGGTTGCCTAATTTTCTAAATAAGAAGCAAGCCAAGAGTGAGGATGAAAGAGGTGATGGCAGTTAACATTATGAAATACTCAAGACAGTAAATGGACCAGGGATGTGTATGTGTGTGTGTGTGTGTGTGTAATGTATTTTCTGGGGCACTCAAGTTTATAGCCTTTATGAAGCAGGGGGGGCACATTGGTCAGGATATATACTTTTCTCCAACTTTGTTCATTATAGATTTGGATAGAACTGAAGTTATAGGTGGTGAGTTGTCTTAAGTCAAGGCTGGCCTCAAACTCACAATTCTTCTGCTTCAACTTCCAGAGTGCTGAGATTATAGGCATATGCACCAGATGAACTCATACATTTTACTGGAGTATGATGAAGAGTTAGACAAGGGAGTCATTTAGTGGAATTTAAGTAGGAAACAAAGGAAGTGAAGGAGGGTGAAATAGAACAATGGATTGCAGATGAAATGAAGGGATTGCATTGTTGGACATGTGATGGGTATCCTAAGAAGTGAGGGGGAAAGAGGTTGTAACAGATCCATTAAACTAGGTGGTAGTGGATCACACTTGTAATCCTAGCTACTCAAGAGGCTAAGATCTGAGGATCTTGGTTCAAAGCTAGCCCAGGCAGTAAAGTCCATAAGGTTCTTATCTTCAATTAACCACCAAAAAGCCAGAAGTGGAGCTTTCATTCAAGTGGTAGAGCATCAGTCTTGAGCAAAAAAGCTTAGAACCAGCACGAAGAAGAAGAAGAAGAAGAAGAAGAAGAAGAAGAAGAAGAAGAAGAAGAAGAAGAAGAAGAAGAAGAAGAGGAGGAGGAGGAGGAAGAGGAGGAGGAGGAGGAGGTAGAAGAGGAGGAGGTAGAAGAGGAGGGGGGGGAAGGGGAGGGGAAGGGAGAGAGGGGGAGGAAGAAAAATTGATCCAATTGTAATGAATGAAATAAAAACTGTTGCAGGCACTAGTAACACCAAGGTTACAGAAACGCTTAGCAGCTGAACAGGCATGGGATTATTCCTGTAATCTCAGCACTAGTAAAGTGGAAATAGGAGGATGGGCTACATAGCAAGACCTTGTCACAAAAAAAAAAAAAAAAGAATGTTGAGCAGACCCAGGTCATCATTAAAGAGGGGAAAAAAATATCCTCTTGGCAATTGGCTTCGATGTTGAGCATCTATTTCTTAAATATCTCGAAACGTCCGCTCAGGGTCCCTCAGTGCATTTGACAGGTAAGAATGAGCTGGCGGGGCGGGGGCTGAAGGCGAATTGCTTTCTCCCCGGCGCGTGACGGGCTTGCGGCTGACCGCAGCAAGGTCACGGCCACAAGGTTCAGCAGAACACACTCGCAGACCTTTGCACAAAACCGCCAGGACGGGACCAAAGGCCCCTCTCGCCTCCATCCCGCGGACTGCTCAAAGAGACGGAGGAAGAGGCAGCCCCACCACGCCGGGATCCCCAAGACCCGGACACACCCCTCGAGGTACCGCAGCCCGCCCGGGCCGGCCGAGAGAAATTCAAACGAACCCGGCTCCGCCCCAGCCCTGAGGCTGGCGGGAAAGGGGCCACCGCTCTCCCGCCGCCGCCCAGCCAGCCGCTCCGAAGGCCCCGCCCGCCCGTCGCGTTCGGCTACAGTCCCGGCCCACCGGTCGTTCCCCGCCAACGAAAAGACCCTCGTCCACCAGCGGAGAGCCTGCCTTCCTTCTTCCCGCGCTCGGCCCCGCCGGTCCGCGGCATCCTTCGTCTCGCCCCCCCGGAAGTGACGACAGCGCACCCCGCCCCTATCCCGTCGGGCCTCGCGGCGGCGGCGGCGGCGGCGGGAAGATGGCGGCAGCGGGATCCCTGGAACGCAGCTTTTTCGAGCTGAGCGGAGCCGAGCGTGAAAGACCAAGGCACTTCCGCGAGTTCACGGTCTGCAGCCTTGGTACGGAAGTGCGCTGGGGCGGTGCGATCCCATCCTTCTCCTCGTCACTTCCTCCGGGTCCCTGATCCCCCCCCCCCCCTTCCCGGGGCTCATCCTTTACGGTCCACATGCCTGTCTGGCCTCTGCTTCAGAGCTTTCCTAGGGACCCATTCCTTCCTTTCCCACCCTCTTCCCCCTTCCCTCCTTCTGTATGGATTGTCACTCTGTCACGCCCCGCTCCCTCGGCACGCTCGGTCCCTGTCATCCCCGGACAACCACGTGTGCGGGGCTGACCGCGTTCGTTCTGCAGGCACCGCGATTGCCGCGGCTGGTGCGGGGAAATTCAGCGAGAGCGCGGGAGGTTTCTACTTTGTGGAAAGCGGCAAGTTGTTCTCCGTCACCAGAAACAGGTTCATTCATTGGTAAGTGCCGTGTTCTCCAAACCCCTCCCTCCGACCCCACCCACCCGCTCGCACTCCCCGTCGGCCAGGTGGTGGGGCGTGTGAATGTATTACTGCCTGTTCCAAAGCGTCATTCCTGCCCGGCAGTAACCGACCTTAGACAAAAGACTGTTTTCAGCTCGTGTCGGAGTTAGAGGAGATTTTGATTCACGTTCAAGGAGTTGTACCTTTCTGACAGCACTAAAACCAGAGGAATGTTGCATAGCGATAAAGAAGCCCTGAAGAGCAATTTTAGACATGAACCTGTTATGTTTTATATAGTTATTTACAGCGTCCATTATTCTTCAGATATCATTGAGCCTCTACATGGCAGGCATTGTGCTAGGTGCAGGGATGAAATAGTGAATAAAAATAGCTATTCTTTTCATTGTGTAAACGATGATCATCTTGTTGTGTGAGAATAGTTGTAGACTCAGCTTTCTTGCAGCAGATTAGTGGAGAAAGACAGTAAACTAATGATCACAACATAGATCTATAAATACAGATTTCGTATTTGCACCAAGGGAAGAGTAGGGATCTGAGAGGCTAATGGGAAGACCAAATGTTATTGACAGGGCAGGGAAGAATGTTGAAAGTCGATTATACTAAGATCTGAAGGCTGAAAGGTTAGTTGGGGAAGAGAGGAGCCTAACAGGTGCCATATACAAAAGCAATGAAATGGAAAGAACTTGCCAGGCTTGAGGAAGATCTTAAATGGTCTATGTGGTGTAAATATAGTGGGTCAAACAAAATGATCTGAGAGATGTTGAGCCTCAAGAGGTAGGCAGAGAACATGAAGAACTCTCAGGCCATTTCTAAGAATTTTAGATTATTAAGAAGTTCCTGATTTAATCAAAAGTACATTTTTAAAATGACAGCCTACTTCATTGACTATTTCAGTTAAATAGACATACAAAAGAACAATTTGAGAATGGGATTGTGGCTTAGCATGCCTAGCATGCATGAAGCCCAATTTCTCAATACCACATAAACAGAAAAAGCCTAAAGTGGTGCTCTAGCTCAAGTGGTAGAATGCTAGCCTTGAGCAAAAGAAGCTCAGGTACAGTGTTCATGCCCTGAGTGCAAGCCCTAGGATTGGCAAACAAAACAGAACAAAACAATTTGCCTTTATGATGTCTGAAGTAAGATGATGATAGCTAATTATGAGAATAGCTAAGAAAATAAAGATATATATGCACTCAAAATATGTCTAAAGAGTAGACTGATATTGCCTTGGTGACAGATTAAATATACAAACAGATGTAGATAAAAGAAAAAAAATCAAGGATTTTTATTTATTTATTTTTTTGCCAGTCCTTGGCTTGAACTCAAGGCCTGGGCACCATCCCTGAGCTTTTTCTTAAGGGTAGCACTCTACCACTTGAGCCACATCACCAATTCCAGCTTTTTCTGGTTATGAGGAATCGAAACTGGGGCTTCATGCATCTTAGCCTCTAAGCCATCTTTCTATCCCCAAGAACAATTTCTTAGTTTCTGATGTGACCAACTAGATATGGATCCAGGGTTGCCACTTCTGAGATAAAAAATGGATTTTAGAATGATGTGACTAATTCTTGTAGACATACAAAATTTGAAGTAACTATACAGTAGCCCTTTGGAGGTATCAAATAGACATTGTTTTTCGTTTTTGTATTTTTTGGTGTTTTCTTTGTTTTTGGTGTTGTTTTGTTACAGGTTTGAAGCCTAAAACAGATTTATGTTAAGAGGCACAAGTCTTATTTAAGAAATGCTTTCTGGGGCTGGGAAGGTGGCTCAGTGCTAGAGCACTTGCCTTGCATGCATGAGGCCCTGGGTTCCATTCCTCAGCACCATATAAGCAAAAAGAAAAAAGCTGGAAGTTGGGCTGGGAAGGTGGCTCAGTGGTAGAGCGCTTGCCTTGCATGCCTGAGGCCCTGGGTTCGATTCCTCAGTACCACATAAGCAAAAAGAAAAAAGCTGGAAGTGGCACTGTGACTCAAGTGGTAGAGCGCTAGCCTTGAGCTGAAGAGCTGAGGGACAGCGCCCAGGCCCAGAGTTCAGGCCCCACAACCGGACCCAAAAAAAAAAGAAAAAAAAAGAAAAAAGCTGGAAGTGGTGCTATGGCTCAAGTGATAGAGTGCTAGCCTTGAGCTGAAGAGCTGAGGGACAGCGCCCAGGCTCAGAGTTCAGGCCCCACGACCGGACCACCCCCCCCCAAAAAAAAAAAAAAGACTTTTCTATGCCTAAAGCATTTCAGTCTATGTTGAGGTGCTAAAAATAAATAAAACAAGAATAAATTTGTTAGTTTATTTCGAGGTGAATTTGTTAGAATTTGCTGTTGTATTATAGAGTATAGCTGCTTTTTTTGAGGGGGGAGGGGTCCGGTCCTGGGGCCTGAACTCTGGGCCTGGGCGCTGTCCCTCAGCTCTTCGGCTCAAGGCTAGCGCTCTACCACTTGAGCCACATATAGCTGCTTTTTTGTCTAGAGCAACTATGATTAATAAAAATTCCTCTGTGGGGCTGGGAAGGTGGCTCAGTGGTAGAGCGCTTGCCTTGCATGCATGAGGCCCTGGGTTCCATTCCTCAGTACCATATAAGCAGAAAAAGCCAGAAGTGGTACTGTGGCTCAAGTGGTAGAGCGCTAGCCTTGAGATGAAGAGCTGAGGGTCAGTGCTCAGGCCCAGAGTTCAGGCCCCGTGACTAACCAAAAAAAAAAAAGTTCTCTAATGTTGGAAAACTGTAGATTTTTGTTTGGATTTTCCTATCTCTCAACTTTAGTGGGTCTAGGACTTCATAATTCATTCTTTCTCTGTCTTTGTCTCTTGGTTTCTCTTTTTTTTTTAAAATTTTTATTTATTTATTTATTTTGGCCTGGGGGGCTGTCCCTCGGATCTTCAGCTCAAGGCTAGCACTTTACCATTTGAGAGACAGCACTACTTCCGGCTTTTTCTGCTTATGTGGTGCTGAGGAATCGAACCCAGGGGCTCATGCACAAAAGGCAAGCATTCTACCATTGAGCTACCTTCCCAGCCCAGTCTCTTGGTTTCTCTGTTTCTGAGTCCCATCCCCTCTTCCCTCTTTCTTTCTCTGTGTGTGTGTGTGATTGAACACAGGGCCTTTTGCATATTGTGCACATGCTTTACAAATTGAGCCATGTCCCGGACCCAGAATTCTGTTTTCTGCAGGTTTGGTTTGAGATACTAATAGATATTCAAGAGGAAGTGTTGAAATAGAGTGAGTTGTGTGAAGAGATTGGGTTAAATAAAGATATATATAGAGAGAGAGATTTGGGAATTGTTGCCATTAGTCAATATATTGTATGTAATGAATGAGCTCACCTAGCAAATGAGCAAATCAAAGGTTTCTCAGGGGCCACATAAGTCTTTGTTGTAGAAGAGTTGTCCTGTGTAGTGTAGGGTATTGATCCCTAACCTTTGTCTGCTAATAACCCCTTCAGCCACTCATTCCTTGACTCTTATTGTGGTAACCAAATAATCACTGTAGCTAATTGTGAGTTGTCCTTGGAAAATGGGGCAGAATCACCACCAGTTGAGAACAGCTTGTATAGAAAAATCTAAGGACTGAATCCTGAAGTACTACAACAGTTAGGAAGATCAGGAAACAGCCAAGGAGCTCATGAGTGTGTAGCTGAGGTGAAAGCCAGACACAAAGAGGATGATATGCCAGAAGCAAAGGGAAATATTTCAAGAGGAGAGTGGGAAAGAAAAACTGAAAATGCTGCATATAAGTCAAGTAAGATTGAAAATGGACCTTTTCATTGTAGAGGTTATTGATGACTTTGTTTACTTCTCTAGTAATAGGGCAACAGCCTGAATGGAGTGGGTACAGAACAGCTCTTTGAAGGAATATTGCTATGAGGGAAGCAGAGATCTCAAATGATATCTGTAGAAAACTAGAGAAGTCTAAAGGAATAATAATAGTATATCTATGTGCAGTTGGGAATCACCTAGTAGATACACTTGAGATGCTTGTGGTTCCTGGAAGAGAGAAATCCAAGGAATGGAAAAAAATGAGATTAAAAAATATGTAGATGATGAAAAATTAAGAATTATGACAGGACAGGGTATAGTTTAGCATAGAGCACTTGTCTAATGTGTATGCAGTGAAAGTCCCTCGCAGGTTGTCTGATTCTTTAAGCTTCAAGAGTGAGTGATTTCAGGCAGAGAGGAATAAAGAGTGGCTTAAAGTGGCAGTAAAGAACCAGTACGGCATTTGTGTCTATCCATGAAGAATAATGGAAAGAAAACAGTAAGATACTGGGTGTCAATGACTCTTGTCTGTAATCCTAGCTATTCAGGAGGATGAGATCTAAGGATCTCTCATGGAGATCCTTTCTGAGGATCAGAAATGGAACTGTGGCTCACATGTAGAGCATTAACCTTGAGCAAATAAGCACAGGGACAGCACCCAAGCCCTGTGTTCAAGCTGCAGGACCACCTAAAAAAAAGAAAAGGAAGGAGTAAAGAAAGTGGCGGTATTAGAGAGGGCTTTCAGGAGAGCAGTGCCCTCAGGGAAGATGCAGAGCCAGAAGGTAGGAAGATGATTATTCAGAGATGAAGCTGAAGATCCAGGAAATTGTGTCAATGGAATAACTTAGTAGAAACAAGGTAGTTCTAGGGAATCAACAGAGTCAATGATGCTTATATCATTAGGAAAGGACAAGGTGTGCCTCTGGAGAATATATATAGTGAGTACAGTAACTGAAGACCAGAGTTTGAGGAAAACATTGAATGTAGAGGTCAGGCCAAGGGCAGGAGAGTGAATGGCTGAGGAGGTGGGAAGAAAATCAGGGCAGGGTACCTTCATAGAAATTGATAGGAGATAGGAGCTGGGAAGGTGGCTCAGTGGTAGAGCGCTTGCCTTGCATGCATGAGGCCCTGGGTTCGATTCCTCAGCACCACATCAGCAGAAAAAAAGCCAGAAGTGGCACTGTGGCTCAGGTGGTAGAGTGCTAGCCTTGAGCTGAAAAGCTGAGGGACAGCGCCCAAGCCCAGAGTTCAGGCCCCATGACCGGACCGCCCCCCTCCCCCCCCAAAAAAAGAAATTGATTGGAGAGACTTAAGAAGGAGGATGTAGTCAAGTATGTGAAATGCTGCTAGAAAATCAAGTAAAAGAAACTGAAGGATCTATTGGAAGTGTATGAGAAACATAGCTAGTTGGATGATGGCACATGAAGGATCATAAGTTTGAGACCAGCCTGGGTAACGATAGAGAGAGATAACAAAATAGCTGGTACTGGGAGCTCATGCCTGTAATCCTAGTTACTCAGGAGGCTGAGATTTGAGGACCATGGTTCACAGCCAGCCCAGGCAGGAAAGTCTATGAGACGCTTTATCTCCAATTAACCACCAGAAAACTGGAAGTGGTACTGTGGCTTAAAGTGGTAGAGCACTGGCCTTGAGCAAAGGAGGTCAAGGACAGTATGCAAGCCCTGAGTTCAAACCCCATTATCAGCCAGGAAAAAAACAACAAAAAACAAAACAGCCAGGCACTGATGGCTTATACCTGTAATCCTAATTACTCATGAGACTGAGATCTGAGGATCATGGTTTGAAGCCAGCATGGGCAGTAAAGTCCATGAAACTCTTATTTCCAATTAACCACCAGAACACTGAAAGTAGAGCTGTGGCTCAAAAGGTAGAGCTCTAGCCATGATCACCAAAGCTCAGGGACAGCACCCATTCCCTGAATTCATGCCCTCCCCCCCCCCCACACACACACATCAAAAAGGTTGGAAGCATAATTCAAGTGATAGGTGTGAGGCTTTAGGTTTTAATCCCCAGTTCTGTAGAGTAGGGAGTATGAGATGAGAAAATAGAGAAAGTTGGCTATGGAGGAGAATGGACAGGATATGATAACTGGATTAAGAGAAGGGATTTAGGAGTGGGATGGTGTGAAGGGAGGCCAGGGAACAGTGTATTTGAATGTCAAAGGAAGGCTATGGATGGATGGATACAAGAAAGATATACCTGAGAACGTCGGAGATTGATATTATTGTTGGAAAGAGACCTTTGTTTTTGGAAGGATGCAGGTGATGTAGATGAGGTTACAGGAAGTTTAGTAGTTGTGTGGTTCCAAGGCTACCACATGGTAGAGATGTACCTGAAGAATTCTGCCCTATAACCTAGTACAGCATGTTTGTTTAAGCACAGCATGTACTATCCTTTCTTCTTAGATGTGTGACATGTTGTAAGTTACTTGGTGCCCATTTTTAAGATTTTTTTCTAAGAACTGATTTTTTTTAAGAACATAAAATAACAAAATGTTGTCTTTTTTTGTTATTGTTGTTGGTCATGTGGCTTGAACTCAGGGCCTGGGCACTGTCCCTGAGCTTTTTTGCTCAAGATGCACTCTATCACTTTGAGCCATAGCTGGTTAATTGGAGATATGAGTGTCATGGAGTTTCCTGCCTGGGCTGGCTTTGAACCTCGATCCTCAGATCTCAGCCTCCTGAGTAGCTAGGATTACAGGTGTGCGCCACTGGTGCCCGACTTGAAAATATTTCTTTAGTGAGAAATACTACCCCGTCTTATACATAAAGGGGAAATTATAAGTTTGCTATTTTTGGTGCTGTTGTACATTAAGAAATAATCAAAATGTGAAATTAAAGTCTTTGTTTGACACTAAATAGTATATGTGGATACCACGTTCCACTATAGTAATAAATATATGTGTTGTTAATTTTCATTACAAGCAGAGATTTATTTCATTCAATATTATCCTATATAAATGGGTTAGCAAGTTTGGAAATGTGCTTAACAGCATCTTCATGAAATATGAATTTTGCTATACTGTGGGGGTTTTTTTTTGTTTTTGTTTTTTGTTGTTTTTTTTTATTTTTTTGCCATTTTTGAGGCTTGAACTCCAGGCCTGGGCACTGTCCCTGAGCTTCTTGTGCTCAAGGCTAACACTTTACCACTTGAGCCACAGCACCACTTCGGGCTTTTTTTGAATATGTGATACTGAGGAATCGAACCCAGGGCTTCATGCATGTTAGGCAAGCAGTCTACCACGAAGCCACATTCCCAGCCCCTATATTGTGTTTTATAAATCTAGGTAATATGGTAATTTGGAAAGTAAAACTAGTCTGAATTTATCCAAAATTTCAAATTTGCTAAATTCACTTGGACACTAAGCATAAACTTAAATGTCTCTTTTCTTAACAGGAAGACTTCTGGGGATACATTGGAGCTGGTGGAGGAGTCACTGGACATAAACCTGTTGAATAATGCAGTTCGCCTAAAGTTCCAAAATTGTAGCATTTTACCTGGAGGGGTTTATGTCTCTGAGACTCAGAATCATGTGATGATCTTGATATTAACCAATCAAACAGTGCACAGGCTACTTTTACCACACCCTTCCCGGATGTATAGGAGTGTAAGTTGGTTAAGACTAATATCTTTTTACAAATTATTCTATCACAACTTTAGAGCTAGAAAGAAAAATATTCTTTGTTATTGAGGGAAATTTAGATTACTTTTTTGTTGGTAGTGATGGTGGTCATGAGGCTTGAACTCAGCCCTGTCCCTGAGCTTTTCTGCTCAAGGCTAGCAGTCTATCACTTTGAGCCACAGTTCCACTTCTGATTTTCTGGTGGTTAATTGGAGATAAAGAGTCTCACCAACTTTTGTACTTGGGCTGGCTTTGAACCTCTATCCTCTGATCTCAGCCTCCTCAGTGCTAGCATTACAGGCATGAGTCACCAGTACCCAGCTTGGATTCCTTATTAGTCCTGAGAAGCATACTTCGATGGCTATTACTACTTAAAATGTCCAGAAAAAGCTTTTGCTTGGCATAGTGACACCTGTAATTCCAGCATTGGGAGGCTGAAACAGAAGGATCCTTAGTTTGAGGCCAGCCTGAACTATGTACTAATACTTAAGATTGTCAGAAAAAAGAAGAAAAGAGCATTATGTCTCCCCCTACCCCGCCTCTGGTCCCATGGCATTGATGCTGTCCCTGAGTTCCACTTCTGGCTTTTTGGTGGTTAATTGGAGATAAGAATCTCGTACTTTCTTACCCAGGCTGGCTTCAAACAGATCTTAGCCTTCTGAGTTTTCTGAGTTGTAGGATTATGGGTGTAAACCACCAGTGTCTGCTAACAATAACTTACTTTTTTTTTTTTTCTTGTTGATTATGGGGCTTGAACTCGGGGCCTGTGGTGCTGTCCCTGAGCCTCTTTGTGTTCAAGGCTAGCACTCTACCACTTGAGCCACTATGCCACTTGCAGTTTTTGAGTGGTTAGTTGGAGATAAGAGTCTCTCGGGGACTTCTCTGAGAGTTTTCTGCCTGGGCTGGTTTTGAACCACAGTCCTTAGAACTGAGCCTCCTGAGTAATTAGGATTACAGATGTGAGCCACCAGTGCCTGGCTCAATAGCTTTCTTAAGGGCAACTTTTCTTCTTTATAAGCTTTCTTGATGAGTAAGAGGAACTAAGCAAAATTCCAGGTTATGTTGATATTAACAGATTTTTCTTTTTCATTACCCCACAGGAGTTGGTAGTTGAAAGTCAGATGCAATCAATATTTACAGACATTGGAAAAGTTGATTTCAGGGATCCTTGCAGCTATCAACTAATTCCAGCAGTACCGGGAATAGCCCCTAATTGTACCACATCAGCAGCCTGGCTTAGCAGTGATGGAGAGGCTCTGTTTGCTCTACCATCTGCTGCTGGGGGCATCTTTGTTCTTAAGCTACCTCCTTATGACATGCCTGGTAAGAATGGGAACTGAGCATGGATTAACTTGAGTTAAGAAATGTTGATGGGTGTGGTGGTGCACACCTGTAATCCCAGCACTTGGAAGGCTGAGGTAGGAGGAGCATAAGTTTGAGTCCTTTGTGGCCCAGCCTGGGTTACATAGGAAGATCTGTCAAACAAATAAGTAAGCATTCATTTAACAGGACTTTAGAAATTGAACTTGGCAGTTTAGGAATTGCTTCTGTACAATGAGTTTTAGACAATGATTAAGGAAATATAAAGCATACTAGAGTATGATATAGCATACTATTTAAGATAGATACCCAATTCTGAGTCCTATAGTTAGTGGTAAGTTGGGTAGTTGTCCAGATTGAGGTATTGTAATTAAGTTAATTTTGTAATTAACTGGAATGAAACTTGACTACTACCAGTTCTTAGTTACCACTTTTTTTTTTTTTTTGCCAGTCCTGGGACTTGAACTCAGGGCCTGAGAGCGGTCCCTGAGCTTCTTTTGCTCAAGACTAGCACTCCATCTACCACATAAGCCCCACTTCTGGCTTTTTCTGTGTACATAGCACTGAGGAATCGAACCCAGGGCTTCATGCATGCTAGGCAAGTACTCTGCTGCTAAGCTACCTTTCCAGCCCACCACTATCTTCTCTGGACTATTGCATTAGCTTTGTAAATATCTCACCAGATCTGTTCTTATGCCTCTTCAGGAACATCTCAAGCAGATTGATATATTGAAAACATTAGTTGTCCTGGGTGCTGGTAGCTTATACTTATAATCCTAGCTACTCCGGGCTGAGATCTGAAGATTGTGATTTAAAGCCAGCCTCCAGAAAAGTCCATAAGACTCCTTCAACAAACTACTCAAAAAAGCAAGATGTAGAGGTACCTTCCGTGTGCCAGATAATTCTAGGGTCTAGAGATTTAGCAATAAGCCACTATCTGTGTGAACATAGTAGTCCACTGGGGGAAGGAAAGCAGTAGAGAATTAAATTGTGCAGAATAATAGAAACAAAACATGCAAGAGGGACAGAATGATGGTGTATTTGGCTATAGAGAGGGTTTGAATTTTGTTGTTGTTGTTTTTTTTGTTTGTTTGTTTTTTGGGTCCGTTGGTGGGGCCTGAACCCTGGGCCTAGGCGCTGTCCCTCAGCTCTTCAGCTCAAGGCTAGCGCTCTACCACGTGAGCCAAAATGCCACTTCTGGCTTTTTTTCTTTTTGCTTATGTGGTGCTGAGGAATCGAACCCAGGGCCTCATGCATGCAAGGCAAGCTCTCTACCACTGAGCCACCTTCCCAGCCCAGGGTTTGAATTTTGAAAAGGGTGGTCATGAAAAGTCTTTTAGAAAAAAAACAAAATGTTTTTTCTGAGCAGCAATACTATTTGTCTCATTTTAGACTCCTTGTGCTATTATTATCACTAGTACTGATTGAAAAGATTTTTAGTATGATATCTATAGGAAAGGTACAGAAATGCAGAAGCCTACCACCTGTTATAAAGACCTTGTTTGTGATTATTTCATTTTTCCTTTTGGGTTTTCTTTAAGTATAATCAAGAAGTGTTGGTGATGTCATTGCAGGGACAGTGTCAGTTGTGGAACTGAAGCAGAGTTCAGTGATGCAGCGATTGCTCACAGGCTGGATGCCAACAGCTATCAGGTGAGTGGGTTCTCACATGTAAAGGCCTGGTGTGGAGAGGATGTAATCTTTTTGCTTTTATCGGTATCTATTAGTGCTTCCAGTCTTTGTTCAAGGCATACATTACAGTGAGGAGAAAGGAGGTGTAGAATAGCATCACACTGCATCTGAGGAAAACCACAGCAGGCTGCCTTGTTTATGATGAGACACCTTGGCAGCATAACTGGCTTACTGTTTATATTCTCACCACATCCACTTTGGTGCTCTGTCCTGACTCAACAGAATTCAATCTTGTATAAAATTACTAAAGTAATAAAATTTCTTTTTTTTTAGTTAAACTAAAACAATATAAGAGTAACAGTTTTCTATTATTACGTAGAGTCTTTTAAATTTTTTTGTAAAAATAGATAAAAACTAAGAACTGTAATTGTCATACAGCAGCATGTAAACTCTTGTTCCTTCTGCCAGGATTGTGCATTTAATACATCTGCTGATATGCAAATTCTAATGACTAAGCTTGTTTGCAACTGTAAAATTCTAAAACTCAGCCTTTTTCTTTAAGAGGTGATCAGGGGCCTTCAGATCGTGCCCTCAGTCTTGCTGTCCATTGTGTTGAGCATGATGCCTTTATCTTTGCCCTGTGTCAGGATCATAAACTACGAATGTGGTCTTACAAGGTAAATACTACATTTACAGTTACTATTTGTTAAAATAGGGATTGTGAACTGTGAAAAGGATGAAATTATCTTTTTGTTATTGTAAAGATGATGTACAGAGGGATTACAGTTACATAAGTCAGGTAATAAATACATTTCTTTTTGAATAATGTCACCTTTTCCCTGTTTTTCTCCCAGTTTTTCCCTCCCAACCTTTTCCCACTAGTCATATAGTTCATTTTCTTTTCTTTCTTTCTTTCTTTTTGTTTTTTGCTAGTCCCAGGACTTGAACTCAGGCCCTGGGCACTGTCCCTGAACTTCTTTTGCTCTAGGCTAGCATTCTACCACTTCTGGCTTTTTCCGTGTATGTGGTGCAGAGGAATCAAACCCAGGGCTTCCTGCATGCTAGGCAAGCACTCCACCACTAAGCCTCATTCCCAGCCCTATACTTCATTTCTAACATAGTATCTAGTGAGTATCACTTAAAGATGATCGAGTGAGTTGGTTTGGCAATTATAGTTTATTCTCTTTTTTTTTGTTGTTGTTGGTCATGAGGCTTGAACTCTGGGCCTGTGCGCTGCCCTGCACTCTTCAGCTCAAGGCGAGTGCTCTACCACTTGAGCCACAGTTCCACTTCTGGTTTTCCAGTGGTTTATTGGAGATAAGTCTCAGGGACTTTCCTGCCTAGGCTGGCTTTGAACCGTGATTCTCAGATCTCAGCCTCCTGAGTAGCTAGGATTACAGGCATGAGCCACCAGCACCTGGCAGTTTATTCCCAGTTTGTTTGTAATTTTTTAAATTGTCTTTATACAGAGGCTTTAGTTCAATATGTTTATTTATATGTTTAATGTATCTTGATCAGTGTCACATCTATCCCCACCTTTAATTCTCAATTTCTGATAGTTTATCTTCATCTTGTGTATATTTCTCCCTAACTTTTTGTCTTATACTTTGATGATCATAAACCCTTAAGAGGAGCATATCCAGGCGCTGGTGACTCACATATGTAATCCTAGCTACTCAGGAGGCTGAGATCTAAGGATCATGGTTCCAGGCCAGCTTGGATAGGAAAGTCTGAGACGTCTATCTTCACTAAATACCAAAAAAGCTGGAAGTAGAGCTATGGCTCAAGTCAGAGCCACTAGCCTTGCTCAAAAGATGCTTAGGGACAGTGCGCAGATCCTGAGTTCAAGGCCAAGGCCTGCATTTTAAAACAACAAAAAAAGAATAGTAAAAAGTATACCTTTCACTCAAGAGAACAAATGTGTTGTTTTTTTTTTTTAAACAAACATTGAAGGTTCCATTGAGAATAGATAAGTACCTGCAAAAGGAGGTTAGGCTAACAAAGGGGGTAATTGGGATGAATATAATGCAAAGTAGTTTGTGTGTATGAAGATAGAAACTTAAAATTATTTTAAGAAGGGGAGAGTGAGGTAAGAGAGGGGGGCAACATGAGGTGAGTAATTGGGACACATTTGTACATGTATGGAAATGTCACACTAGAACCCTCTCTTGTACAACTAATGTATGCTGACTATAAAGAAATCAGTGATAATAAAATGTTGGTGAAATAAAATTTTCAAAGAGTCATCACCTTTTTTTGGGCGGGTGGGGTTGGTCATGGGGCTTAAACTATCAGGGCCTGGTGCTGTCCCTGAGCTTGTTACTCAGCTAGAGCTCTACCACTTTGAGCCACAGTGCCACTTCCAGTTTTCTGGTGGTTAATTGGAGACTTTTTTGCCCAGGCTGGCTTTGAGCCATGAGCCTCAGATCTCTGCCTCATGAGTAGCTAGGATAACAGGTAGGAGCCACCAGTCCCCAGCTGTTGAGCTAGTGATTTTTATCAGACTGAATGGGTACATTTTATTTTAACCCTTTAAAAAGAAATCTGTTGGGGGCTGAGAAGGTGGCTCAGTAGTAGAGTGCTTTCCTAGCATGCATGAGGCCCTGGGTTCCATTCCTCAGCACCACATAAACAGAAAAAACTGGAAGTGGCGCTGTGGCTCAAGTGGTAGAGCGCTACCCTTGAGCTGAAGAACTGAGGGACAGAGTCCAGGCCCAGAGTTCAAGCCCCACAACCAACAACAAAAAAAAACTTTTTTAAATGATAGAAGATGTTTTTCTCTCCTGAATATGCCTTCCAGATTAACTATTAACTCTTATCCTGGACAGGATCAAATGTGCGTGATGGTAGCTGACATGCTTGAATATGTTCCTGTGAACAAAGACCTTAGGTTCACTTCAGGGACTGGTCACAAGCTACGACTTGCTTATTCCCCTTCCATGGGACTCTACCTAGGAATATACATACATGCTCCAAAACGAGGACAAGTAAGCAACAAATGGGACATGTGCCAACTTATTTTGTGTGTATTGATGTGAAGAAATAGGCTCATTGTGTCTATTTTAAGCCCTTTGTTCCAATGTAGATGTTTAAGTGCTATTTCTGATATGATAGAAGATTTTGTGCTCATGTGTGAATTAGATTATCCTGAAGGAAGGGTCATGATGAGAGAATTAAAAGGAATATGAAAGGATAAGTTACCAAAATTAAGGAGTCAAATTTGGAAATCCGGGTGAAAAATATTAGGATTAATGGGAAGGAGGTAGGTGTTACTAAGTGCTTAAAGAGAAGTTAATGTTTGGAAATAATTGTGATTACCTGTAAACTGAACCTGGAGAGTGGCCCTAAGCAGGCTACTCCCCAGGGTGTATGCCGCATCACTTTAGTCTGTGATTATGTCTGTCTTTCCTTTTAAGCAAGCTCACTGTTGCTGAGCTATGTCCTCAACCATTCTTTAAACTCTTACCACACTGGGCCATTTCACCTATACTACATGCCTGCCCTTCTCACAGATGCACCTGTACACATGTTCCCTAGACCGATTTCCTCTCTGAAACCCCACTTCCCCACTGCACTCCCTGGGCTGGCAAAGTTACCTGCTTTTGTCTAGCTACTTAATTGTTTTAGTACTGGATTGCTCAGGAATGAAATGGAAGAGAAGGAAAGAAAATGTGCTCATTCCCAAAGATGTTTTTATCTAAAGCCCAAAGCTATCATGCGACTGACACATTCATCTGATTCATAGTCTATTGTCTCTTCCAGAAGATCAGCCCTTCACATATTTGAGACACCTGTCTGTCTCTCCTGACTGTGTTCTTTGTATGTTGATTGCAGATAATGGGAGTACTGATCCTGCTCTCATTTCCTTCAGTTGTGTTTCATGTAACATTCTCTTGGATTTTCACTGAGGACTTTACCCATGTTAAGTTAGGCATAATCTGCCATTGAGCTTGAACTTGTAGCTCTGAAGTTGCCATTTTAAACAGTAGAATTATCAAAAAGAACGGAGATCTAGAGATTGTTTACACAATAGTGTGAATGAATTTAACACTACTAAACTATATATTTTTAAATGGTTAAGACAGTAAATTTTATGTTACATGTATTTTGCTACAGTATTTAATTATTTCAAGTAATAAATTTATTAATTTGTGTTTTCACAGTTCTGCGTTTTCCAGTTGGGTAGCATTGAGCATAACCGCTACTGTCTAGATCACATTTCCTCACTCTTTACTTCTCAGGTAAGTTGAATCATGTTTTGCATGCCACACAAGTAGAATAAAAAAGTATTGGAAGCTAGGAGCTGGTGGCTCACACCTGTAACTCTAGCTAGTTTGGAGGATGAGATTTGAGGATCGCAATTCAAAGCCACCCTGGACAGGAAAGTCTGTGAGACTATTGTCTCCAAACATCCACCAGAAAACTGGAAGTCAGGGCTGGGAAGGTGGCTTAGTGGTAGAGCGCTTGCCTTGCATGCCTAAGGCCCTGGGTTCGATTCCTCAGCACCACATAAGCAAAAAGAAAAAAAGCCGGAAGTGGCGTTATGGCTCAAGTGGTAGAGTGCTAACCTTGAGCTGAAGAGCTGAGGGACAGTGCCCAGGCCCAGAGTTCAGGCCCCATGACCAGGCCCCCCCCCCCCAAAAAAAAAAAAAATTCAGAAAACTGGAAGTCGTACTGTGGCTTAGAGTGGGAGAACACTTGAGCAGAGGAGTTCAGGGACAGTGCCCAGGCACTGAGTCTTTAAGCCCTACAACTGACCCAAAAAAGTAATATTGGAGCCAGCACTGCTTTCTCACACTTATAATCCTAGGTAGTTAGGAGGCTGAGATACAATCTTGGTTCAAAGCCACTCTGGCAGAAAAGTCTTTGAGATTCCTATTGCTAATTAACCAGCAAAAAAGGTATGACTGGAAATGTGACTCAAGTGGAAGACCAGCTATGAGTGAAACTTCCAGGCTCTGGATTTCAAACCCCAATAGTACCAGGGAGATATGTGTATACAAACACATAAACACACACATATATGAAGGATTGCTTGAGCCCAGAAGTTGTAGATCGTAGTGGTCATTTCAAACCAAAGTGTTGTAATGAGATTGTAGACTTTCAAACTGAGTATTTCATGATACATGGAAATAAAGTTTTATTTGCCCTTTATACCAAGTTCATATTATTCAAAGTTTTGTTTTTTTATTTGCATTTACCTCTCCTATCATATAAATTTAAGTTGCTACCAGCTACTACCTTTTCTTTCATATTTTAACCCTTTTTCCCCATTTCTTCCTAGGAGACATTGGTTGATTTTGCCTTAACCTCCACGGATATCTGGGCCCTATGGCATGATGCTGAGAACCAAACAATTGTGAAATACATCAACTTTGAACAGTATGAGTTACTTTATTCTTTCATCTTGCTTTACCCTAAACAGTTTCATGCTGAAAGAACAAAACTCTTTTTTTTTTTTTTGGGGTCTGGGCGTGGGGCCTGAACTCTGGGCCTGGGCGCTGTCCCTCAGCTCTTCAGCTCAAGGCTAGCGCTCTACTACTTGAGCCACAGCACTACTTCCAGCTTTTTTCTTTTTGCTTATGTGGTGCTGAGGAATCAAACACAGGGCCTCAGGCATGCAAGGCAAGCACTCTACCACCATACCACTGAGCCACCTTCCCAGCCCCAAAAAATATATTTTCTTTTTTTTGGGGGTCTGGTCATGGGGCCTGAACTCTGGGTCTGGGCGTTGTCCCTCAGCTCTTCAGCTCAAGGCTAGCGCTCTACCACTTGAGCCACAGTGCCACTTCCAGCTTTTTTCTTTTTGCTTATGTGGTGCTGAGGAATCGAACCCAGGGCCTCTGGCATGCAAGGCAAGCACTCTACCACTTAGCCACCTTCCCAGCCCAAGAAATATATTTTCTATATCTTAGTCTAACTCTAAACATCCCTAGCTCATTCTAAAACACCAAAAAAAAAAAAAAAAAAGCCAGAAATGAAGCTGTGGCTCAAATGGTACAATGCTAGACATAGCTTTAAACAGAAAAACTTAGGGACAGCACCCAGGCCCTACGTTCAAGCCCCAAGACTGGCACCAAGGAAAAAAAAAAAGCCAAACACAAAATAATATAAATGCAAAAGAATGCACTTCTAAAATAGATCAAAATCCTTCAAATGAAAACCCTTTATGGGCTGGCAGTGTGGCTTAGTGGTACAGTGCTTGCCTACTATGCATGAATTCCTGGGTTTGATTCCTTAGTACCACATAAACAGAAAAAACCCAAAGTGGCTGGCCCTCAAAGAATAGAGTGCTAGCCTCGAGCAAAGAATCACAGGGACAGTGCCCATACCCTGAATTCAAGTCCCAGGACTGGCAAAAAAAAAAAAAAAAATCTTTATTTGGTCCTACATAAAGAGTTTTGTTCTTTCGGGGCTGGGAAGTTGGCGCTGAGAGACAGCGCCCAGGCTCAGAGTTCAGGCCCATGACCGGCCACCCTCCTCCCACCCCCCCCAAAAAAAAAAAAAATATATATATATATATATATATATATTTCTTGGGAGAGACTACATTTAACAGAAATACCTAGATTTTAGAAGTTTACATCTAAGCAAAAACTGTTCCTACTGCTTACAACTTACTAAGATACTGCAAGTCCCTTTATGTTCTTTATTTCCTCATCACAAGAGGAGAAATAGAGTGGAAAATTGATGTTTCTCAAGCTTTTTAAGTCAAACTTTTTGTTTTTCTTGCAGGAGAAAATAAATGGCAGTATAAAAAACAAAATGTTGTTTTATGAACATGAACATGTAACTTAGTGGTAGAAGATTGGACTAGCACAGAGCCCTAGGTTTTATCCCTAGCACCACACACACACACAGACACACACACACAAAAAAAAAATAATACAATTTCACATGTTGGTAATCTCTCATGTGAGACATATTTTGGCTTTTTTTTTTTTTTTTTTCTGTTTTGAGTGGTACTGGGGTTTTGAACTCCAGGCTTTATGCTTGCCAAGCAGGGGTTATACCACTTGAGCTACACCCCCTAGCCCTTTTTGCTTTTTGCTTTTTTTAATAGAATCTCACTTTGAGTCCAAGCTGGCCCAAACCACAATCCTCCTGTTTTCACTACCTGTGTTGTAGTTGGGATGAGAGGTACGAACCACTATGCCCACCTTATTTTGGTTGAGATGGAATCTTGCAGACTTTTTCTCCCTGGCTATCCTCAAACAGTGATTCTCCCAGGCTCAATCTTGAATAGCTAGGATTACAGATATGACACTTGTCTAGGTTAAAATATTTTCTTGGTTAAAAATACTTCCTTTGCTGGACACGGGTGGCTCACATCTGTAATCCTAGCTACTTAGGAGGCAGAGATCTGAGGATCATAGTTCAAAGCCAGACCGGGCAAGTAAGTCCTGAGCCTCTTATCTCCAATTAACCACCAGAAAACCGCAAGTGGCTCTGTGGCTCAAGTGGTAGAGTGCTCGCCTTGAGCTGAAGAGCTCAGGGACAGTGTGTAGGCCAAGAGTTCAAGCCCCACAAATGACAAAAAACAACAAAAACTTTTATTTTTTTGCACTACTGAGGATCAAACCCAAGGCTTTGCCCCTACAAATACATTAAAAAACAAAACAAAGCAATTTTGTCTGGATTCTGGTGGTTCTTCCTGTAATCCTAGCTACTCAGGAGGCTGAAATCTGAGATCACAGCTTAAAGCCAACTTGGGCAGGAAAGTCCATGAGATTTTTATCTCCAGTTAAGCACCAAAAAGAAAAAAAAAATCAAAAAGCTAGAAGTAGAGCTGGCTAGTGTGCTAAAACCCTGAGTGTAAGCCCAGGACTGCCAGAAAAACTAAAGTTTTGAAGTGGAACCTGTGTTTGTGTATGTGTGTATACTGTTCTGGGGCTTGAATTCAGGGTGTGGGCAATGTCCCTTAGCTTTTTCACTCAAGGCTGACGCTTTATGACTTGAGTCACAGCTCTATTTACAGCTATTGGTGGCTAACTGGAGATACAAGTCTCACTTCCTGCCATTGCTGGCTTTGAACCATGATCCTCAGATCTCAGCCTCTTCAGTTACAAGTGTGAGCCAGCCACTAGCTCCCAGCTCTTCACACCCCCATCCCCCCAAAAATAGATTAGGCTAGCTTCAACTCATGATCTCCTACCTCAGTTTTCTGAGTGCTAAAATAGCACTTTCGTATACACCCTTGAAAGATTCTGTGAAATACAGCTTGAGACATGAAGCTAATAGAACCCTTTAGGTCAACAGTATAGGTTAGATTCTAGAAATGCCCAGATGGACCCCAAGCCAAACCTCAGAAATGATAAGAGGGCAAATAGCGTTTGAGCAAATTACACAAGTCTGTAGTTAAAGCAAGTTAGGAATCTGGATTGTGTAACTTACTAATTGTGATATATCCTAAACTTCACTCTTCACATCTGTAAAAGTATGTATAATATCTCTTCCAAATAATTACCATAAGGCATATATAAATAATATCTAGAACTGCAGCTGGCATAATGTTTAGAAAAGAATAACTGCAACCAGGAGTCAGTGGATAATGCCTGTAGGAGGCTGAGATGTCAGGATCTGGTTTGAAACTAGCCTAGGCAGAAAAGCCTGTAATACTCTTATCTCCAATTAACCAGTCAGAAGTGCTAGCCTTGAGCAGGAAAAAATAAAGGGACTGCCCAAGCCTCCTGAGTTCAAGCTCCAGCACCGGCACACACACATGACAAAAACTAACTGCAGCATAAATGTGGCCTATTAGTAGGTTAAAGTTTGAAGTTGTCATTTCAGGAAGGTACAAGTTGGAAGTTAGAAAGAGGACACCTGTAACAGACTACTAATATAGAACCAATCAAGTGGCTCATTTCAGTGATAAAGTTCCAACAGTAAAAGTTTCATTTTTATGTAAATTGTTGAACTTTTTTTTTTCTCCATAGTAATGTTGCAGGCCAATGGAATCCAGTCTTTATACAGTCTCTGCCAGAGGAAGATATTGTCATCAGAGATGACCAAGACCCCAGAGTAAGCATGCTAAAGTGCTGCCCTTCTAGTTGGGAGACCGTGCTGTTAGAACTGATCCCCCAAAAAGAACACATTGATTTCTGCTGCTAAGAAGTTCAGTATCATCTGTTTCAACCTGAACTAGAACAAAGCCTTGAGGGCTTGGCTCCTCCCTTCTCTCTATGATGGTCCTGTTGGGCTTTTCTTAGGCAGACTCTCCCCAAGAGTTTGCATTCTGTAAACTTAGTAACCCTGGAGGAAAGAGAGCACTGCTGTCATTGGCCTGGCTTGAGTCATGTGTTCATTCCTGACCTGGTTACTATAATCAGAAGTGATAGAATGTTATAGCCTGGCATGGGACACAGATCCATCTTGGGCTTGCTATTGCAGAACTGGGTGAAGTTAATTGAGTATAGATGGAGAAAGAATGGCTTCCCAAAGAAAGATAAGAGATTTTTAATCAAATAAGGAGAATTGATTCTGGGCATGCACTAATGCTAAGTGCCCATTATATTATTTGTGTTTGTAGGATGCCTACAAACTAGACATTAGATAATTTTTGTTTATTGCCAGTCCTGGGCTTGAATTCAGGGCCTGGGCACTGTCTCGAGCTTCTTTTTTTTTTGCTCAATGCTAGGACTGTACTACTTGAGCCACAGCACAACTTTTCTGTTTATGTGGTATGGAAGAATTGAACCTAAGGCTTCGTGCATCCTAGGCAAGCACACTACCACTGAACCACATTCGCAGACATTTGATTTTTTGGTGGTGGGACTGGGCTTGAATTCAGTGCCTCACTCACCTTTCTTATGTGGGTAATGCTTCATTCTAGTCTCGCTTATTTGCTAATTAATTAGAAATAGAGGCTCACTTTTCTGCCCAGCTGTCTTCCAGCTGTGATCCCCCACATGTTAGCCTCCTGAATAGATGGCATGATACAAGAGTGATTTACTAGGGCTTGGCTTTTGATAATTTTTAATAGGCATAGTAATTATATATTTTAAATTGACATAATTATATTCATTGGCATGTTTGTGTATATGTAATGTATATATGTCTAATAACTATATACTTATTTTATAATTGTATATATGTAATAGTTGTACATATTTATATTTATAGCTTCTGATAAGTTTTTAGTAGATATAATGTATATATTCATTGGCATAATAATTATGCAGATATACACATTTATATTTTGGGATACAGTGTAATCATGATACATGTACACAGAATGTAACTATCAAATCAGTTTGATTAGCATTCCATCTTCATAAAACTTAAGCTTGGGTACATGCTTATTCTTTTTTTTTTTGGGGGGGGGGGGGGTCCAGTCGTGGGGCCTGAGCTCTGGGCCTGGGCGCTGTCCCTCAGCTCTTCAGCTCAAGGCTAGCCCTCTACCACTTGAGCCACAGCGCCACTTCTGGCTTTTTTCTTTTTGCTTATGTGGTGCTGAGGAATTGAACCCAGGGCCTCAGGCATGCAAGGCAAGCACTCTACCACTGAGCCACCTTCCCAGCCCCTATTCTTAAATAGTAGCTCACGTGGTTTATGAGACTTGGTCAGAATAATGAGGCAACAAAAAATTTCACCATTTTATTCTCTCTGTTCTCCCACCTGGGAGAGCTTTTTGGAATTTGTTTTATTTTATTTACATGTAATGCCTATTACTGGTTTCCTTTCTATATGAGGCATAGGTGGTGTAGAAATCAATTTAGCTCAGTGTTCTTCTATCCCTGCCTGTCACCAGTAAACTGGACAAGTCATCTGTCCTTTTTTTTTTGCCAGTCCTGAGGCTTGAACTCAGGGCCTAGGCTAGCACTCTACCACTTGAGCCACAGTGCACTTCTGGCTTTTTCTGTTTATATGGCACCCAGGGTTTCATTCATGCTGGGCAGGCTGTGTGTGTGTGTGTGTGTGTGTGTGTGTGTGTGTGTGTGTGTGTGTGTGTGTGTGTGTGTGTGTGTGTGTGTGTGTGTCCACATACATGCTGGGCAGGCTGTGTGTGTGTGTGTGTGTGTGTGTGTGTGTGTGTGTGTGTGTGTCCACATTCCCAGTGTGTGTGTGTGGCCACATTCCCAGCGTGGTGTGTGTGTGTGTGTGTGTTCATCCTGGGGCTTGAACTCAGAGCCTGGGCTCTGTCCCTGAGCTTCTTTGATCAAGGTTACTGCTTTACTGCTTGAGCCACAGCTCCACTTCTGGCTTTTTTGGTGCTAAAGTGGAGATAAGAGTCACACAGACTTTCCTGCCCACGTTGGCTTCGAATTGTGATTCTCAGACCTCCCCAGTAGCTAGGATTACAAGTGTTAGCCATCAGCGTCCAGCTTCCTCTGTTCTGTTGCTGGAAATTGACAGGCCTTGTTTTCCATGGAGCCACATACGTGCTGTATGATCCCAAAAGGTCATAATCTCCACTTTGAGTGGTATATAACTATACCACTGCTACCAATAGCGCAAATGTAAAACAGCAGAATGTGCATTTTATAAAATATTAATTCAAACTTTGGTGTTAAATTTTGAATTTTTAAAATTTTTCCTCAATTTTATCTTATTCAGAATGACATTAACTTTTATTTTAATGTTTTAACAGGAGATGTACTTGAGGAATCTTTTTATACCAGGACGATTCATAAATGCAGCTTTATGTAAAGCTTTACAGGTGGGTTAAAAAAAATACTTGTTTACTTAATTATTCCTGATTTTATTATTCTGTTAAACACTGAAAAAGTCTTTGTTTGTGAATACCATTGTGATTTGTTTCTAGGACATTATTTAGCAGAATCATTCCCAATAGAGGGACCATGCCTAGGCTTACTCTGTCTTTCCATGAACCAGTCTTAGATGAACTGTTTGTCATCCCCTACAATTTTCCATGCAGCTGTACAGTAACAATTGCCTGCTTTTAAATGGACTTCATTACAATTCTCTCAAATCATGGGTTTCACAAGTGTATTCTGGTGGATGCTATTTTAAACTTGTTACGATTTCAGAAATTCTTTACACAGTTAAGAGGTAAAGGATATTAAGTTGCTTCATTGCCTTCTAAGCTAGAGTATTTTCCATTCAGTTTTGGGTGATATATATAGATATAAATATATAACATGCCTCTAAACATCTCTTAATTTTAGATTTTTTGCCGACGAACTGAGAGAAATCTGGATCTTTCCTGGAGTGAACTAAAGAAGGAAGTTACTTTAGCTGTTGAAAGTGAGGTGAGTTTTGGGTAGAGAAAGGATGATAGTTTCCCTTTTGATACAGGACAGGTTGATACTGAGGAGTTGTCAGAACTGTTTACTTGACCTTGTTAAGTAGAAAGTATTTAAGTGTAAAGAGAGTTAGATATTTATTTGTAAAGTCTGTAGCATTTAATGCATAAGGAATATTCATTTGGCTGTAGCTAGTAAAATCACATTAGACAAATTATATATTTTTTGGTGGAAAAAAATTCAAAATGGTAGTAGGTAGTTTAATTTCTTTTATCTTCTTTGCCAGCTCCAAGGAAGCGTGACAGAATATGAGTTCTCCCAAGAGGAGTTTCGAAGTTTACAAAAGGAATTCTGGAGCAAGTTCTATGCCTGTTGCATTCAGTATCAGGAAGCCTTCTCCCATCCCCTTGCCCTGCATTTGAACCCCCATACAAACATGATGTGCCTGCTGAAGAAAGTAAGGGAGCTGCAGCATACCTGTCTTCCTGGGCAGGCAGACCCTCTTCAGTGGGTCCTCGGAGTGTCAATGTGGTGAATGTTGTAATTAGTGTTGAGGACTCTGTGTTTATGTTTATTTGCTTAAGATTTTTATTCTGCCTACCTTTCTGTTGAAGTAATTTCAAACTTAATGTAAGAATTATATATATAAAAAAAAGAATTTCATATACCTTTCACCCAGATTGTAGTCATTTGATAGCCTCTATTTACTATCTATCCATCCATTCATTTCATTTTTGGTGCTGGGAATTGAACCCAAGGACTTGTTCATGTGAATAAGCTCACACAATACCACTGAGCTATACCCCAGTCCCCAGTCTTACCAGCTTTTCTTCATTTTGTAATTAGATTTTTTATTTTATTTTTTGTACCATTTTGGACTTAAGGGCCCGGACACCATCCCTTAAGTCAAGGCTAGTCCTCTACCACTTGAGCCACACCTTCACTTCTGGCTTTTAGGTGGTTAATTGGAGATAAGAGTCTCATGGACTTATCTGCCCAAGTTAGCTTAGAAATGGGATTCTCAGATCTCAGCCTCCTAAGTGGGTAGAATTACCTGGCTAGAGTTTTTTTTCTTCTGAATCACTTGAGAGATGGAGACATCATGCTACTTTATCCTTATATTTTTCAATGTATATCTAAGAACAAAGAAGTTATCTTAAACACAGCACAAATTAATAGGCAAGCCATTTAATATTGGTATAATAGTTATACAGTTCATATCTAGTTTTGCCAATTGTGCCTATAATTTTTCTTACTGATCTAGGACCCAGTCCAAAACCTTACATATAGTCAGTTGTAATCTCAAATAGTTATCCGCCTTACTTTATTTTTCATGACTATGACACTTTTTTGAAGACTGGGCCTGGGTGCTGTCCCTCAACTCTTCAGCTCAAGGCTAGCGCTCTACCACTTGTGCCACAGTACCACTTCTAGTTTTCTGCTAATTAATTAGAGATAAAGAGTCTCATGGACTTTCTTGCCTTGGCTGGCTTCAAATCATGATCCTTAGATCTTAGCCTCCTGAGTAGCTAGGATTACAGGTGTGAGCCACTGGTGCCTGGCCTTAATTTTAATTTTTTATTTTTTTGGCACTCCTGGGGCTTGAACTCTGGGCTTGGGTGCTGTCCCTGAGCTCCTTTTTGTTCAAGGTTAGCGCTCTAGTTGTTGAGCCATGGCACCACTTCCAGTTTTTCTGTGATTAGTTGGCGGTAAGAGTCTCATGGACTTTTCCGCCCAGGCTGGCTTCAAACCACAGTCCTTAGATCTCAGCCTCCTGAGTAGCTAGGATTATAGACATGAGCCACTGGCACCTGGCTCCTTTTTATTTTTATTTTCTTATCTTTTCTGTTTGAGTATGTGTGATGTTTATACATCTAACCCCTTTCAGCTTAAGTTGATAGATAAAATTACAACATGATTTTCCATGTAATATATTATGAATAATTGTTTTATGAATTTAAATTTTCACTAAAAAGTATAACTGGAAGATTTGTGTTCCAGGGGTACCTGTCTTTCCTGGTGCCCTCCTCCTTGGTGGATCATTTATATCTCCTACCTGATGAGAATCTTCTGACTGAGGATGAGACAAGCATTTCCGATGGTAATAATGTTATATCTATAGTTGATCCCCTTCCTAAATGAGCCATATGCTTTATTTCAAATGAATATAAATGTTTTTAGTGCCATTGTGACTTATCTGGTCAGTTTACTTTATTACAAATATTTTAAAGGAAAACTGAAGAGACTTATCACCTTGAAGACTCCCATTTAATCATTCATGTTTATTTTAATATGATATTAATAGATCTCCTTTGGCTTAAGACTTGACTGTTAATTTTCTCTTAGATGTGGATGTTGCTCGGGATGTCATCTGTCTTATAAAATGTCTCCGGCTGATTAAAGAATCGGTAACTATGGATATGTCAGCTCTGATGGAAGCAAGTTGTTATAACCTACAGTCTCCGGAAAAGTCTGCTGAACGGATTCTGGAAGATCTGATCACTATTGATGTGTAAGGAGAAATTAGGGTAAAGTGCATTTCCTAATGGAAATTCAGCTGGTTTTTAAATATCTGTTAGAATATGTACAAAGCAGTAGTTAAAGTAATTTTCCTTGATATTGAGTATCTCAGCTCTTCTTGTGGTGCCAGTGATTGGACCCAAAGCCCCCTGTATTCTTTTTACTGCTAATCCACATCCTCTGCCTCTGGTTTAGCTTTTAAATAGGATACCTCTTCAGGTCTGAAAACAGACTCATAAAGCATGATAGAGCTATTACCTTCTTAACTAACATATGTATTCTGAAAATTACAAAATTTTTTTGTCACTTTTTCTTATTTCTAAAGAGGAGAGGAAGAATTTGTTCTGTGGAGTCAAGGGGTCCTGTATCTCAGAAAGATTATCTCCATCCTTTATGATGGGGCTGGTTTTCCTATTTCCTAGAACATAGAGCAGATAGCTACAGAGAGCCTACTTTATAGATATAATTATCAGTGGTGATCAGTGTTCTAATCCTGTTTATAGAGAAAATGTGATGGAAGATATCTGTAGTAAACTGCAAGAGATTCGTAACCCAGTCCATGCTATTGGACTTCTTATACGGGAAATGGATTATGAAACAGAAGCAGAAATGGAAAAGGGATTCAACCCAGGTAAATGACAAAACAATAACAGTATTTCTTGACTTAGAGATGACAGTGATATATTTAACTCTAACTTTTTCTTTTCCTTTTTCTTGTTGTAGCCCAGCCTTTGAATGTCCGTATGAATCTTTCCCAGCTCTATGGTAGTAACACAGCAGGGCACATTGTCTGCAAAGGCGTGTATAAAATTGCCAGTACCCGTTTCCTGATCTGTCGAGACCTCCTGATTTTACAGCAGCTGTTAATGAGGATAGGAGATGCAGTAAGTGCTACTTGACGAAAAACTGGTAAAATCTGAAATTTGGTACAGACCTACAGGGACTCAGCGATATATCACTCCCAAGACTTTCCCTAACTTAATCCCATGCTTACCCTAACTAGGTAACCTATAAATATTTGTTAAGTATGAATAAAGATAATCTAAGATTATAGATTATGAACATAGGTGAAGCTAGTTACTGTTAGTATTTGTATAGAAATGCAGATTTTTCTCAGATTAGCTGTACCACTTCAGGGTTTTTGAGACTATATCTAGCTGTGTAGCCATGCAGTGTAGTTAGACTGGCCTCAGACTAAATCCTCTTGCCTCCACTTCCCAAGTGCTAGGGTTACAAGTATGTGCTACCTTGCCTGATGCTGATTAGTACTATGTTGGATACAGTAGCAGGCTTTCCTTTAGAGTACATGGTAAAGATGTAAAAAAGAAACTTCTTTCTATAGGACAAGGCTTACCTGAACACAGTTTTGATGTTAGCAGTTTTCCTCTGTGGTCTACCCAACTGCATTCTGTGTTTCCTTTTCTCCTGTTCTCAGATCACCTATCTTACCATCAAGTTTCCTTATCTCCCCATGTCTTGAGAGTTTTATGCTAAAACTTTTCTTTCTGCCCATGGTAGTCAAGCCGTTTGTCCCTCTTCACCCCAGTGCTGAGGACTGAACTCGGCCCCATACCCCATTTGTTTCTAACTCACATACCTCATTCAAGCCTGGCACAGAAGCACATTCACGCCAATGTGCAAAGAACCAATAGGCCTCTAGGGCTTCTGTAAATATGTATATGTTTAGATCAGAATTTCATAACTCAAATACAATAGTAGGATTTTAGGCAAAAATAGAAAAAGCTTTTAGAAAGATAATCTATGACCACCAAAAAGAAACAGGAACCTGTCCTGAGAGTTTGTCACTTGGGTTAACTCTTAAACATGGTAGATGTAAATAAAGGTTCATTGTGGAACCACTGCAGAATATGGAAGCAGAAGAATTCATCATTTTGGTTACCCAAAATACCACTTTTTACACGTCAGCATATATTTGTGTTCTATGCAGACTTTTTCTTTCAAATGTTGGGGATAGAACCCAAGACTTTGCACATGCTAGGCAAACACTGTACCACATAAGCTATGTCCCAGCTCTTTCATTTACATTTTGTTTTTGAGATAGGGTCTGCCTACTATCTTTCCCCAGACTGACTTGAAACATGAAATCCTCCTGCCTCTACCTCCCAAGCAGGCGGGATGGCAAGTGTGTACATCATACCACAGACCAATAAAGTTTCTTTTTACATCAGTTTCCATGAATTAGTGATTTTGTGCTGCCTGTTTTTTAATTTTTTGGCTGTTTGGGGATATGTTTTGCCAGTTGCTATCCCAAAATGTAATATGTGAGGTACTTTGATAGTTTTGTGCCCTTGGAAACTTTTACTTTACTCTATTTGAGCCTTGTGTATTACCATTTACTATTTATATTGCTTATCTTCTCACCTGTCATGTATAGGCAATTCTGGGAGCTGGTCAGCTATTTCAAGCTCAACAAGACCTTCTGCATCGAACAGCTCCCCTGCTCTTATCTTATCACCTCATTAAATGGGCTAGTCAGTCCTTGGCAACAGACGTTCCAGTTGACACACTGTGAGTTTCACTATCCTAATATTTGTAAAATATATTCTGAGGGTTTTTTCCCTATAGTTTAATTTATGTGTGGGGGTATTTATTGGAGATGGAATCCAGACCCTTAATTTTTTTTTTTTTTGTCTGTTGTGGGGCCTGACCTTTGGGCCTGGGTGCTGTCCCTCAGCTCTTCAGCTCAGGGCTAGCACTCTACCACTTGAGCCACAGCGCCACTTCCACTTTTTCTGCTTATGTGGTGCTGAGGAATGGAACCCAGGGCCTCGTGCACTCTACCACTGAGCTACCTTTCAACCCCCTCTTTTTTTTTCTTTTTCGTAAAGGCTAATATACTACTACTTGAACTACAACTTTACTTCTGGCTTTTTGGTGGTTAATCAAAGATAAGTCTTGAACTTTTCTGCCTGAGCTGACTTCAAACTACAGTCCTCAGGGGCTGGGAAGGTGGCTCAGTGGTAGAGCACTTGCCTTGCATGCCTGAGGCCCTGGGTTCGATTCCTCAGCACCACATAAGCAAAAAGAAAAAAAGCCGGAAGTGGCGCTGTGGCTCAAGTGGTAGAGCGCTAGCCTTGAGCTAAAGAGCTGCTGGACAGTGCCCAGGCCCAGAGTTCAGGCACCATGACCGGACCCCCCTGCCCCCCCCCCCCCAAAAAAAAAAAAAACACAGTCCTCAGATCTCAGCCTCCTGAGAAGCTAAGATTACAAGCGTGAGCCACCAGTGCTTGGCTCTTTTATATAGTACTTTCTAAGGGCTGGAGATAAATACTCACCTAGTATATACAGAGCCCTAGATTAAATCTTCAGCAACACCAAATAAAAAGTCTACATTATGCTGTAAATAATTTTCCTTTTAAGATTCAGAGAGCTTTTCGAATTATATGTGTGTGTGTGTGTGTGTGTATATATATATATATATATATATATATATATATATATATATGCTACATATTTTGTGTCTATAAGGTATAGATAAATTATATTGAAGGCCAAAAAGTAAGATGAAGCTGAAGGGGAAGTTCAATTATACACAAAATCCTGTGCTAGTGATTAAAAGTTGGCTAACTGGGTGTGGTGGTACATTCCTGTAATCTCAGAAACTCAAGAGGCAAAGATTGGGAAGATAACATTTAAGGTCAATCCAGGTAAAAAGTTAGCAAGACCCTGTCTCAGTCAATCAACTGAATATTGTGGTATGTGCTTGTGGTCACAGCTACACATGAGGCATAGGCAGAAAGCTCAAAGTCTAAGATGAGCCATAGTCAAAAACAAAAGAACCTATCTGGAAAATAATTGAAAGAAAAAAAGCCTGAGATTTTGGAGGAGGGTTATTGGGATTTGTTGGGATTTGTTCTGAGCTTTTTTGTACTTTTATTTTTGAAACATCCTTTCATTTTTTGGTTTTTGATGTGTTTGTTTGTTTGTTTGTTTTTGGTTGTTGTTGTTGATATTCTTTTTTCCTTTTTTTTTTTTTCTTTTGTGCCAGTACTGGATCTTGAACTGAGAGCCTAGGTGCTGTCCCTGAACTAGTGCTCTACCACTTGAGCCACAGCTCTACTTCGGAGACATAACTGTTGTTGCACTGTGTAGGGAAGGCTTTAAACTCATGGTCCTCTTACACAGTTACCTGAGTGCTGGAAGAGATTGTTGTAAACCATGAATTTTTTTTCCTTTTTTTCTTTTTTTTTTCTTTTTTTTTTTAAAAGACTGAGACTCCATTTCTTTTATTTTTTGGGAGTCCGGTTGTGGGGTCTGAACTCTGGGCCTGGGTGCTGTCCCTCAGCTCTTCAGCTCAAGGCTAGCGCTCTACCACTTGAGCCACAGCGCCACTTCCAGCTTTTTTCTTTTTGCTTATGTGGTGCTGAGGAATCGAACCCAGGGCCTCAGGCATGCAAGGCAAGCCACCTTCCCACTGAGCCACTTTCCCAGCCCCTTTCCTTTTTTTCTCTTCTATTTTTGTGTTGTTTGTTTCTGACAGTACAGGCAATTGAACTCATGGGCTCATGTTTACTAGGTAAGCTCTCTACTATGTAAGCTATTTTTTGCCTTTTTTTTTAATGGCTTTTTTGCTTTTTTTTTTTTTTTTTGCCAGCCCTGGGGCTTGAACTCAGGGCTTGAGCACTGTCCCTGAGCTTCTTATGCTCAAGGCTAGCACTCTACCACTTGAGCCACAGTGCCACTTCCAGCTTTTTTTTTTTTTTTTTTTGGTCAGTTGTGGGGCTTGAACTCAGTCTGGGCGCTGCCCCTCAGCTCTTCAGCTCAAGGTGAATGCTCTCTACCACTTGAGCCACAGCACCACTTGCAGCTTTTTCTGCTTAGACTTCCAGCCTTTTCTGTTTATGCAAGCACTCTACCGCTAAGCCACCTTCCCAGCCACAGCGGTTACTGTTGAGATACAGTGCTCAGGGCACCGGCCTAGGCTGATCCTCCCACTTGTGCATCCTTCATGTCACTTGAGATGACCGGCATGGGCCACTGTGCCCTGCTAGTATGATTTCCCCATAACTAGGATTACAGACTTGCACAACCCTGCTCAACCATTGGTTGAGATGGAGTCTTACAAACTTTCTTCCTGGATTGGTTTTGAACTGTGATCCTCCATATCTGAGACTCCTGAGTAGCTATGTTTGCAGACATGAGAGAGGGTCACGAAGAGATAGGATAGGCCACAAATCTAAATCCTGTTTCCCAGTTATTTCTTTGTGTCTTTGGTGCTGTTCTATATAGGTAGTGTTCTTGGCAAAAATAGGGTAACTTGTGGGCATAATGCTAGTTTAACTTTGGAGAATTTATTAAACTGTCTTTTCTCACAGAGAGTCTAATCTCCAACACTTATCAGTACTGGAACTAACAGACTCTGGTGCTTTAATGGCAAACAAGTTAGGTAAGGAATCTTTTTGTTTTTCCCTTAATTTTGTTTATTGTTTTGTTTATGTGGTACCAAGGAATTGAACCCTGCTAGACAAGCACTCTACCACTAAGCCATATTCCTAGTCCCAGGAGTGAGCTTTTGATTTGGGGGTTCCTTCTACTTTTATTCAAGTACTTTTGCCACACGTGGTACGGAAATGGAGGCTGTGCGCTTGGCTTTCACTTGAGGTGGGCATGCCAAGCTGTGGCCTGAGACCTGTGGTTGGCAATAAGACTGTGAAGGTATGCTACCACATCAGGCATAAATTAAGGGTGTTTTCCCACATACATTTCTTCATGTAAAGAATGAAAGCTTTTCGAAAGGAATTTAGGACTGCTAAGGATAAAAGTCCTAAGAGTCTGTCATTTAAGTTGCCTTTACTGAGGTATTTGTTTGCTTGTTTTGGTTTGTTTTTTTTTTTTGTGCCAATATTGGGGCTTCAGCTCAGGACCTGGGTCCTGTCCCTGAGCTTTTTTGCTCAAGGCTAGTAGTCTATCGCTCCACTTCTGGCTAATTGGAATCTCCCAGACTCTCACTATGCAGGCTGACTTCGAACCTTGATTCTCAGGTCTCAGCCTCCTCTATGGCTAGGATTACATACATGAGCCACTGGTGCTCAGTTCTCACTAAGTTTTTTTGTTTTGTTTTTGTTTTTGTTTTTTTTGGTCAGTTGTGGGGCCTGAATTCTGGGCCTGGGCGCTGTCCCTCAGCTCTTCAGCTCAAGGCTAGCGCTCTACCACTTGAGGCACAGCACCACTTCCAACTTTTTCTACTTATGTGGTGCTGAGAAATCGAACCCAGGGCCTCATGCATGCAAGGCAAGCACTCTACTACTGAGCCATATTCCCAGCCTTCCGTCTTTTGAGTCTGTAGTTATGAACTCAACAAAACGATGTACCAAGAACATGGTAGTTTTTGTAAAGAGACTCTTTCACATTTGAAACCCTTTTTCTTTTTTTTTTTTAAATTTAATTTAATTTAATTTTTTTATCTGGAGCCTGAACTCAGGGCCTGGATACTCTCCTGGGAACTGCTTCTTTTGCTCAAGGCTAGCACTCTACCACTTGAGCCACAGTACAACTTCCAGCTTTTTCTTTTTCTTTTTTTTTTGGGGGGGGGGGGGGAGTGGAGGGGTTCGGTCGTGGGCCTGAACTCTGGGTCTGGGCTCTGTCCCTCAGCTCTTCAGCTCAAGGCTAGCACTCTACCACTTGGGCCACAGTGCTATTTCCGGCTTTTTTTTTTTTCTGCTTATGTGGTGCTGAGGAATTGAACCCAGGGCCTCATGCATGCAAGGCAAGCACTCTACCACTGAGCCACCTTCCCAGCCCGACTTCCAGCTTTTTCTGTATATGAGGTACTGAGGAATCAAACCCGGGGCTTCATGCATGCTAGGCAAGCACTCTACTACTACATCACATTCCCAGTCTCTTGTAACCCATTTTTTTAGAGAACTTATTTTGTATCATGTCATACTAGGATTTTGGGGACTATTTATTGTAGAGTTCCTAAAGAAGGCACTTAGGTAGGTCAGATCTGTGAAAAGAATGACTTACAATGTTGATATAAGTAGTTTTTTCAATGCATTTGTACAGTATTTCCCAGTTTACTGTTTTTATTTTTATTGCTACTGAAATAGCCATGATGCATTGTTTGTTGAAGTGGTCCATGTTCTTTATTATCAGCATAAAATGAATTAAATAAAATAGACAATCTGAATTAAAAGTTGACATTACCATCACAAGGTTGTGATTGTAACTTTTCCTTTTAAGTTTCTAGCCCTCAGACAATTATGGAGTTATTCTTCCAAGAAGTTGCAAGAAAACACATTATAGCTCATCTCTTCTCTCAACCAAAGGCACCTCTGAGCCAAACTGGATTGAATTGGCCTGAAATGATTTCTGCAGTTACCAATTATTTATTGCAACTTTTGTATCCTTTTGTTTAAAAGTCACTTACCAAGCATACTTCTGTCTAAATAGTCTAAGGTTACTATTCTGCTGTTGTATGAAGTATTTTTATTTTTGCTTGTTGAGATTTTTTTCTTCTTCAGTGCTAAAGACCAAACCCAAGGAGGTCATACATGCTAGACAATTTCTCTCACCTAACTAAACCCCCAGCCAGGAAATGAAGATTCTAGTGTGTGAGTGCCTACCCCTTAACAATAGATGATGATAATGTGTGCACCAGTACTGAAACTTGAACTCAGTGCCACAAGTTCTTGTTTAGCAGTTTTGCTCAAGGCTGGTACTCTACCATTTGAGCAACTCCTCCACTTCTGGCTTTTTGGTGTTTAACTGAAGATAAGAATATAGTGGGAGCCAGGCACTGGTGGCTCACACCTGTAATCCTAGCTACTCAGGAGGCTGAGATCTGAGGATCGCGGTTCAAAGCCAGCCCGGGCAGGAAAGACCATGAGACTCCTATCTCCAATAAACCACTAGAAAACCAGAAGTGGCGCTATAGCTCAAGTGGTAGAGCGCTCGCCTTGAGCTGAAGAGTTGAGGGACAGCGCCCAGTCCCAGAGTTCAAGCCCCATGACCGACCAAAAAAAAAAAAGAATATAGCAGGGACTTTCCTGCCTAAGTTAACTTCAAACTGCCATCTTCAGATCTCAGCCTCCTGAACAGCTACAATTATAGATGTAAGATACTCAACAAATATTTACTGAGTGACTCTATATACTAGGCATTGTGTTACATGCCGTTCATCCCCTATCAGCAGCAGTATTTATCTGCAGTGTACCACTGGAAATAGAATGGCCCTGATACCCATGCGTTTTGCCATCATGAATTGAGTTTGAAGTTTGAGTGACAACTCATGTTATACAATTATGCATTGCTTAATAATGAGACACATAATTTCATTATATATCTTTTTATATAATATATATAATATATCCTCAGGAATGTTATGAGGTGATTTCATCATTATACAGATGTAGCATGTAATTATACCAAGACAAAACTTAAGTCATATAATCTTAAGGGATGACCATCTTTTTTTTTTTGGTCGGTCGTGGGACTTGAACTCTGGGCTTGGCACTGTCCCTGCACTCTTCAGCTCAAGGCGAGCATTCTACCACTTGAGCCACAGAGTCACTTCTAGTTTTCTAGTGGTTTATTGGACATAGGAGTCTCACAGTCTTTTCTGCCCGGGCTGGCTTTGAACCGTGATCCTCAGATCTCAGCCTCCTGAGTACCTAGGATTATAGGCGTGAGCCACCGGCGCCCGGCTATGACCATCATTTATATTCATTTTTTTATTGACTAAAGTAACTGTTAAATGGCTATATGGCCTTTTCACTGGATTTGTCTAATGCTGAAGTTATGTAGTAATGTGGAATAAACATGTTCTTATTTTTTTCATAATGGGGAATGTTTTTTTGCTGTTTGTTTTTTTTTTTGTTTTTGATGGTAAAGCCCAGAGCCTTGTGTATGCTAGGTGAGTTCCCTACTGAATCAAATCCCTACCCACCCTTCACCCTTTTTTGTATGTGCCAATCCTGGAGCTTGACCTCAGGGCACTGTTGTACTTAACGCTAGTGCTCTACCATTTGAGCCATGGCTCCATTTCTGGCTTTTTTTTAGTGTTTGATTGGAGATAGGAGTCACATGGACTTTCCTGCCCAGGTTGTCTTTGAACCAAGATCTCTGGTTTTAGCCTCCTGAGTAGCTAGGATTACAGCCACCTGTGCTCAACCACTTGTTTCTTTTTTTTTCTTTTCTTTCTTTCTTTTTTTTTTTTTTTTTTTTTTTGGGGGGGTCCGGTTGTGGGGCCTGAACTCTGGGCCTGGGCGCTGTCCCTCAGCTCTTCAGCTCAAGGCTAGTGCTCTACCACTTGAGCCACAGCACCACTTCCGACTTTTTTCATTTTGCTTATGTGGTGCTGAGGAATTGAACCCAGGGCCTCAGGCATGCAAGGCAAGCGCTCTACCACTGAGCCACCTTCCCAGCCCTTTTTTTTTTTTTTTTGGTGGTAGCTAGGATTACAGCTGGTAAGCTGCTGGGCCTGGCACTTGTTTCTTTTTTTATACTGTTTCATGGACTGTTTTGAGTTTGTCACTTAATAACACACACACACACACACACACAAACTTCACCAAAAAATGTAAAACAAATTTCCTTATTGAGTGACTAGATGGCCTAGCAATCCTGGTTGTCTCTTCCTAGAATGTTTGATGGGAAATTGCCAGTATGTACAACTGCAGGTGAGTTATGTTGAACATTTCAAGTATAATCATTCTTTTTTTCTTTTCTTTTTTTTTTGCCAGACCTGGAGCTTGAACTCAGGGCCTGATCACTGTCCCTGAGCTTTTTGCTCAAGGCTAGCACTCCACTTTAGCCACAGTTCCACTTCCGGCTTTTTCTGTTTATTTGGTACTGAAGAATCTAATCCAGTGTGTGCTAGGCAAGCACTCTACCACTAAGCCACATTCCCATTCTTTTATCTACTGTTTGTTTGTTTGTTTTTCTTCTGGGTCGGGTCGTGGGCCTGAACTCCGGGCCTGGGTGCTGTCCCTCAGCTCTTCAGCTCAAGGCTACCACTTGAGCCACAGCGCCACTTCCGGCTTTTTTTTTCCTGCTTATGTGGTGCTGAGGAATCGAACCCAGGGCCTCATGCATGCAAGGCAAGCGCTCTACCACTGAGCCACCTTCCCAGCCCTTATCTACTTTTTTGTATGTATGTTATGGTCCTGAGATTTGAACTCAGGGCTTAAGTCCTATTCCTTAGCTGTTTCACTCAAGGCTGGCACTCTACCACCTGAGCCACAGCTTTACTTCTTACTTTTGGTGGATAATTGGAGATGAAGAGTCTCATGGACTTTCTTGACCAGGCTTACTTAAAATTGTGATCCTCAGGTCTCAGTTTCCTAGAAGTTAGGATTATAGGCAAAACCACCAGCACTCAGCTGGAAACCAGTTTTCTAAGGAGGTCCACTTAACGTTTTTGTTGTTGATTTGTCACTACTGTGTAGTTCTATAACTTTTTTCATTATTCCAAAAAGCCACCTCGTACCTATTAGCAGTTACTCCCCAGTTTTCCTTCTCCTTAGCCCCTGTCGATCATTAACCTTAATATAACCAACTTAACTCTTCTGAACATTTAAAAAAAGAGCATTATGGAACACGTGGTTTTGTTGGGTTTTTTTGGTTTTGGTTTTTTTTTGGGGGGGGGGGGTTCGGTCGTGGGGCCTGAACTCTGGGCCTGGGTGCTGTCCCTCAGCTCTTCAGCTCAAGGCTAGCACTCTACCACTTGAGCCACAGCACTACTTCCAGCTTTTTTCTTTTTGCTTATGTGGTGCTGAGGAATCGAACCCAGGGCCTCATGCATGCAAGGCAAGCGCTCTACCACTGAGCCACCTTCCCAGCCCCTAGTTTTTGTTTTTTTTTAAAAGTGTATTTTCTAACCAGAAAGTTCCTTTTATGCTTTTAAGGATTATATTCAACTGCTACACCCTTGGTGTCAAGTCAACGTTGGTTCCTGTCGATTTATGCTGGGCCGGTGTTACCTAGTTACAGGAGAAGGACAGAAGGTAATATGCATTGACTGGTAAATAAATGTATCAAGGATACTTGACATCTGTTAACTAAATTGCACAAAGTGGAAGCAGAGTCTTGTGGAGGACAAAAACCATTGTATGGGTGTGTACTAGTGGGTCACGCTTGTAATCTTAGCTACTCTGGAGGCTGAGATCTGAGGATCGCAGTTCAAAACCAACCCAGGCAGGAAATTCCACGAGACTCTCCAGTTAATCACCAGAAAACCAGAGGTTTTAAGCTGTGGCTTAAATTGGTAGAGCACTGGCCTTGAGTGCAAAAGCTCAGGGACAGCACCCAAGCCCTACTTGACCACCACCACCAAGAAAAAGCTTTCTATGAGGTCCAGTAAAGGATGTAATTTACATGTCAGGACAATCTGGCTTCTTGTACTTAATGTTTAATTACAGCATAGGAAGATAAGATGTTAAAATCTGTCCCAAGCATGTGTTTGTGAGGTTGCATTTTTATAAATGGCATTTTTAGTCATTGTTTTCCATTATATCTTCTTGTTTATACAGATTTTTTTCCCTGCATGACTGTTCACATTTTTTCCTTGTTCCTAGTAACTTTGTACATTTTCAAACATACAGAAAAGCTCAAAAACTTTCACAGAGGACTGTGACCTGCCACCCCAAATTCTGTGTCACATGCTACTACAGTTCTTTTGTTATGTTCTGATTAAAGTTTACCCTTTTTTGCAGCACTGGGGATTGAATGCAGAGTCTTTTACATGCTGTGCAAGCACTGTGCCTCTGAACTGTTTATTCACCATCTTTTTAAAAATCTTAATTTGTGATAGGGTCGTGCAAAGTTGTTTTTTTTAATTTTTTTTTTTTTTTTTTTTTCCGGTCCTGGGGCCTGAACTCTGGGCCTGGGCGCTGTCCCTCAGCTCTTCAGCTCAAGGCTAGCACTCTACCACTTGAGCCACAGCACCACTTCCGGCTTTTTTCTTTTTGTTTATGTGGTGCTGAGGAATCGAACCCAGGGCCTTGAGCATGCAAGGCAAGCGCTCTACCACTGAGCCAACTTCCCAGCCCCAAGGGTCGTGCTAAGTTGTGCAGGCTGACCTTGTACTTGCAGCCAGCCTGCCTCAGACTCCCAAGTAGTTAGGATTCCAGGCATAAATCACTGTACCTGGAATGTTTATTTGTTTGTTTTAGTTAATTACACTTAAAACATGAAAAAAGTTAAAAATCCTAAATAATATATTAGAGTTTAGAAGTAGCAAAAATTGTGCATATGTGTGAGAGTATGAGTGTCACTATAGTAGACTATCGTAAATAATTTCGTTTCCATTTTGGTTTTCCTTAGCACCTGAACTTCTGATTTATAGCACCTAGAATTGAAATAGTCTGTTGTAAGTCACCTGGTATTTTTTAACTTCTGCAGGCTCTGGAATGTTTCTGTCAGGCAGCATCTGAAGTGGGCAAAGAGGAATTCTTAGATCGCTTGATCCGTTCAGAGGATGGGGATATTGTGTCTACCCCCAGACTACAGTATTATGATAAGGTAAAATGTCATGGTTTGGCCTTTCTTACACCATCCTGTGCATCTGAAATATAATGCTTTAGTTTAGTTTGGTTTTTGGTTTTTTGTTTTGTTGTTTTTTTTTTTCTGGTCCCAGAACTTGGAACTCTAAGACAGGGTAATGTCCTTGAGCCTCTTTGTGCTCAAGGCTAGCACTCTACCACGTGAGCCACAGCGCCACTTCCAGCTTTTTCTGATAAAAGCCATGGACTTTTTTGCCCAGGCTGGCTTTGAACCATAATCCTCAGATCTCAGCCTCCTGAGTAGGAGTAGGATTACAGGTGTGAGCTACTGGCACCTATCTTTGCTTTAGTATTTTTGAAGAAAAATACTATAATAATTTAATAAGTTCTTCCAAGTAAAAACCCAAAATAAATTTACCTAGAGAAATACCAACTCTTACAAAAGATATCAGTTAGGATGCACTAACACAGGGTTGTGTGTGGTCTGTCATTTGGTCTTTTACCTGGGGTCATTGTCAATCTGTTTCAGGTTTGTTAAAATAGGTTCTTCCTATTTTAGGAGGTAGGCAAGGCTGCCTTCAAACTCAACTATGTAGCCCAGGCTAGCATACATTGTTTCCCGTGGGCAAGAGTTAGACCCTTACATTATGTAGTTTAATTTTAATGAAACTCACCTTTAAAATGTGGCTTTTTAAAATTTACTTCAAATGCCAAGCATGGTGGTGTGTGCCTGTAGATCCAGCGCTAAGGCGGAAGGATCACTTGACGCTAGGCTTTTGACACTAGGTATGACTAGTCATATACCCCCATCTCAATTTTTGGTTGTTGTCATGTGTATGCCAGTAGTAACGTTTGAATTTGGGGCCTAGGCACTGTCCCTTATGTTTTTTTCTTCAAGGATGGCTCTGTACCACTTGAACCACAGCACTATTTCTGGGGAGGGAGAGAGATAGAGTATATGTGTGTGGTTAATCAGAGATAAAATTCTCATGAACTTTCCTGCCTGCGTTAGCTTCAAGCCTTGATCCTTAGATCTTAGCCTTCTGAGCAGCTACAATTATAGCAGTGAGCCCCAGTGCCTGCCAGTGTCTATTTGACTGCAGCTCCATACATGAGTTCATATGGCTGGTGCTGTTATCTACTATTTGAGTCACACTTCTAGTCTAGCCTTTTGCTGGTTTATTGGAAATGAATTTTACAAACTTTGCTGTCCAGGCTGACTTTGAACCTTGATCCTCAGATCTCTACCCCTTGTGTAGATTATAAGCATGTGCTACTAGCATCTAGCAAGTTTGTTTGTTTTTTTCCAATCCTGGGGCTTGAACTCAGGGCCTGGGCACTATCCCTGAGCTTCTTCTGTTCAAGGCGAGCGTTCTACCACTTGAGCCATAACACCACTTCCAGTTTTCTGATGGTTAATTGGAGATAAGAGTCTCACAGATTTTCCTGCCCAGGCTAGCTTTGAACCAGGATCCTCAGATCTCAGCCTCCTGAGTAGCTAGGATTACAGGCCTGAGTCACTGGCACCCGGCGCCACTAGCCTTTTTTTGCTTTCTTTTTCTTTTCTTTCTTTTTTTTTTTTTTTGGGTCCGGTCGTGGGGACTGAACTCTGGGCCTGGGCGCTGTCCCTCAGCTCTTCAGCTCAAGGCTAGCACTCTACCACTTGAGCCACAGCGCCACTTCCAGCTTTTTTTCTTTTTGCTTATGTGGTGCTGAGGAATCGAACCCAGGGCCTCATGCATGCAAGGCAAGTGCTCTACCACTGAGCCACCTTCCCAGCCCCTGCTTTCTTTTTCTTTCTGATGAGGTCTCAGACTACAATCCTACCTGTGGCCTCTTGAGTAGTTGAGATTATAGGTATTGCACCACCACACTTGGCTTATTTGTTGAGATATGCTCTTTTTTTTTTTTTTTTGGTTAGTTGTGGGGTTTGAACTCAGGGCCTGGGTGCTGTCCCTGAGCTGAGCTCTTTTGATCAAGGCTAACGCTTTATCACCTTGAACCACAGTTCCACTTCCAGTGTTCTGGTGATGAGTTGGAGATACAAGTCTTACAGACTTTCCTGCTCGGGCTAACTTTGAGCCACGGTCCTCAGATCTCAGACTCCTGAGTTACTAAAATTATAGGTGTAAGCCACCAGCACCCGGCTGTTCTTATTATTCCTTATTTTTGGTCCCTTCTGGCCTTGGATCCTCCCAATATATGCTTTCCTAGTAACTAGAATCCCTTGATTTCATCTTGATTTTATCTGATTATCTTTCTAATTAACCTAGAACCAAAATAAAATTTCTAGTGTCACTACCATGTTGATTTTAGTGGAAATTTGTTTCTCTTCAGGTTTTACGTCTACTCGATGTTGTTGGCTTGCCTGAATTAGTTATACAGTTGGCTACATCAGCAGTAACTGAAGCAGGTGATGACTGGAAAAGCCAGGTACAACTAGGTGTAATCTGGTTGTTTTCCTGAAGTTTGTTGTGGATGTGGTATTTTAATATCTCTTCTTTTTTGATATTTAATCCAAATTTAGGCTACTTTAAGGACATGCATTTTCAAACATCATTTGGATTTGGGTCACAATAGCAAAGCATATGAGGCCTTAACCCAGATTCCTGATTCCAGCAGGTAATCTCAGAGTGTTTTTAGAGAAGGCAATTTACCAGCCCTGTTTAACTCACTAAGACAATTCATCCTCATCTCCCTCTCTTTCCTTCCAGGCAGTTAGACTGTTTACGGCAGCTGGTGGTAATTCTTTGTGAACGTTCACAGCTACAGGATCTTGTAGAGTTTCCCTATGTTAATCTGCATAATGAGGTATTTTTATCTGTCCATTGGTATCTAGAAATAACTGGTGGTTGCCATGATTGCTGCTGACTTTCTGATTGATTTCTCCTACATTAGGTTGTGGGGATAATTGAGTCACGCGCTAGGGCTGTGGACCTTATGACACACAATTACTATGAACTTCTCTATGCCTTCCATATCTATCGCCACAATTACCGAAAAGGTAAGCAGTTGAACCAATACTTGTTGTTAGGGACAACCTTATAAGTTTAATCATACTTTTCAATACAGTTTGTGAGGGAGGTCTTGTGTAATTCTTTTTTTTTTTTTGCCAGTCCTAGCACTCTACCACTTGAGCCACAGTGCTACTTCTGGCCTTTTCTGTTTATGTGGTACTGAAGACTCAAACCAAGGGCTTCATGCATGCTAGGCAAGCTCTCTACCACAAAGACATATTCCCAGCCCATACTGAAATTTACTTTTCTGTTGTTGTTGTTTTGGTCAGTTACAGGGCTTCCACTCAGGAAGGGTCTGGGTGCTATCCCTGAGCCTTGTTGTGTTCTAGGTTAATGCTGTGTCACTTAAACCACAGCACCACTTCCAACTTGTGTAAATTAGCTTCACCTGTTAGCTTGGAAGACGTGTGCTTGCTCTCAGCTAGAGCATTTTCAGGTGATGCTAAGGAGATGCAGTCTGTATATATTTTCATTCAATAATGAAGAAAACTGGACTTTTTCATTACAGACAACTTGCACTCATCTATTTTGCTGTGTCATTTCCTATCTCTCTTCCTCCTGTCTGCCTTATTATAACTCATTGTCACTATTTACTAATCTATTCTTGCCAATTTTGTTGACGGTAAGTTACATTTACCATGACTTAACACATAAAATACTTCCAATGTCTCTTACAAGGATATTCTTTTCTTGATCTTGGATTCAATTTTCAAGTTAATTTAGTATTCAAAATTTAAATGAAATGCTATTTTTTTTTTTTTTACACTACCAACTGTCATAATAGTGGTCTTTTGTTTTTGCTTGTGTGCTAGTACATTATGGGGGCTTGAACTCAGGGCCTCCCTGTTTGTTGCTTGGGTCCGGCCTATACCACACTTCTTCTATTTAGACCTTCTATGCTATGATGACAGGTTCACACCACCACACCCAGCCCTTTTGCTGAATTAGGGTCTTGCTAACTTTTTACCCAGGCTGGTCTTGAGCCATGATTTTCCACCTCCCTAGTAACTGCAACTATAGGTGTCGGCCACCATGGCTAGTCATTTAATTGTGTGTGTGTGTGTGTGTGTGTGTGTGTGTGTGTGTGTGTGTGTGTGTGTGTGTGTGTGTGCGCTCGTATGTGTATGTCTATGTGTTTATGTGTCTGTGTATCAGTCCTAGTGTCTTGAACTCAGGGTCTAGGCACTGTCCCTGAGCTTTTTGGCTCAAGGTTAATGCTCTACCACTTGAGCCAGCTCTGTTTCTGGCTTTTTTGTTGGCTAATTGGAGATAAGAGTCTCTTTCCTCACTGGCTGGCTTCTAACCATGATCCTCAGATTTCAGCCTATTAAGTAGCTATTATAGGCATGAGCCACCAACACCCAGCTGCTGTTTTATTTTTTGAGAAACCACCATACTGTTTTCCACAACTGCTATACCGTTTTACATGCTCAGCTATAGTGCACCAGGGTTCTAGTATCTCCATATAAAAGTGTATGGTTGTTGGTGGGGCGGTTTAAAAGAAACTATTTTGAGTAGTAATATTTGATTGGTGTAACAAATTCTGTGTATATAGCTAAAGAAACGAATTTTCCTGCACGGGCTGGCTGTGAGCTGCAATCCTCAGATCTCATTTTTTCCTCATAGCTGGCACAGTGATGTATGAATATGGAATGCGTCTTGGCAGAGAGGTTCGAACTCTTCGAGGACTAGAGAAGCAAGGCAACTGTTATCTGGCTGCTATTAATTGCTTGCGGCTCATTCGTCCAGAATATGCATGGATTGTACAGCCAGCATCTGGAGCTGTGGTATACAAGTTTACCATTTTAGAATTTAAGGCCATTTAATTCATTTAACTTTTTCCTTTCAAAACTTACCTCCTTTTGAAGCACCCAGCTTTATTTCTTTTTGTTTAAAATTTCTACTTAGGTTTTATTAGTTTGTTTTGTATGGTGCTGAACCTAATTCAAGGTCTTGCACTTGTTAGGCAAGCCATCTTTCACTGAGCTAAATCTCCATCCCTCTATTGAGGTATTTCTAAACTTCTCCCTTTGCAGCAATTTGGCTGTTATAGATTACTATCCCTTTAATTTCCAAATTAAGAATTTTTACAGGCAGAATTGTTGCAGAATGACTTTGGAGTTAGATAAATCCCTTAAACTTTTGCTGTTCAGTTATTCTCGTGTATAAAACAGATGATAATATCTGCTTTATGAAGGATGGTTTTTGTGTTAGAGGTGATTTAAATATATTGATAGTGTTTAATAAATAGCTGCTTTTATTTTGACTTATCTGTTAATTCAGTCTATAAGTATTGTTGGAAAGGATACAAACTTGTTTTGTTTTCTTTCTGTCCTACTGGTGGCTCACATATGCCTGGCTCTTTGCATTATATAGTTGGTATATTTACTAAGCTGTTGTCCAGGGCTGGGATGTAGCTCAGTGGCAAAGCGCTTGCCTAGCAAGTGCAACGTCCTGGGTTCGATCCCCAGTACCAAAAAAGAAAAGACAAAAAAAAAAAATACAGTTAAGCTGTTGTCCAGAGTTATTATCAGTAGGAAATATAACTCTGGAACCAAGGAAAGGTAACATGATTTATATGTAGATCAAATCCATGTCCATGGATTAACTAACATATTATAAACAAGTGAGCCACTGGCACACAACTTCATCTCTTTGTCTGATAGTTACAGTGCCTCTGTAAGATGCTACAACAGTGAGATTAACTTCTAGAATCATTTAAGCATGAAGGATCTAAACAATTAACAGTTAAGTCACTTATTCTGTCTTTTCAGTATGATCGACCTGGAACATCCCCTAAGAGGAATCATGATGGAGAATGCACAGCTGCTCCAAGTGAGTTGGTGGCACTGTAGTTTTGCTAGACAGTAGTTACATTGTTACAGTAGAAGTGTAGATGAAGTTTATGTTAGATATAATACATAGTTATATTGTAACATTATTGTATTATAGACTGAAAATATTACACATAATGGTTACATTCTTGTATAATTCTGTCTTTTTAGTTTTTTTTTTAACTTTTTTTAAGGTTTTTGTCAACATTCTAGTCAGCTAAAGATTGCTTGAAAGTGTTGTATGATGGGATGTGAAATGAAAATGTTTTTTAAAAAAGAACTGTTTTGTGTCTTTTAGTGTGTGTCTTTCCCCGCCTCTTTCTGTGTCTCTCTCTCTCTCTGTTGGTCCTAGGGCTTAAAATCAGGGCTTGGGCACTGTCCTGAACTTTTCTACTCATCTTTAGTGCTCTACCATTTGAGTTATAGTTTCACTTGCAGCTTTTTGTTAATTATTTGTAGATAGGAATTTCATGGTCTTTCCTGCCTAGGCTGGCTTCAAAGGATGATTCTCACATCTCAACCTCCTGAGTAGCTAGGATTATAGGCGAGAGCTGCCTCCTTTCTTTGTTACATTTATTTATTTATTTATTTATTTGGGTCCGGTCATGGGGCCTGAACTCTGGGCCTGGGCACTGCCCCTCAGCTCTTTAGCTCAAGGCTAGCACTCTACCACTTGAGCCACAGTGCCACTTCCGGCTTTTTTCTTTTTGCTTATGTGGTGCTGAGGAATCGAACCCAGGGCCTCAGGCATGCAAGGCAAGCCCTCTACCACTGAGCCACCTTCCCAGACCCAGTTGTTACATTTAAATCAGCTCCATAGCAGACATTTTTCATCAGATTTCTTTGATATAGTTGGGAGGCATGATACTTCATCAAGAGCCTATGCTCCTGATTTTAATTATATGTCTCACCATGGTTGTGTCCTTTCTTGCTGATCAAGATGGCAGTCATTTCAGTTGTAAAGTTAAATCAAGTGACACATGAAGTACTTGTATCAGTGCCTCCTCAACCACAGGTATTAATTGGAGAACTTTATCTAATCAGCAGAGAGTGATTCATTTTTTTAAGTTTATTTTTGTTGAGTCCCCTGTTGTCTCCCTTCATGAATTTGAAAATTAAGTTGAATGTTACTTAATATTTAGTGGAAATTGATAGGTTAAGTTAACCTAATAGATACTTCCTTTGTACTTCAAAAAATGAAATGATTTTTCTTTGCCATGTAGCCAATCGGCAAATTGAAATCCTGGAGCTGGAAGATCTAGAGAAAGAATGTTCCTTGGCTCGAATTCGCCTCACTTTGGCACAGCATGATCCATCAGCAGTTGCAATTGCAGGTAGGAATTTAACCAGTAAAATTTCTAACCTGTCAGTACCAGTAGCACAGTTTAGGGCCAGGCAGTGGACATGGTGAATGTAAAGCATGAGATTGTTACTCTGAGATATTCCATCAACAAAGCAAACTCTTTTTTCTGGCTCATATACACTTGATGTACTAACTAGCATATTTCCACAGGAAGTTCATCAGCTGAGGAGATGGTTACTCTGCTGGTTCAGGCTGGCCTATTCGACACTGCCATATCACTGTGTCAGACTTTCAAGCTTCCTTTAACACCAGTCTTTGAGGGGCTTGCTTTCAAGTATGTAAAAAATTACCTTTCAATATTTTTAACTTGTTGATACAAGATATAGTATTGCTTAGTATAATTCACTTCTGACAAGCCACTAGTCTTTAATTCATTTCCTTTTTTTTTTTTTTTGATGGCTGTGGGGATTGAACTCTGGGCCTGGGTGCTGTCCATCAGCTCTTCAGCTCAAAGCGAGCAGCACTCTACCACTTGAGCTACAGTGCCACTTCCAGTTTTCTGGTGGTTTATTGGAGATAAGAATCTCACGAAGCTGGGCGCTGGTGGCTCAAGCCTGTAATCCTAGCTACTCAGGAGGCTGAGATCTGAGGATCGCGGTTCAAAGCCAGCCCGGGCAGGAGAGACCGTGAGACTCCTATCTCCAATAAACCACCAGAAAACCGGAAGTGGCGCTGTAGCTCAAGTGGTAGAGTGCTTGCCTTGAGCTGAAGAGCTGAAGGACAGCGCCCAGGCCCAGAGTTCAAGCCCCACGACCGACAAAAAAAAAAAAAAAGAATCTCACGAATTTTCCTGCACGGGCTGGCTGTGAGCCGCAATCCTCAGATCTCAGGCTCCTGAGTAGCTAGAATTACAGGCGTGAGCCACCAGCACCCAGCTAAGTCATTTGCTTTAAAGGAGTATTTTGTTTGATCATGCAACCACTTTTAAAAAAAAATGCAGTGACTTAGTTCTTTTGTTGTTTGTTTTTTGCTGGTCCTGAGGCTTGAACTCAGGGCCTGGGCACTGTTCTTGAGCCTCCCTGTGTGCAAGGCAAGTGCTCTACCACTTGAGCCACAGTGCCACTTCCAGTTTTCTGAGTGGTTTATTGGAGATAAGAGTCCCACAGACTTTTCCGCCCAGGCTGGCTTTGAACCGCATCCTCAGGTCTCAGCCTCCTGAGTAGCTAGGATTACAGGTGTGAGCCACCATTACCTGGCTACTTTGGGCTTTTTCTGTTTATGTGGTACTCAAGAATTGAACCCACAGCTTTATGCATGGTAGGCAAGCATTTTACCACTTAGCCAAATTCCCAGCCTGGCCTATAGTTTTACTTTCTAATTATATAAAGTTATATTCTTGACTAATAGGTTCTCTTGAGAAGTCATAAGAGCAAAAACTATGACTGCTGGGTGCTAGTGGCTAATGCCTATAATAGTAGCTACTTAGGAGGCTGAGATCTGAGGATCTTTGTTTGACACCAACCCAGACAAAAAAGTCAAACTACTCAGAAAAAACTGGAAGTAGCATGTAGCTCACAGTGCTAGCCTTGAGCAAAAGAACCTCACTAATGGAGCCTAGGCCCAGAGTTCAAGCCCCAGGACCTGCAAAAAACAAAACAGAAAAAAAAAACAAACCTGTTACTGGGCTAGAGGTGTAGATCAGTAACAGTGCAGTCACATAGCATAAACAAGGCCATGCGTTCTTTCAAATCTTAAAATTTTTTTACCCTTCATCTTCTGGAAGTAAATTGTCTCTTGATACTTCTGATGGCTTTTATTGCAGATGCATCAAGTTGCAGTTGGGAGGAGAGGCCGCTCAAGCTGAAGCCTGGGCCTGGCTTGCAGCCAATCAGCTTTCCTCTGTCATCACTACTAAGGAATCTAGGTATGCCCCTAGAGTTCTTCCAGAATTGGTTGGGTTTGCCTGTCTCAGAACTGTACTCCTTCCTTCTCTCTCTCTCTCTCTCTCTCTTTCTCTCTTTCTTTCATTCTTTCTCTCCCTCTCCTTCCTTCCTGTCTTCCTTCCTTCCTGTCTTCCTTCCTTCCTGTCTTCTTTTCTTCCTTCCTTCCTTCCTTCTTTCCTTCCTTCCTTCCTTCCTTCCTTCCTCCCTTCCTTCCTTCCTTCCTCCCTTCCTTCCTTCCTTCCTTCCTTCCTTCCTTCCTTCTTGCTTTCTCTTTCATCCTGTTATGACCTGTCCTGTCCTGTCCTGAAGCTTGAACTCAGGGTCTTGGGTGCTGTCCCTGAACTTCTTTTGCTCAAGGCTAGCATTCTACCACATGAACCTCAGCTCCACTTCTGGCATTTTTGTTGTTGTTGTTAGTCGTGGGGCTTGAACTCTAGGCCTGGGCGCTGTCCCTCAGCTCTTCAGCTCAAGGTGAGTGCTCTACCACTTGAGCCACAGAACCACTTCTGGTTTTCTGGTGGTTAATTAGGGATAAGAGTCTCATGGACTTTCCTGCCCGGGCTGGCTTTGAACCATGATCCTCAGATCTCAGCCACCTGAGTAGCTAGGATTACAGGTGTAAGACACGGGTGCCCAGCTACTTCTTGATAGTTTTTGATACTTTTTAATAGTTTCATGGAGATAAGAGTGTCTACAGTCCTGCCAGGGCTGGCTTTGAATTGTTATTCTCAGGTCTGAGCCTCTTGAGTACCTAGGATTATAGGCATGAGCCGCTAACACTTGGCTAGAGCTTTCTTTTCTTTAAATATTTCTATACTGCTTAGTTTGCTTCTTTCTTTCATTTGTTTATTTATTGGCTAAGTTGTATTATTTTTGTTCCTTTTGTTTTGTGTTGTTTTGAGACAAAGTTTTACTATAGAGCCCAGCCTAGCATCAAGCTCTCAATCCTATCTCAGCTTTCTAAGTGGTAGGATTGATTACAGGCATGGGCTACCATGCCTGGCCTTGGCTATTTATAAAAATAGCCAAGCTTCTATAAAGAAGCTGTAAAGTTTATAATTAGGATGACTTTGTACCATTTTATTATTCAAACCAGGATGTCTTTGCGTATGAAATATCTCCTCTGCATCCTCTTCCTCAAGACATTTAGTATATTATATCATTAAGACAAAGTACTCTTGCTGGGCACCCATTGCTCATGTCTATAATTCTTGCTATTCAAGAGGCTGAGACCTAGCACACTGTAATTCAAAGCCAGTTGGGACAGAAAAGTCCTCCTGACTCCCATCTCCAATTAACAAGCAGAAGGCCTGGCTGGCGTTATGGTACATGCATATTAATAGGTATTTAGGGCTGGAGTAGGAGGATCATGGGAACTCAGAAGATTCAAGACCAGTCTGGACAACATTGAAAGCCTGTCTCTTGTCAGTTGGTCTAGTGATCCCTTACTTATCATGGGAGTTGAGTTTCAGAGGACCTCCCCCCCCCCTGCGCCACACACACACGCACACACATAATAGGTATAGCAGTAAGGGACCACAATATAGCAAGGGACAACTAACACAGCTACTTCATGGATTTTCACCTATCAGGGTAGTTTCTGGAACCTCACTACTGTGATAGATGAGGGATCACTATTTACCTTTTTTTTTTTTTTCCAAACCTGAGATAGAGTGAAGCCACAATAAGTGAACAGCAATAAGTGAACCGCAATATAATGAGGGACTACAATATTGGGGTTTGAAATCAGGGCCATGCAATTGCTGAGCAAGCATTCTACCATTTGAGGCATTCCACCAGTCTTTTTTGCATTCATTTTTGCAGATACAGTCTTGATTTTTTTTACCAAGCTGACCTAGACCATGATTTCCTTGAAGCAAAAATGGTAGATGCTTATCACTAGGAGCAACTTTATTGGTTGAGATACAACTCTATCTTCTAAGTCAAAATTTCTATGTGAATCTATTGCTTAATCAGGTTTGGAGACTAGTGATCTGAGCTAGTTTCTTTATATTTATTTATTTTGGTGCCCATCCTGGGGTTTGAACTCAGGGTTTCACTTCCAGCTTTTTGGTGGTTAACTGGAGATAGTCTCTTAGACTTTTCCTTCCTGGGCTGGCTTCGAACTGCAATTATCTCAGCCTCCTGAGTAGCTGGAAATACAAGCATGAGCCACAGGGCCCAGCTTTGGTTCCCCAATTTTAAGAACTCCCAAAATGGAGCCCAAGTGCTGATGGCTCGCACACAATCCTAGCTACACAGGAGGATGGGATCTGAGGATAGCACTTCAGAACTAGCTCAGGCAGACAAATTTAAGAGCTTCTTAATTCCAACAAGCTAGAAATGGAAATGTGGATCAAGTGGTAGAGTACCAGTTGTGAGAGAAAAGGTGAAGGAAGAACCTGAGTCCCTAATATCAAACTCCAGTACTGGCCAAAAACAATTTTTTTTTAAGTGAAACAAAATCATAAAACAAAATAAATGTGTATGTGGTTAGCGGGAGAATAATTAGAATAATCAAAATCATCTAGTTAGTAGTACTGTCCTCCTGTCATATTAGTCCTAGTAATAATTACAATTTATCTCTATAATCAGTTTAATTATGAGCTTCTAAAGATTTTTATTTATAAATACCTTTTATAAAGGGTGGAGGTGTGGCTTAACTGGAAGAGTGCCTGTCTAACAAGCATGAAGCCCTAAGTACAAATCCCAGTACTGCCAAATCCCAGTATGTGCTATGAATAATACTGTAAATCTCTGTTAAGAATCTAAAACTTGGGCTGGCAAGCTTTGATCCTCAGTCCCAAAAAAGAAAAGACAAAAAGAAAAAGAATCTACAACTTTTTAGTAACCAGGATATAGACTTTTAAAAAAAAATTAAAAATAAGATGACTGAAGCTCATTTGTTTTACTTTTTTTCAAGCGCTACAGATGAAGCTTGGCGATTATTGTCTACTTACCTAGAAAGATACAAAGTCCAGAATAACCTTTATCACCATTGCGTAATCAACAAGCTTTTGTCCCATGGAGTGCCTCTGCCTAATTGGCTTATAAACAGTTACAAGGTATGTGGTGTCTTAACTTACAGCTCAGTGGTAGAGCGCTTGCCTTGCATGCATGAGGCCCTGGGTTCGATTCCTCAGCACCACATAAGCAAAAAGAAAAAAAGCCGGAAATGGTGCCGTGGCTCAAGTTGTAGAGCGCTAGCCTTGAGCTGAAGAGCTGAGGGACAGCGCCCAGGCACAGAGTTCAGGCCCACGACCGGACCCAAAAAAAAAAAAAAAGAAGAATCCACTTAAAGTTATTCTGAATAACTTCATAAAATGATTAAAAAGAAAAAGACGGAGTGATAATTTATGGAACCATATACTTTGGGCAATTTCTCAATTATAGCTAAAATAACTAAGAATTTAACTTAAATTCCAAACATAGTACTGGGTATTTAAAGTCCCACAGGTTAGTAATTTGACTAATTCCTGTTTGTATTTAAACTAATGAATATATGCATGATACAATGTGTATTATATTGCTCCAAAAATTCACTGCAGGGGTTAGAATAGATTTCATATATACCTCAAACACAACAGTGTTTGAATCAGTACTGTCAACAATTATGGACTTTGGGGCTGGGAAGGTGGCTCCGTGGTAGAGTGCTTGCCTTGCATGCCTGAGGCCCTGGGTTTGATTCATCAGCACCACATAAGCAAAAAGAAAAAAAAAAAGCCGGAAGTGGTGCTGTGGCTCAAGTGATAACAGCACTAGCCTTCAGCTGAAGTGCTGAGGGACAGCGCCCAGGCCCAGAGTACAGGCCCCACGACCAGACCCAAAAATAATAATAATAATAATAATTATGGACTTGGGCTGGGAAGTTGGCTCAGTGGTAGAACGCTTGCCTGCATGCATGAGGCCCTGGGTTCGATTCCTCAGCACCACATAAACAGAAAAAAAAAGCCGGAAGTGGCGCTATGGCTCTAGTGGTAGAATGCTAGCCTTGAGCTGAAGAGCTGAGGGACAGCATCCAGGCCCAGAGTTCAGGCCCCATGACCGGACCAAAAAAAAAAAAAAAATTATGGACTTAGCTGGATGCTAGTGGCTCATCCCTGTAATCCTAGCTACTTAGGAGCCTGAGATCTAAGGATCATGGTTCAAAGCCAGCCTGGGCAGGAAAGTCTGTGAGACTCTCATTTCTAATAAACTACTAGGAAAACCAGAAGTGGTTCTGTGGCTCAAGTGGTAGAGCACTAGCCTTGAGCTGAAGAGCTGAGGGACAGAACCCTGGCCCAGAGTTCAACCCCCATGACCAACAAAATAAAAAAATTATGGACTGTGGACCAGGCACTGGAGGTTCACACATGTAATTCTAGCTACTCAGGAGGCTGAGATCTGAAGATCAAGGTTCAAAGTCAGCACCAACAGTATAGTCCATGAGATTTATCTCCAATTTACCACTAACAGGACAGAAATGGAGCTGTGGCTCAAGTAGTAAAGTGCTAACCTTGAGCAAAAATGCTAAGACACAGTGCCTAGAGAAACTTTATAAAGAAGGAGGTTCATTTAGCTCATGATTTTGGAAACTGAAAGTCCAAATGCATATGGGTCTCTAGAGATTTGGCCCCCAGGGAGGGCCCTCTTGGCTGTGTGACATCATGGTGGGAAGAATCACATCTCCAAACAAGAAGTTCAAGGGTTGGGCTCACTCCTAACAGCTCACTACCTTATGAACTATCTTAATACTTCTCGTGGCCAGTGTCCTCTATGACCTTATGACCTTCTGCTAACTCTTACAAGGGCCCAACCTCTTGAAAACCTTCACACTCTCATGTCACCAAACTGGAGACTAAGTCTCCAGCACATGAACTCTTGGAGGGAAAAACCACATCTAGACTATCCCAGATCACCTGCATCAAAATTATTTTGAGTGGTAATCATCTTGAAAATTTGGATTCCTGGGTCCCATTTCAAACTTACAAAATGACTAGAGAGGAAATAGAGTGAGTTTTTAACAAGCTCCCTTTTGGATTCTGGTGTATACTTATGTTTGAGAACTGTAACTGAACCAACTTGCATAGAATAAGGCAAGAGAAACAAAAGATAAGAGTAGAAATATTGATTCAGTTAAACAGTGGTGAAACAGTTAATACGATAGAGGTAGATTGTAATCAAATGAGCACATAAGCCTCATACTTACTGTAATTAATAGAGTGCCTCCAAACTGAGACTATGTTCACCATTCTCTTGCCCTGAGTTACAAGTTGCAAATTTGTTGATTCTTATAACTTCTTTTTCTTTTATTATTTCTATATTTCTTAAAACTAATGTGACAATATTGTCACTGTAGTACTGAGAATTTCTGGGAAGATTTGTTGATTTTCTTTTTTTTTTTTTTGGGTCCGGTTGTGGGGCCTGAACTCTGGGCCTGGGTGCTGTCCCTCAGCTCTTCAGCCCAAGGCTAGAGCTCTACCACTTGAGCCACAGTGCCACTTCCGGCTTTTTTCTTATGTGGTGCTGAGGAATCGAACCCAGGGCCTCGAGCATGCAAGGCAAGTGCTCTACCACTGAGCCACCTTCCCAGCCCCCGATTTGTTGATTTTCTTAAGTGGAAACTGTAAAAAGACAAAACAATTCTTAAATGACAAAACAAAGAAAGAAGGCCATTTAATAGAGTCTTACAATGTGCCTGGAAATAATTGGACTCCTGGGAATATGACACTAATCATATGATATAGATGAGTAAACAAAAGTGCTCATGTATTTGTACTAAAAAATGTAAGTGTCGGGGCTGGGAAGGTGGCTTAGTGGTAGAGTGCTTGCCTTGCATGCCTGAGGCCCTGGGTTCGATTCCCCAGCACCACATAAGCAAGAAGAAAAAAGCCGGAAGTGGCGCTGTGGCTCAAGTGGTAGAGCGCTAGTGAGCTGAAGAGCTGAGGGACAGCGCCCAGGCCCAGAGTTCAGGCCCCACAACCAGAAAAAATAAAATAAAATAAACAAAAATGTAAGTGCCAAGAAGTTAGATAGTCAACATCCTTTAGTCAGTCCCCAGAAAGAATGAAAATGTATGTATAGGGGCTGGGAAGGTGCCTCAGTGGTAGAGTGCTTGCCTTGCGTGCCTGAGGTCCGGGGTTCGATTCCTCAACACCACATAAGCAAAAAAGCCAGAAATGGCACTGTGGCTCAAGTGGTAGAGTGCTAGCCTTGAGCTGAAGAGCTGAGGGACAGCGCCCAGGCCCAGAGTTCATGCCCCACAACTGGACCCAAAGAAAAAGAAAAGTATGTATACTTTCTTAGGGTTTTTTTGAGACAAAGTCTACTCTGTAGCCTAGGCTGGCCTTGATTTTAAGATCTTCCATGCCTCAGTCTCCTAAAACCTGGGATTATAGGTTTTTACCATTTCCTTTGGTTGAGCATGCAAAATTGAACCTACTGACTTTTTACAGAAAGTTGATGCTGCTGAATTGCTTCGGCTGTACTTGAATTATGACCTTTTGGAAGAAGCTGTGGATTTGGTCTCAGAATATGTGGATGCTGTGTTAGGAAAAGGACATCAGTACTTTGGAATTGAGGTAGGTACATACACATAGGTGTTTCTTTCTTCATTCTGAATTGCCATATGAAGGTAAATTCATTGTATATCAGTATATTTAACCTTTACTATTTATTGTATTTATATACCTATATATTAGCATTCTAGGAATCTCTAGATTTCTGTTTATAAAATGGGACTACATTCCATTTTCCTCCATCAAAAGAATGTAGATTTAGGATTGGAGGCTGTCGGTCAGTGGTAGGATGCTTGCTTTTCATACATAAGGCTTTGAGTTCAGTTTCTTCCACCACAAAGTTTTGGTGGGTGGTGGTGGTGGTGGTGTTTTTCTTGTGTGGGGGGGTTTTCTTTGTCAGTCGTAGGGCTTGAACTCATGCCTGGGGGCTGTCTCTGAGCCACAGTGCCACCTCTGGTTTTCTGGTAGTTAACTGGAGATAGAAGCCTCAGGGATTTTCCTTCCTCAGGCTAGCTTTAGACTGCAATCCTCAGTTCCCAACCTCTTTTTTTTTGGGGGGGGGGGGGGTCCGGTTGTGGGGCCTGAACTCTGGGCCTGGACGCTGTCCCTCAGCTCTTCAGCTCAAGGCTAGTGCTCTACCACTTGAGCCACTGCACCACTTCCCGCTTTTTTCTTTTTGCTTATGTGGTGCTGAGGAATCGAACCCAGGGCCTCAGGCATGCAAGGCAAGCGCTCTACCACTGAGCCAACTTCCCAGCCCAGTTCCCAGCCTCTTGAGTAGTTAGGATTACAGGATTAAGCCACCAGTGCCCAACTAAGTTATTTGTTTTTAAGCATGCTCTATTTACTATTTCATATTTAATAAATATAAACACAGTATTTTGTGTGTGAAAGGATTATGCTAAATTACTAAAATCTCTACAAGGAATTTCTTATAAAGGGCTATTTCAATCCCATTTTTATTTTTATTTTTTTTAACCCATGCAGAAACAGGTTAAGTTCCCAGAGCTCACACAGATGGTCAGTAGAAGAGTCCGGTCTCAATATGCCTCGGTGACTAGAGAGTCAAACTGTTAAACTCTTAGGAAAGTAGTCAGAACTTTAGAGGGCTAAGCTTTCCTTTTCAGCTTTTATTCCCCAGACAATTTGAATTTAAATTTAGTTCCAAAGTGGAATGGTGCTGTTCATGGTCAGTTTAGGAAGAATTTTATTTATCCTTTTAAGATGAGAGATGATATAAAAATTAAAATATTTGTGCCAGTGGCTCATACCTATAATTCTAGTTACTCAAAAGGCTAAGATGAGGATCACAATTCAAACCACCCTGCACAGGAAAGCCTATGAAACACTCATCTCCAATTAACCCAACCAAAAAAGCTAGTAGAGCTCTGACTTGTGGTGGTAGAGCACTAGTTCTAAGCACAAAAGCTCAGGGACAACACCTAGACTCTTAGTTCAGCCTCAAGTCCAACAGCAAAAATAAATAAAATTAAATAAAAATTAAAATACTTAACAAAATAAGGACAAGTTCTCCAGTTGAAAAGAGAAGGGAGGAACCTAGTTGTGTCTATGTATATGTGTCCTGTGTATATATGTGAGAAACGATAAGCAAAGCATTTCATGTTATTCGTGAAAACAACTGCCCAGAAGAAATAGTATGCTTTATGTTGTTTTCAAACAGTAAACATTTCCTTCCAGTTTCCACTGTCTGCAACAGCCCCACTGGTGTGGCTCCCATACTCCTCCATTGATCAGCTTCTCCATGCTCTGGGAGAAAACAGTGCCAACACTCACAACATTGCAGTAAGTAACACTCCAAGAGTGCTTCTGTGGCAGCCCCTGCACTATCAGTTATACCTTACAGCATGCTGATCAATTCTGTAGGAGTGGAGGAAGGGCAAAGCTGCCCAACACCCCTTAGCATGCTGTCCCAGTCCCTATATAATAAGGTAAAGGATCTAAGCAATTTTGGTTAAAAAAAGCTAAAGACTTATGTAAACATTAATTGCACAGACAAATGGCATTTTAAAATGGGAACCAACATTCCTTTATTCACATTTATGCTAAATTTATTCCCATGCCGGTTTTGTTTCTTCAGTTTCTTCTGGGATACCTTTTTGTTCTGTGCAAATTCCTCTTCCGGTTTAGGAAAATTTGCTCCTTTTTAGTAAGGATCATCTCAGTGTGGCAGGGGGAGCTCAGGTATGGGTTAATCCAATCTTGAACCTTGTATGTTTGGTAGTATGTCTTGGGTGCTTTGTTCACCTGGATGTATTCAATGACCAAGGAGTCTACATACATCTAAACCCTCCGGTTCAGCATCACTCTTCATTCTTGAGCATGTGCAGCAGAAATTCAGCACTTTTTGGGCCATTGACCCTGTGTCCAGCCCCACCGGTTGGCCTGGGCACACCTGCCACCATGGTAACAATGGAATGGCACACATTGCTTCTTTAAAGTGACATCTTTCAGATACTTGGTAGCTTTTCCAATTTGCATACCCTTTATGGCCAGTCAAAGTAATTGATAATAACAGTCTTTTTTATTTGTTTTCCTCTACAGCTGTCCCAGAAAATACTTGTCAAATTAGAGGACTACCAGCAAAAAGTTGATAAGGCAACAAGAGATTTATTATACCGTCGGAACTTGTGATCTGGATTGTTTCCTACCTAGCCTTTGTAACCTTGGTGCCTGTTAGGGCTTAAGACTACTACCCTACAGGGAACCCTGTGCTCAAGTTTATAACCATAAACATTGTGTACTACACTCAGATCTGCATTCTGCACAAGACAGAAGAGTGAGTCAGAGAATCCTGTGCTTGCTGGTGGTGCTAACATGATTTCTGGTTTTCAACTCTGGTCTCAAAACAGCTGCTTTTGTATATGATTCACAGGCTTTTTTAGAGTTTATATTTTTTTAAACTACAGAAGACATTCTTTATCTGCAAATTAAGGCCCACCTTCACTTTCCAAAATAGCTAATGGTTGTTGGTTTATTGGCTGACTACCATAAGTAGTCACAGAAAATCTTCCCATTCTTCCCTATCACTTTTTGTATTTCAATGGAATTATTTTGGTCCAGAACTGACATGTATTTTCTGTATTGCAAACAAAGCCTAATGATTTTGCATACTCTTTTCATTATTTATTGTGGAGTTTTTGTACGATCTTCAATAAATAATTTGCCGAGTTTAAGCCTAAAATGATGACCAGCTGCTTAAAGAAAATAAATTTTATTTTGAATCTGGTTCTGAAGCTAAAGTTAACTAAACTTTTAGCCAAGAAAAATTGGAAATCCATTATCTATAAAGGCAACAGATTTTCAAAATAAATTCTGTTAACTTACATGATTTCTAATAATCAAGCCGGACTTGATCATATAATAATGTGTTGGACCAAAATACCAACTCTACTGGTCAGATTCATGTATTACAAATTCTGGGGAAAGTGAAAATAATGAAAAAATGAAAACTTCTTGGATTTTATTCTGTATATTAAAATTTATCTTTCAAGGAAACAATCTCTGTAGTACTTCCTTGAATTATGGATTTTTTTTTTTTGAGGTTTTCGAAAGACTTTAATTCTTATACTGTCAATAATGTTTACATACTATTTTTCATTATATACTTTCATAATGTGAGTTTTTCCATGGTATTGTTGATGGTAGATATTGAAATGTGTTCTTTTATTTTTGATTTGGCTCTGGGCTGTTTAATATAATGTGTTTGGTAAGATGAGGGATTCTAAGAGCCCTTGTCTTTCCAGGTCCCAAACTTTCAACACAAGAACAACAGCCACCTGCATATACATATTGGTGTGAAAAACATCAAATGCTCTAGTATTCATCTTTGGGAAGCTAGAAGCAGTAAGAGTGGTGCTGCCCCAGAAACCTATGAAGTTGACCAAAGCAAGGCCTTCCATAATGGATATTCACAAGACACTGACCATCTTGGTTGTTTTGGTTGGAGACCTAAAACTCATGCTGGCTCCAATCACACTCTTCTGTCCATTTTTTTCTGCCTTCCTCACTTTGATTTCAGCCAGAGAAGAATGTGTCCAGGCCCTTTACCCCAGTTTTCTCACCACTATGGTCTCTAAAGTTTTGTGATGTTAATAGTTCATAATAGCATGATCATTTCTTGTTTATTTTCTAGTCATAATGTGTTAAAAGATCTTGGGGCTGGGAATGTGGCTCAGTGGTAGAGTGCTTGTCTAGCATGCATGAAGCCCTGGGTTCAATTCCTCAGTACCACATATAAACAGAAAGAGCCAGAAGTGGCATTGCGGTTCAAGTGGTGAGTGCTAGCCTTGAGCAAAAATAAGTGCCCAGGCTTTGAGTTCAAGTCCTATGACTGGCAAAAATAAAAGCTCTCACAGGAGACTAAGATCTGAGTTTACAGTTCAAAGCCAACCCAGGCCGGAAAGCCTATGAGATGCCTATCTCCAATTAACCACCAAAAAGACAGAAGCAGAGCTGTGGCTCAACTGGTAGAACACCAGCCTTTAGTGAGAAAGCTAAGGGACAGTGCGTTCAAGCCCCAGCACCTGTACCAAAACAAATTAAAAATGTAAAAGGTTCCCTCTGGCTGGGGACTGGAGGCATAGCTCAGTGGTAGCACACGGGTTTAGCATGCACAAAACTAGGTTCAATGTCCAGTACCAAAAGTAAGTAAATAAGCCAGGTACTGGTGGCTCCCACATGTAATTCTAGCTATTCAGGAGGCTGGGCAGGAAAATGTGAGAATCTTACCTCCAATTAATCACTAAAAAGGACTGAAGTAGTACTGTGGCTCAAGTAATAGAGCTCTATCCTAGAGCACCAAAGCTCAGGGAACAGCATCAAGGCCCAGTTAGGATCAGGGGCTGGGAAGGCGGCTCAGTGGTAGAGCGCTTGCCTTGCATGCATGAGGCCCTGGGTTCCATTCCTCAGCACCACATAAGCAGAAAGAAAACATCGGAAGTGGCACTGTGGCTCAAGTGATACAGTGCTAGCCTTGTACTGAAGAGCTGAGGGACAGCGCCCAGGCCCAGAGTTCAGGCCCCATAACCGGACCTGTTATCAGCCTGTGATGATAAAAGTAGATGTCATGTTTGTAAACAGTAGAAGTGCTGGAAGAATAGCTAAGTGGTATAGCACTTGTCTAACATTCATGAGGGCCTGGATTTGGGCTCTTAACACCTCAGAAAAGAAAAAAAAAAAAAAGAATGCCACTCAGTTTCATATTGAGCAGTCTTACCACGCTTATCATTGTCATTTTTGTAACTTTTTAAGGAAGCTGATTTGTTCTACAAAGCCATCTTGGCAGCTTTGTTACCCTGCCAGCCCCCATCACTGAACCACACTTCTGAGAACTCCAGGTCAGCTCTCACCAGTTCATTACTGCTCCTCTTCCCATTCGATTCCCACCAGGTATATGAGGCCACCAGTGCTTGTGCTTCCCCAAGTCCATCCTTACTGTTCCTATAACTTCACTGGACACCTAGGGATAGTCAAAAGGCAGTTTATTTAACTCACAATTATACTTTTTTTCTTTTGTGCCAGTTCTGCTGCTTGAACTCAGGACCTGAGTGCTGTCCCTTAGCTTTTGAACTCAAAGCTGGCACTTGACCACTTGCACCACAGCTCCACTTGTGGCTTTTTTAGTAGTTAATTGAGATAAGGGTCTCAGGACCTCCCTGACTGGGCTGGCTTCAAATGGAAATCTGTTCACAGTCTCCTAAGTTGCTAGCTGAGAGCCACCTGGCTTTTTTTGTTTGGGAGTATTTTTGGTTTTTGGTGTTGGTTCTGGCACTTAAACTCAAAACCTGTGCCTTAGCTTTTTCACTCAAGGATAGAATTCTGTCACTTCAGCCACAGTTCCACTTCTGGCTTTTTGATGGTCAATTGGAGCTCTGGCTGGCTTCAAATTGTGATCCTCAGATCTCAGCATCCTGAGTAGCTAGGATTACAAGTGGGAGCCACTAGTGCCAGGCATGCCTTTAAATCCTTCTTAGTAAACCAAGGGAGTTTCTACTTTCCCAATTCACTTATCAATGGGCCATCTTTTGATTTTTTTTTTTTCAGGTGGCCCACAAGAGTGTTAGCATCATCCCTAATTCTCTGAACTGCCACATTAAATGCAGTATCTCCTGATGGGTTCATAGCAACAAATTTGTCCCTGGCTACTTAATGTTCTTCCCATTATTATGCCACATTTTTATTATCCATTCTCACACATTTGAGGTTTTCTTTTGGGGAGTTTGAACTTGGGGTTTCACTTGCAAAGCAGATGATCTACTTTTGCCTCTAGCCCCTTTTTGTCCTATTATTATCGTTGTTCTAGTCCTGGGGCTTGAACTAGAGGCCTGGGCATTGTCCCTGAACATTTTTGCTCTACCATTTGAGCCACAGTTCCACTTCCAGCTTTTTTGGTAGTTTTTTTTGTTTTTGTTTTTTTTTTGCGGGGGGGGGGGGGGGGGGGAGGAGGGGTCAGGTCGTGGGGCCTGAACTCAGGGCCTGGGCGCTGTCCCTCAGCTCTTCTGTTCAAGGCTAGCACTCTACCACTTGAGCCACAGAGCCACTTCCGGCTTTTTTTTTCTTTTTGCTTATGTGGTGCTGAGGAATCGAACCCAGGGCCTCATGCATGCAAGGCAAGCACTCTACCACTGAGTCACCTTCCCAGCCCCAAGCTTTTTTGGTAGTTAATTGGAGAGAAGGGTCTCATGGACTTTCCTGGCTTTGAGCCTTGATCCTCAGATATCAGCCTACTAAGCAGCTAGGATTACAAGCATGAGCCAGGTGTCCAGTGTGGTTATTTCTGAGGCAGGGTCTTCCTTTTTTTTTTGCTATATGGCCAGAGCTACATCCTATTTGTATATCACTGGTGCTGAGGTTGACAGGTGGGCACCACTGCTTCTGCTCAGTCATCCATTGAGAACAGGGCCTGTTGAAACTTCTGCCTGGCCTGCAGAACCAAAATTTCCTAAAAATCTTGGCTTTTCAAGTAGCTAAGATTATAGGCTTGAGGGGTTGGGAACATGGCTCAGTGATAGAGTGCTTGCCTAGCATGCATGAATCCCTGGGTTCAATTCCTCAGTACCACATAAACAGAAAAAACCAGAAGTGGCACTGTGGCTCAAGTGGTAGAGCTCTAATTTGAGCTTCAAAAGAAGCTCAGGGACAGTGCACAGGCCCTGAGTTCAAGCCCCAGGACTGGCAAAAATAAATGATTATAGGTTTGAGCTACCATACCTGGTACAGCCCCTGATTTCTGATTGCATATATATTCTAAAACTTTAGTTCTTTTGTAGAATAATGTGCTTAGTTTACACTTTAAACCTCACCTCTACAAGCTGCTGGAATTAACTACAGGTCTACTATATAGGATTGAGGAGCTATTTTTTTTTTCCTGCCAAGGGCTATTGGCTACTTATTTATAACATTATTGGAGAGCTATGCAAAATGATCAACACAGGCTGTGCCGAGAAGCATAGGTTATCTGTCTTGCCCGGGTACTACAGCCTAGGTTGCAGGATATCACCCAAGCATGGTCTAGAAGCAAGGAGGGATATTTATGAGAGTGGTGTCTTGCTAGGCAGCGGCCTCGGCCTGAGAGCCTAGGTCCAGGATACCATTGTGGGGAGACTGGGGGGGGAGGGGCGGGGGAGGGAGGGAGGATGTCATGTCATTTCTGCCAGCAAACAAGTCTCAGAATTTAAGCTTATTACTTAGGAGCTCGGTGTCCCCATTAATTAGCCACAAGCATCTGGATCTGGAGGTTGAAGGAGAGTGATTAAAGGCAGGCTAACGTTCCTGCATCCCAGGAACAATGCGCCCTCTCTGTACAATGTCTAGTTATTTTTCTCAATATCATCTTTGCACTTGAAAATTTACAAAATCGTAGAAGGCACATTTTGCTACTGTAAGCTACAGTAATCTGGGCGAATCTTAGGAAAAGGGTCAGAAAGCAGCAGAGCTTCCTAAAAGAAACATAACCCGGAACAGTTAGGTAAGATCTGGTACAAGATGGAGGACAAGAAAAGACTCGGGCGGAGCGGGGGGGGGGGGGGGGGGGGGGGGGGGAGGGAGGGACGACGCATGGGCGGATCCCACCCTCCGCGGAGAAGTCTCCAGAACACACTATTGGCTCGACTAGCACTCCTCTCCGTTTCTATTGGCTGTCGCTTCCTTCTCTATCAAATAAGCCAATCCCCTAGCGCCATTAGCAAAGCCCGCCCTTACGTAGGGGAGTCGAGCAAGCTATGGCCTGCCGGAGCGGAAAGCGCACGCGCGAGCGCGGGCTCAGCCGGTTAAAAGCGGATCCTGGCTGGAGGCGGCGTAGTGGTGCATGAATATTGATTACGTACCTTGGCGTCAGGTGCCCGCCCCTCTTGGTTTCCGCCGCTTGCTGCTCGCGCTTGGGCTCGCGATGGGGAAGAAGTCCCGGGCGGTACCCGGCCGCAGGCCCATCCTGCAGCTCTCTCCGCCGGGTCCTCGAAGCAGCACGCCAGGCCGAGACCTGGAGCTGGAACCCGACACGGAGCCGGACTCTACAGCGGCGCCGCCTAGCCAGTCAGCCCCTGTGGCGGCGGCGGCGGCGACCGCGACCACGACCACGGCGTCGCCCTCAGTGCCTGCCGCCGCGGCCCCAGACGACCCGCCTTCGGAAGGTGAGGGCGCGCGGGGGCCCCTGCCTCTAGTGGAGATGCCCCAAACTCGAGCGCGGGGCTTCCGGCCTAGGCCTCGGGCGCCTCGCCGGGCCCAGAGAGGATGAGATTCCCGGACTGGCGAGGCCCGAGTCCGAGGCCTGCGTGCCGCGGCCCGCCGAGAGGCCGGTCGAGGGCCTCTGGGCGGCGCGGAAGAGGCGATGGCGCCGGGCGAGCCCCGCCGGGACCCACCCAAAGGCGCCATGGCGGGTGCAGGGTAACCCCCGGGGGCTTTTGGAATCCACTGGCGACCCGCCCCCACCCAAACCTCTTGTGTCGCCTTTTGATAACGTAGAGGGGAGTTCCACGTGCGAGACTTGTAACACTGCAATCTAGCCTTTATTGTAGGCCACCTGCTTGCTTGCTTTTTTTGCTGAAATTCAGATTGTTTAGTCGTAAGCCTCCAAAAAAAAAAAACGGTAGACAAGGCATAAACACACAACAACAACAACCGGATCCTAACAGGCATCCATCCTCCAGATGATAGGCTAAGTGGAGCTTTCAGATACGTGTGTAGATTAAAATTTACTACGAGCCGGGCACCAGTGGTTCACGCCTGTAATCCTAGATATTCAGGAGGTTGAGATCTGAGGATCATGGTTCAAAGCCAACCCGGGCAGGAAAGTCCGTGACACTCATCTCCAATTAACCACCAGAAAACCTGAAGTGGCGCTGTGGCTCAAGTGTAGAGCGCTCACCTTGAGCTGAAGAGCCAAGGGACAGCGCCCAGGCCCAGAGTTCAAGCCCCATAACCTACTAAAAAAAAAAGTAAGATGTTGTATGTATATACAGGGGTAGATCCTGATAAATCAGTCACCTTTTCAGTTTTTAAGTAATCAGGTGAACTCATGAAGCACATATATACTGTATGACCCGAAGGAGATTTATTTGTGCATGGTAAGTTTGAAGCATTGCATATGTAGTCCTTAGATTGTCAATGTCGGAGTCACTAAGGAAATGGAAGGTTCTAGCTCTCTCCCCCATGGGGTCAGTGATACAGTTGATAAATCTAGACCTGAAAGGTCAGACAAGATCGATTTGTTGCCTCCAATGTTTTCTTAGGTCCACTGTCTGACTGCAGTTTTCTTTTCTTTGTTTTTAAAATCTAGATGAACAAGAAATGGTGGTGGAGGTTCCCAAAGTTGTACTAAATCCTCCCAAACCAGTTATGACCACCAGACCCACAGCCGTTAAAGCAACAGGTATAGATATTTGTTTTTCATTTCTTCTACATCTTCTCTAGAGTATCTTTTATTTAGTATGTTTGTACACATAGAATGCTTTGTGGGATGTTCCTGTTATGCTAATTGATTTCCATAAAAATGTAATTTCTGTCTTCCTGGGGCTAGAGCCCTAGATAGAGTGCTCCCGTAGCACAGAGCTCTTCAGCTTTTATCATTCAATCAGTGTCTTGTTTCTGAGGGCTTGCTGGTATACTCACTCCAAGGAACACAATTTGTTTTTTGCTTTTTCCCAGTGTCCAAAATGCTCTTTGCTACTTTTCTTTTTCCTTCCATTTTTTTAAGTTCCCCTAACTTTTTCTAATGCTATTTTGTCCCTCATATCTACTTGGCATTTTACTTTTTGTGCCAGTCTGGAGCTTGAACTTGGGACCTAGGTGTTGTCCCTTTGCTTTTTTCACCTCAAGGCTGTACAGTATCACTTGAGCCACAGCTCCACTTTTTTTTTGATGGTTAATTGGAAGTAATAGTCTTAGGGCCTTTGTTGCCCTGGCTGGCTTTTGAGATCCTCAGATCTCGCCTCCTGAGTAGATTCTTCCTTGCAGTCAAATTAGCTAGGGGTTTGTCCATCTTACTTATTTTTCAAAGAGCTAATGTTCTGTTTCATTAATTCTTCATAAAGTTTTTTTTGAAGACTCCAGTCACTGCCCTAATTTTTATTTCTGTCTACTGATCTTGAGTTTAACATGTTCCTGTTTTTTTTTTTTTTCTAGAAGTTTGAGGTCTTTAGGCTGTTTATTTGAGCTTTTTTATTTTTCCCTATGTAGGTACTCAGCTATAAATTTTCCTCATATCACTGCTTTTCCTGTATCCTAGAGGTTGTAATATGTTTTGTTTTTATTAAATTCCAGGGTTTTTATTTTTATTTTTTGCCTGTGCTAGGGCTTGAACTCAGAGCCTCATGTTCTCGATTGGCTTTTTCACTCGAAAACGATGCTCTACCACTTGAGCCACATCTTCAGTGCAGCTCTTGGTTAATTGGAAATAAGCGTTTCTCAGATTTTTCTGCTTGAGCTGGCTTCTAAACCAGCATCTTCAGATATCAGCCTCCTAAGTAGCTAGGATTACAGGTGTGAGTCACCAGCACTTAGCTTCCAGGAACCTTTTTTATTTTTTTTGCCAGTCCTGGGTCAAATCAGGGCCTGAGCACTGTCCCTGAGCTTCTTTTGCTCAAGGCTAGCACTCTACCACTTGAGCCACAGCCACAGAGCCATTTCTGGCATTTTCTGCTTATGTGGTGCTAAGGAATAAAACCCAGGGCTTCTTGCATACTAGGCAAGCACTCTACTAAACCACATTCCCAGCCCCTTATCTCCCCTACTCCACTTGTCTTTCAACATTGTGTTGTTTAGTCTTCATGTGTTTGGACATTTTCTCTATTGGTTTCTTGTGTTTGCTAAGATTTATGTCCCTAAAACAATGAACGTTTTTTTCTGCCAAGGGACATTTGAATATTTATATCATTAACAAGTCATACAAAGCTATTAATACAGATGGCCATGCACAGCCAACAAGGAGCATGTATGTGTCTGCCCTGATGTGTACCAATTATTTACATCCAGGCTGGGTGTTCCCTACTCCTGTCCTAAAATATAATCATGAGCTGCTGAGAAAAATGTGTATTTTGCAGCTGCTGGGTGAAATACTCTGTGAATGTCTTGTCAAGTCCATTTGGTTTGTAATGTCATTTAGTTCTATTGTTTCTTTGTTGAATCTTTGACCTACCTGTTGTTAAAAGTGGGGTTTTGAGGTATTTCACTATTTTTGTTCTGGGCACTCAGAGCATTGCTTTTGTAAGTTTTTGTTTAATGGACCTGAATGTCCTTTTCTTTGGCCCACGTATGTTAACTCTTAATTTTCTTCTGTGCTGGGATTTTTCTTCCACACTGGGGTTTGAAATCAGGGCCTTACCCTAGCTAAGCAGGTGTTCTACCACCTGAGCCATCCCATTACTACTGAAATGGACATTTTAATCCCTAAATGCTTGTGTTAATTTTGAAAGAGTAAGATTCATTGATTGTCAATATTGCGGAAGATGTCAAGTAGCTATATGCAGTCTTAAGTGTATTGTACCACTAATGCCTTTGGTGGTTTAGTGACTTTTCTTATTTTGTCTTTGGAATTGAGCTGAGGACCTTTTGCTTTACCAATGAGTTATATCCCCAAGCCCAGTGTACTGTTTATTATTTTGAGTTCTAATCAATAAGTGAACAGTGTAAACTCTTTAGCTAAGGGGCCATGCTATGTGTGTTTTCTTAGGTATGTCCTAGGACATTCAGCATTGTTACTAAGATGTTCCTTTTTGCTTGTAGGTGGTTTATGTTTACTTGGTGCTTATGCAGACAGTGATGATGATGAAAGTGATGCTTCTGAAAAACCAGCACAATCCAAAGAGGCAAATGGAAACCAGTCAACTGATATTGACAGTACATTGGCCAACTTCCTAGCGGTTAGTGGTACTTTTGTTTGGATTTTTAGTTATTGAAACCACTTTGGAGTCTGTGTCTCAAGTGGTTGCTTTGCTTGTCAATCTCAGTGTCTCTCCTCCCTTATGTTTCCACATGTCTTTTTTTTTTTTTTAGTCTGTTATGGGGCTTGAACTCTGGGCCTGGACGCTGTCCCTCAGCTCTTCAGCTCAAGGCGAGCCTACCACTTGAGCCACAGTGCCACTTCCAGTTTTCTGGTGGTTTATTGGAGACAGGAGTCTCATGTACTTTCCTGCCCAAGCTGGCTTTAAACTGAGATCCTCAGATCTCAGCCTCCTGAATATCTAGGATTACAGGCGTGAGCCATCAGTGCCCACTCTACATGTCTTATTTCATCCTTCCCTCTTTCTTTTCCTTTTGTAATGCTTCTAGTAAGGAGAAAAAAGAAGAATGCAAAGTTTTAGGAAACTTCGTAATTAATTGAAAGAGAATAGTTTTGAAAATCGCGTAGCTTAGAATTGTGCGGGCTGACTTTTTTGTCGGGGGAAGGAGAGGTCAGTCATGAGGCTTGAACTCTGGGACTGAGCGCTGTCCCTTAGCTCTTCAACTCAAGGCTAGGGCTCTACCACTTGAGCCACCCCTCCACTTCCAGTTTTCTGGTGGTTAATTGAAGATAAGAATAAGACTTTCCTGCCCAGGCTGGCTATGAACTGTGATTCTCAGATCTCAGAGTATCTAGGATTTCAGGTGTGAGCCACTGTGCCCGGTAATGCTGACATTTTTTTAAAGTAATTGCCTGTTTTCAAGTTTTTGGTTTTCCTGTCATTATTACCTTTATCATTCTTCATTCTATAGGAGATTGATGCTATAACAGCTCCACAGCCTACAGTTCCTGAGGGAACTTCTGCTCCACCTCCAACACCACCTCGACCAGAGCCAAAGGAAGCATCATCATCTGCCCTTTCCTCCACTACATCAAATGGAACAGACTCAACCCAAACACCAGAGTGGCAGTATGATACTCAGTGTTCTCTTGCAGGAGGTGAGTATGGTACCTTGCTTCAAAGTCTTTAAGTTCAACCCCAAAGGTGAAGATTGTTAAGATCGTAACATTAATAAGGTAAAGATTTTGGCCTAGGTTGGACTGTTGGAAGATGATGAGTGTGATATCTTTAAGAAATTGTAGAGGGCTGGGAAGGTGGCTCAGTGGTAGAGCGCTTGCCTTGCATGCCTGAGGCCCTGGGTTCGATTCCTCAGCACCACATAAGCAAAAAGCCAGAAGTGGCGCTGTGGCTCAAGTGGTAGAGTGCTAGCCTTGAGCTGAAGAGCTGAGGGACAGCACCCAGGCCCAGAGTTCAGGCCCCACGACCGGACCCAAAAAAAGAAATTGTAGAGGGATGGGAAGGTGGCTCAGTGGTAGAGTGCTTGCCTTGCATGCATGAGGCCCTGGGTTCAATTCCTCAGCACCACATAAGCAGAAAAAGCAGAAGTGACACTGGCTCAAATGGTAGAGCACTAGCCTTGAGCTGAAGAGCTGAGGGACAGTACCCAGGCCCAGAGTTCAAGCCCCATGACTAGGAAAAAAAAAAAAAAAGAACTTATAGAATACAACTTACTTTTCTGGAAGAGAGGGTGCTGGCTGGCGTTGAGGTCTGAACTTGAGGGCCTTCAGGCTTGCTAGTCATTCCCTTGACTCCTTTTTTCCTTTACTTATTTTTCAGATAGGCTCTTGTGTTTGCCTGGGGCAACCACAGATGTGGATGCTTCCAACATGTGCCTCCTACTTGTAATTACAAATGTTCACTACCACACCAAGGCATTTGTTGAGATTGGGGGTCTCGTTAGCTTTTTCTCTAGCTTGTTTCAAATTGTGATTCTCCCAATCTCTGCCTGCTGAGTAGCTGGATTACAAGTGTGCACTGCTATGTCCAGTGTTGGTTTTCTTTGTTTTTTGTTCTTGGGGCTTAAACTCTGGGCCTGGGCACTGTTTCTAAGCTTCTCTGCTCAAAGTTACCATTTTAGCCACAGCACCACTTCCAACTTTTTGTTGGTTAAGTAGAGATAGATAAAAGATTCACGAGCTTTCCTAGCTAGGCTGGCTTTGAACCACAATCCTCAGATCTTAGCCTCCTGACTGGCTAGGATCACAAGCATGAGCCAGCAGTGCCCATCCTTGCTCAGTGAATCTTTAATTTAAAAAAAAGTTTATGCTGTTAGAGGGGCTGGGAAGTTGGCTCAGTGGTAGATTGCTTGCTTTGCATGTATATGGTCCTGGGTTCGATTCTTTAGCACCACATAAGCAGCGGGGGGAAAAGCCGGAAGTGACACTGGCCCAAGTGGTAGAGTGCTAGCCTGGAGCTGAAGAGCTGAGGGACAGCGCCCAGGCCCATAGTTCAGGCCCTACAACCAACAGAGGGAAAAAAAAAAAACTGCAAGACATTTCTCTCTCCAGTTAACAATCAGAATGGCAAACTAGAGACATAGCTCAAGTGTTGAGTGTCAGACATGAGCAAGTAAGCCAAGCAAGAGCAAGAGATTCTGAGTTCAGGCCTCGGTACTATCACAAAAAAGTAAAAACAGGGCTGGAAATGTGGCTTAGTGGTAGAGTGCTTGCCTAGCATACATGAAGCCCTTGGTTGGATTCCTCAGTACCACATAAACAGAAAAGGCTGGAAGTGGTGCTGTGGCTCAAGCGGTGGAGTGCTAGCCTTGAGCTTTTGCTCAGGGACAGTGCCCAGGCCCTGAGTATAAGCCCCAGGGCTGTCAAAAATCAATAAATAAAAACAGAAGATTGAAAAAAGTTTATAGTTTTTAAAATTATTTTGGGTAGTAAGCTGCATTTTAAACCATGTGTGCAAAAGTGACTAAGAAATATTGCTGAGTAAATTATCCTTAATGTTAGGCTGGTGGTTCTTGGAGTCAGGAGTCACCTGCCTTCCAGTAAAAATTTGGTAACGTCTGAAGGTTCTTTGTGTTACTGCAGTTTATGAGTAATGCACCTAGTGAGTAGAAACCAAGAATGCTTCTAAGTACTTTTGAGTTTCAAGAGCCTTATGTTAGATTGTCATGACTGTAATAGTGTCTTGGGATAAACATCTGAGCTGTAGAAGGGTTTGTATAAAGTTTGTTTTATTTTCTTCTAGTTGGAATTGAGATGGGAGATTGGCAAGAAGTCTGGGATGAGAACACAGGATGCTATTACTATTGGAACACACAAACAAATGAAGTAACTTGGGAATTACCCCAATATCTTGCCACCCAGGTACAGGGATTGCAACATTACCAGCCCAGGTAAGGACAGGACATACATGAAAAAAGTATGTAGAGGGCTGGGAAGGTGGTTCAGTGGTAGAGTGCTTGCCTTGCATGCATGAGGCTCTGGATTCGATTCCTCAGCACCACATAAGGAGAAAAAGCTAGAAGTGGCACTGTGGCTCACATGGTAGAGCGCTAGCCTTGAGCTGAAATGCTGAGGGACAGTACCCAGGCTCAGAGTTCAGACCCCACGACCAACCAAAAAAAGAAAGGAAAAAAGTACATAGAAAAATGTTAGTCTTGTGCTAAAGGTATTTGCCTTCTATTTCTCCTGCTAAATGTTTGTTGTTGTTTTTTCCAGTTCTGTAACAGGTGCTGAAGCTAGTTTTGTGGTGAATACAGATATATATGCAAAGGAGAAAACAATTTCTGTTTCTGTTTCTAGTAGTAAAAGTGGACCAGTCATAGCCAAACGAGAAGTTAAAAAGGTTAGTGTTACATATTAGGGCATTTACGTATTAATTAAATGTAATAAACTACAAGTAAGTTTTGGACCAATTCAGTTTTTTTATTAATTGTAAAGATAACCGTATAAAGGGGTTATAGTTACACGAGTAAGCTAATGAGTACATTTCCTATAATTCAGATTTTTGAATATGATTGAACATTTCATTTTATTGTCTGTTAATCTCCTTCAAAGCACACCTTATCAAGTCATATGTTAAGCTGACAAAAATGCGAATCTCATTTAAAAATCTGCCTCTGCTTTCTACTAACCCACCTTTGACTTTGTGAAACTAGGATAGGATAGACTTTAGTGCCACTAAGAAGAACTGATTTTAATTCAGCCACTACCTTTCTTAACATTCCCTATATGTATGTGTTAAAGGTCTTTTGAGTTTAAATGAATTTTGTAAGTATCCAGTAACTAAAAGTAAAATTAGTATGAATAATAAAGTATATAGGGGAGATTTCTTTTGATAGTTGACACTGAATGATTTCATTCTTTGTAGGAAGTAAATGAAGCAATTCAAGCTCTCTCTAACAATGAGGAGGAGAGGAAAGGAGTGGCAGCATCCCTGCTTGCCCCTTTATTGCCAGAGGGAATAAAAGAGGAAGAAGAGAGATGGAGAAGAAAAGTAATTTGTAAAGAAGCAGAGCCAGTATCAGAAGTAAAAGAAACGAGTACAGCAGAAGAAGAAACAGTGACCACAGTAAAGCCACAGGAAGCTCTAATGGACAGTATAGAAGATCCTTCTCAGGAAGATGTTTGCAGCGTTGTTCAGTCTGGAGAAAGTGAGGAGGAAGAAGAACAAGATACCCTTGAGTTGGAGCTAGTTTTGGAAAGGAAAAAAGTAAGTTTTTGAAGATTTAAAGTACATTTTCCCCCTTAATACTGTCATACTAGCCAAGTGCTGGTGGCTCCCACCTGTAATTCTTAGTACTCAGGAGGCTGAGATCCAGAGGATTGAGATTTAAAACCAACTCAGGAAGAAAAGTCTGTGAGACTGTATCTTAAATAAGCAGCATAAAGTAAGGTGGGAGATATGGCTCAAGTGGTAGCATATAAGCCAACCAGTCAAGCCAAACTAGAGGGCAAGCCCTAGATTCAGGCTCTAGTCTGGACAGATACTTTCATATAGGCATTATTGTAGTTGCTATTAGGATTTTGTTTTTTTACCCCTTCATCTAGGTATGTCTAAGCATTTAAATTAAAACTTTACAGAGTTGTGGTTGTTTTAGCATCTGATGCTTTATGTAATTGATAATAAATGGACTACATAACAATGCTTTAACTTACTAATTACTGAGGTTACAGTCATGCCCTTATGTGCTTTTTCATTTTTTTTTAATATTAGTTATACTGGAGGAGTTTCAGTGTTAATATTTCTGTATGTGTGTATGTATGTGCATGTACCTCCTACTGGGGCTTGAACTCAGCATAAGCTTTGGGCTTGAATTTATTGAGAAGTTGGTTTTTACCTATTTTCTGCCATTGTTTTTCCCCCCTTGGGGCAATTTTATCTGCTACTGCTGAATGACCCAGCATAAATCAATAAATTAATAAGTATTATATAATAGTAACATCTCCTGAAGCTTTTCCAGGTAAGAACTACAGTAGCCAGGTGCCAGTGGCTCATACCTATAATTGTAGCCACTCAGGAGACTGAGATATAAGGAATGAGGTTCAAAGCCAGCCTGGACAGGCAAAGTTCATGAGATTCTTATCTCCAACCACCAAAAAGCCAAAAGTAGGGCTGTGGCTGAAGTGTAGAATGCTAGCCTTGAGCAGAAAAACTCAGGGACAGTGCCCAGGCCCTGAATTCAAGATCCAAGGCTGGCACAAATAAAGATAAAAGGGCTAAAGTTCTGTAGAAGGACTAGGTACATTAGGCTTTTCCCATTGTGTATAAGATTTGTATATTTGTGGATCTCTAGAACTAGCCCCCTTCAGATGCACATTTGAGAAATACTTCCTAGTCTCAGGGATTTTAAATTCTAAAGTTAGTGACTAATTTTATTGTCACGTTTTTTTCTAGGCAGAGTTGCGAGCCTTGGAGGAAGGAGATGGTAGTGTGTCAGGGTCTAGTCCACGTTCTGATATCAGCCAGCCAGCCTCTCAGGATGGAATGCGCAGACTTATGTCTAAAAGAGGAAAATGGAAGATGTTTGTTCGAGCCACGAGTCCAGAGTCCACCAGTCGGAGTAGTAGTAAAACTGGACAAGAGACTCCAGAAAATGGAGAAACTGGTAATTCGTGCCCTACTTTTTTTAATTATTATTTTTTGGACAGTATTGTGAGTAACCCAAGCCTTTGTGCATGTGAGGCCAGAACCTTTATCACTGAACTGGATCTCTGGTCCACATTGGCTTTTAAAATTGAATGATGAAAAGAGGAAACACTCCACCCTCATGTTTCCCTTCAGCAAAATCAGGGAGGATTATTTTCCTTTTGATTCTTGAATATGTAGTAGAAAAGTTAACTGTAAGATTTCAGTACCAGGGCTGGAAAGGTGGCTCAATGGTAGAGTGCTTAGCTTGCATGCATGAGGCGCCCTGGGTTCGATTCCTCAGTACCACATAAGCAGAAAAAGCCAGAAGTGGCACTGTGGTTCAAGTGGTAGAATGCTTGCCTTGAGCTGAAGAGCTGAGGGACAGCGCCTAGGCCAGGAGTTCAGACCCCACGACCAACAAAAAAAAAAAAGATTTCAGTACCAAGGGGGTATAGTACAGTGGCCCTGCCTGTACTGGGAGGCAGAGATGAGGATCACAATTCAAGATCAGCCCAGAGATAAGAGACCATATTTCACAGAGAACAAGCTAGTTATGGTAGTATGTTCCTATAGTTTCAGCTACACAGGAGGTGTAGGAATTATGGTCCAAAGCTGACCCTGGCCAGAGTACAAGACAAAAAGATCACTACAGCAAAAAGGACTGAACCTGTGGTTCAAGAGGTAGAATTTTTCTACCAATTGCAAAAATCAAACATTAAACCTTTTTATTGTATACTTAGCAGAAGGTGTTTTTTAAGGTCCTGGTTTGAAAACTAATACCAAGGGAAATAACAAATGAGGACTTCTTTTCTATTAATTTTTGTTCATATATATCAGCAGACACCTGTCTGCACTTGAGAAATTAAGATAGTTAAAGAGGATCAAAAGTTTAAGGCCAGGCGCCAGTCAGTGGCTCAGTCAGTGGCTCACACCTGTAATCCTAGCTACTGAGGAGGCTGCAATCTAAGGATCTTGATTCAAAGATGGCCCAGGCAGGAAAGTCTGTGAGACTCTTGCCTCCAGTAAACCCACCAGAAAACCAGAACTGACACTGTGGCTCAAGTGGTAGTGAGCTTTCCTTGAGCTGAAGAGCGGAGGGACAGCGCCCAGTCCCAGAGTTCAAGCTCTACGACCAGCGTGAGCTATATAGGAATAGGAACATGCTGTCTCAACAACACAAAACAAAAGGAGAGATATGGGGCCTTGGTTAAGTTGCTTCACACTGACCTAGAAATTATGGTTTAAGTGATCCAGAGTAGCGGGACTACAGAGACATAGGCTGCCATGCTCATTGAAATTATCGAGATTGTCCAGACTTTTTTTGTACAGGGGAAAGGGGAGGGTGTGGCTGTGGGCCTGGGCGCTATCCCTGAGTTGCTTTTGCTCAAGGCTAGTGCTCTACCATGTGAGCAATGGTGCCACTTACAGCTTTTTTTTCTGAGTAGTTTATTAAGTTGAGTCTCACAGACTTTCCTTCCCAAACTGGCTTCCAACTGCAATCCTCAGATCTCTGCCTCCTGAGTAGGATTACAGGCATGAGCCACCAGTGCCCAGCTTCTGAGGAAGATATTGAGTCCGAGTTCAAGCCTCAGTACTGGTACAAAAAAAAAAAAAAAAACAGGGCTGGGAAGGTGGCTCGGTGGTAGAGCGCTTGCTTTGCATGCTTAAGGCCCTGGCTTCGATTCCTCAGCACCACATAAGCAAAAAGAAAAAAGCCAGAAGTGGTGCTGTGGCTCAAGTGGTAGAGGGCTAGCCTTGAGCTGAACAAGCTGAGGGACAGCGCCCAGGCCCAGAGTTCAGGGTCCAGGACTGGACCAAAAAAACCAAACATTGTTGGCCTCTGCCCCACCCACAAACATGTATTCAAGGAGAGATTACTCCTTTATATGTCTCTGCTGCAGGGGGATGCCATGTGTTGATTGTTTGGGCTTAATTTCACATTCTCTTTTGCAGTGATTGGTGCTGAAAATTCAGAAAAAATAGATGAAAGTTCAGATAAAGAGGTAGATGCAGAAGAATCGTCAGAGAAGATAAAAGTACAAACAGCACCAAAAGTGGAAGAAGAACAAGATTTAAAAGTGTGTATATTAATTAACGTAACTTAGCAAATTTTTGAAAAATCTAATCATGAAACTAACTGCTTTCTGCCGGATGCTGGTGGTTCATGCCTATAATCCTATCTACTCAGGCTGAGACCTGAGGATCACGGTTCAAAGCCAGCCCGGGCAGGAAAGTCCATGAAACTCTTGAGAGCTTGTTTGGAGGTTCTAGCAGGGGAGCGCAGCTACTCATATACCCTTGACCGAAGACCGGTCCTCCGCTATTGGGGATGGTCGTCCTCTTCGACCGAGCGCACAGCTTCGGGAGGGACGCACATGGAGTGGTGAGGGAGGAAGGGGACACCCACCTTGCCAGCCAGATCAGCCGAATCAACCCTGGCGATCAATGGGGTGACAGATGTTGCAGCCAGATTGCCCTCACATCCTGAAACTCTTACCTCCAATAAACCACCAGAAAACTGGAAGTGGCACTATAGCTCAAGTGATGGAGCACTAGCCTTGAGCTGAAGAGCTGAGGGACAGCGCTCAGGCTTAGTTGAAGCCCCATGACCGACCAAAAAAAAATAAAAAGAAGGAAACTAACACTTTCTGTTAGCAAGTAGTAAATCTACTGAAATCCCTTTGGGTGAAAACGTCGTATTTAAGGCTGAAATAGGAAATTACATATGGCTGGCTTCATGATATATTACCAGGAAAATTCTGAACATTTGCTTTCTTTGATGTTAAACTTTCAAAGAGCTGATCAATAATAGGCTTCTGTTGTTTAGAAGTACTCAAAAGAACAAAGTCAGATTTAAGTCCTCCATGAAATACTTTATTTTTGCTGGTAGTGGGCTTGAAATTAGGGCATTTTTCTCTTGCCTTCACACTACCACTTTAGTCACTTAGCTTTTCTTTTAAATTGTTATTATAAAGGTAATGCCACTAGCCGGGCACTGGTGGCTCACGCCTGTTATCCTAGCTACTCAGGAGGCTGAGATCTGAGGATCACGGTTCAGAGCCAGCCCAGACAGAAAAGTCCATGAGACTCTTCAATAAAAACCACCAGAAAACTGGAAGTGGTGCTGTGGCTCAAGTGGTAGAGCCTTCTTGAACTGAAGAGCTGAGGGATACCACCCAGGCCCAGAGTTCAAGCCCCACAACTGACCAGGGCCTGGGGGGGAGGGGGCAGGGAGGAGAGGTATAATGCCACTAGACTTTGGTGGTTAGTTAGAGATAAAAGTCTCATGGATTTTTCTGCCTAGGCTGACTTTGGACCTCTATTCTTAGAGTCAGTCTTCTAATTATCTAGGCATGAGCCACTGGCACTCAGGTTTTAAAAATTTTTCCCCCCAGTGCATTTTTATTGTGAAATACACATTAGTAAGATTGCTATCTTAACCACTCTTAAGGACAGTTCAGAGGCATTGTGTACATTTACCCATCATCACCATTCATTTTCCAGAACTCTTTCATCCTTTCCACCTAAAACTCTGTTCCCATTAACACTGATTCCTGGCCCCTAGTTCCTACCACTCTGCTGTCTGCCGGACTCTGCTATTCTCAGGACCTCATAAGTGGATCCTGCATTCTGTCTGTTCTGTGTAGTGTTCCCAGATCCCTTGTAATATGTGTCAAGAGTACCTACTGTCATAAGACTGATACACTGGGTTGTTGGACCACATTTTCATACTTGTTTCTCCATAATAGCCACATGGATTATTTATATACAGTTTCACAGTTGGATATTCTTTGCAACTTTATCCCATGTGTAGATTTATGCATCTGCTATCATAATCAAGGTTGAGAACTACCTTGTTAACACAAAGCTAAGGATGGGTGGGTGGGTGGGTGGATGGATGGATGTATGTCTTGTGGCTGGAGAGAATTACCTAACAAATGCCAGAACAAAGTTCCAGTGGGGCAAGTTGCTGTCCTTGTAAAGCCTGAATCTTGCCAGATGCAAGCTACTCAGGAGGCTGAGATTGAGGGTCAAAGTTTAAAGCCAGCCTTGGCAGAAAGGTCCATGAGACTCTTTATTTCCAATTAACCAGCAATAAAGCCAGAAATAAGAGATGTGGCTCAAATGGTAGAGCAACAGCCAATTAAAGTCCTCAGTTCAAGGCCTATTCCACTCTCCTCCCTATCTTCCTTCCTCACTCCTTCCCTCTCTGTCTCCACTCTTCCTCTCTCTTTCCCTCTCCTACACGTTCCCTCTCTATCTCCCTTTCTCTCCCTCTTACATACACATAAACACACACATTTCATACCTGCCTGGCTCTCATGTGATTGAAGAATCTCACCCTAGTATCCTGCCTTTTAGGAAAATGGATTGTGAAAAAATGAAGCTATCGTTAACTAATTCCTAGGTTGTATGTAATTGTATATAATGGCAGATTTTAAATCTTTTTTCCCCCTGTCTGTTGTGGGGCTTGAACTCTGGGCCTGAGCACTGTCCCTCAGCTCTTCAGCTCAAGGCTATCACTCTACCACTTGCCACAACCCACTTCCAGTTTTCTGAGTGGTTTATTAGAGATGAGTCTCACAGACTTTACCTGCTTGGGCTGGCTTTGAACCGTGATCCTCAGATCTCAGCCTCCTGAGTAGCTAGGATTGCAGGCGTGAGCCACCAACACCCTGCTACAATCTGTTTTCAGCTGGTGAACTACATATTTGTCAGAATGTCTTATGAATGGTGTGAATAGACTAGCATTTGATTCCTATAGACCGTCATTACTTTATTATATGAATTATTTACTATAAATTAGTTTTATCCTTCATGCAACTACATTTCTAGTATCTAATAGTAAATGAAAGACTGCATAATACAGAAAATAATACTAATCCTAATTTTGTTTTTTTGTCTTTTCTGAATTAGTTTCAGATCGGAGAACTGGCAAATACCCTGACAAGTAAATTTGAATTTCTAGGCATTAATAGACAATCCATCTCCAACTTTCATGTGCTGCTCTTACAGACTGAGGTAATTTACCCATCCTTGCTATAACTGTGTTTGAGATTAATTTTTTGTTTTGTGCTAGTACTGTGTCTTGAACTTAAGGTCTTGAGCTCTCAGTTGACTTTTTGGTCATAACTGTTGTTCTATCACTTGAGCCACACTTCCAGTTTTGGCTTGTTGCTGAATAATTGGAAATAGAGTCTCAGACTTTTCTGCCTGGGTTAGCTTTGAGCCTTGGTCCTTAGATTTCTGCTACCTCAGTAGCTAACATAGGATTACAGATAAGAGCTACTGGTATCCTGTTTGAATTAAATTTTGTGTCTCATAAGTGTCTATATTAAGCTGGGGATGTTGGTGCATACCTGTAATCTCAGCATTGGGGAGACAAAGATTTGACAAGCTTATTGGGGGGGGTTGTTAGTTGTGGGGCTTGAACTCTGGCTATGGGTGCTGTCCTCAGCTCTTCAGCTCAAGGCTAGCACTCTTACCACTTGAGCCACAGTGCCAGTTCTGGTTTTTTGGTAGTTCATTAGAGATTAGAGTCTCACAGACTGGGGCTGGGAAGGTGGCTTAGTGGTAGAGTTCTTGCCTTGCATGCATGAGGCCCTGGTTTCAATTCCTCAGCACCACATAAGCAGAAAAAGCTGGAAGTGGGGCTGAAGAGCTGAGGGACAGTGCCCAGGCCCAGAGTTTAAGGGCCACTGGTTCATGGCTTAGATTGATTATTTTTTTTCTTTGCTGGAGATCAATCTAGGATTTACACATGCTAGGAAAAAAACTCTTACTACTATCAAGCTACATTTTCAGGCCAGAACTGAGCTTTCTAATTTTGATTAGCAATAGTGCTGAGTTAAAAGAGCTGTCTTAAGCTAGGTAGGCTAATCACGCCTATAATCTTAGCTGCTCAGAAGTCTTAAGTTCTGAGTATTGAGGCTCAAAGCCAGCCCAGGCAGAAAAGTCTGTGAGACTCTTACCTCCACTAAACTACTACAAAAGCCCGAAGTAGAGCTGCGGCTCCAGTGGTAGAGTGCTACCCTTGAGCAAAAGCAGCTCAGGTCCGACACACACACACACAAAAAACAAAACAACCAGCTAGGGCTAGGAAGGTGGCTTAGTGGTAGATGCCTAGTATACATGAAGCCCTGGGTTAGAATCCTCAGTACCACATAAACAAAAAGTTGAAGTAGCACTGTGGCTCAAATGGTAGAGTGCTAGCCTTGGGCAAAAGAAGCTCAGGGATGGTGCCCAGGCCCTGAGTTCAAGCCCTGGAACTGACAAAAAAAAAAAAGAAAAGGAAAAAAAATACAACCATCTACAGAAGGAAAAAAATGAACTAAAATAAAATCAGTAGGCTAAAATCAGTCATGTCCAAAGCAGAAGACAATCACTGCTACTCATTTTCAGAGACAGTAGAGACATGGCAATATGATATCTAGCCTAATTTTTCATAAGTCTGCATTGTAAACAAGGTTATTTTAGGAACTTTGGTAGGCTTTCTTCTCTTTGGTTTACTTTTCTGCCAGAATACAGCCCTATAGTTTTGGAGTAGAAGAGTCTCCTGATATAACAATAATAAATCTTCTCCATTGATTCTAGACTCGAATTGCAGACTGGCGGGAAGGGGCACTTAATGGAAACTACCTTAAACGAAAACTTCAGGATGCAGCAGAACAACTAAAACAGTATGAAATAAACGCCACTCCTAAAGGCTGGTCCTGCCACTGGGACAGGTACGCACTCTTCTCCCCTTTTCACCTTTCACCTTTGACATCTCAGACATGATTTGTGATCACCACCATCTGACGACATGACAGCCTGTCTGGAGACTGTGAGCAGCTACAGTTAGCGGTGCTGGGCAGGCAAAGCACCACAAGCACAGAGTTTGGCCAGCCACACATTGGAGATACAAAAAGCAATGTTTATGTTCCATGTAACGGATTTTTTTCCAAGATTGGACGAAGCCGGTTTTTACTCTCCAGAGTGTTGCACGGAGTAGGGCGGGCTTGGGGGTTAAGCGCATGCGAGAGCTCTGTGCGCTTTACAGGACCTCTGGAAGCAACTACTCCTGATTAACCTCGGTGAAGTTAAGGAAAACTTCGTGACTGAAGATGTGAATGAAGAACAAGATTACTATCCTCTGCCAGCAGGTCAGATGAAAACATTTCTTTTTATATTTGGCTTTTCTTGATTTTTTTTTTCATTATTTGAAATCTTTGCTCTTTTATTTTTCAGCTCCCAGATCCTCTCCCTCTCTTTAGCTTTCACTGTGTTTGATATCAAGAATATGAAATGTGAATTCCACGGTCCAAGAGGGGAAGAGTCACCTTTCACAAACTTCGTTGTTCTCTTCTTTGGAAGGGAAATTAGTGTTCTAGGCGATTGAATCCCTTCATTAATGAAACTTGGAACCCTGTTATGCATTGGCAAAAAAGCAAAACAGATGTTTTCTAAGTCATGTGTTGGAGAGGAGGGCTCAGGGCTGTATTCACAGAGCTGCTGGCACTGCAAATAGCTTTGAATTATCCTGGGTTCTTCATCCTCAATTGTCAAAGCTCTTTGTTGCCTTTGTGAATAGCAGTCCCTAAGAAGAGGTTCGTCCCTGTGAGAGCAGACTGCTTGTCCTGGGACAGGACCAGATGGAAGTGTCTTTGTAGGAGAATGGATTTTAAAACATGTGTTTTCTTTCTTGTAATTTAGGGATCATAGACGATATTTCTATGTAAACGAACAGTCGGGCGAGTCTCAGTGGGAATTCCCAGATGGTGAGGAGGAGGAAGAAAGCCAAGCTCAAGAAAATAGAGACCAGACTCTTCCTAAATCAGCTTTGAAAGACAAAAGTGGCACTGATTCAAATCCTACAGAATCCTCTGAAAATTCCACAGGTGGGCTAGTTTACTCAGTACTAGTTGGACAACAATGATTTTAGAGAAAAAGACATGGGATTTTTTTTTTTTTTTTTTTTTTTGTCAGTTGTGGGGCTTGAACTCTGGGCTTGGGCACTGTCCCTGTGCTCTTTAGCTCAAGGCGAGCGCTCTACCGCTTGAGCCACAGCGCCACTTCCAGTTTTCTAGTGGTTTATTGGAGATAAGTGTCTCACAGACTTTCCTGCCCAGACTGGTTTTGAACCATGATCCTCAGGTCTCAGCCTCCTGAGTAGCTAGGATTACAGGCATGAGCCACGAGCCCCTGGCTTAGACATGAGATTTTTATATTAGAATACAATTATTTACTTATTTGTGTATTTTTGTTGGTTGTGGGACTTGAACTCAGGACCTGGGCACTGTACCTGATCTCTTTTGCTCAAGGCCAGTGCTCTACAGGTTTTGAGTGGTTAACTGGAGATAGGATTCTCAGGCATTATTCTGTCCATGCTGGCTTTGAACCACAATTCACAGATCTTAGCCTCCTGAGTAACTAGGATTACAGGTGTGAGCCACCAGCACCCAGATCAAAGGCAATTAATTTATATCATTAGGTTAGGTAAGCTACTTTAAAAAGTGTAGCTGGGCACTACACTTTTTTTTTTTTTTTGACCAGTCCTGATGCTTGAACTTGGGGCCTGGGCACTGTCCCTGAGCTGCTTCTGCTTAAGGCTACTGCTCTACCACTTGAGCCAGAGCTCTACTTCCAGCCTTTTCTGAGTAGTTTATTGGAGGTAAGAGTCTCACAGACTTCCCTGCTCAGTCTGGCTTCAAACCACAATCATCAGATCTCACCCTCCTTAGTAGTTATTATAGTCATAAGCCACCTGCACCCGGGTGGCACTACACTTTTTCATGTTTTATGCATCACTGTAAAAATTTTTAAATAGATTATTTACTTAGGCATTCTATCATGTCTTTGAAAAGGCTGTTAATCTCCAAAAACAAGAATGGTAAAGATAAGGGACTAGCCATTTTGAACTGGCAATATCTGTTTGGTGACTTTTTTTTTTTTTACATCATTGTAGAACATTTAGTCTGTTGATATTATAATGTTATCTCTCCATTGTAGTCTTTTAATTATTTTTATTTTATAAAGGTGATGTACCATACAGGTTACAATTACATAAATTTGGTAAAGAGTACATTTCCTTTTGGGGAAACAATGTAATATTGGTACAAATTAAAATGATAGAAGAATACTGTGAAACTTGCACTGATTTCAGAGAAGGGAAATAGTTTATGATTAAAAATAAACAATCCACTGGGCACTGGTGGCTCACACCTATAACACTAGGCTGAAATCTGAGGATTGCTGTTGAAAGCTAGGGTATGAGACTGTTATCTCCAATTACCCGCCAAAACATCATATTCTAGTATAAGCAATTAGATAATAGGGTGAATCATGACATTAAGGTGCCCTTACCCTTAGAGGAATATATGCTTTTTTTTTTTTTTTTTTTTTTAATAGGGCTTTCATAGGTCTTGTTAACTCTCAGAATTTAAATATCTTTTTAGAAGATTTGCTAGTCATTTTGTGAAAGAAGTCTTTTCCAAATTCCAAATTTCTTAGATAAATTTAATGAAGCATGGGCATGACAGTGCTTCGCAACCTTCTGTTCTTAAACTTACAGTAATTTGCATGATGATGCATGATTGAAATCCCAGTACTTGGAAGGCTGAGGCTGAAGAATCAAAAGGTTGAAGCTGTCCTGGGCTACATAGAAAAACCCTGTATAGCTGGGCACTGGTGGTTCACACTTGAAATCCTAGCTACTTGGGAGGCTGAGATCTGAGTTCAAAGCTAGCCCAGGCAGGAAAGTCTTGAGACTTTTTTTTTTTTTTTTAGCTTTTTTAATGTTTGGTTTTTTTTTTTTTTTAATTGTAAAAATAGTGTACAGAAGGGTTACAGTTACCTCCTCCTTTCTCTTTCCCCTACCATCCCTTCCTTCCCCAACTTCCCCCCCTCTAGCACACCCCCCCCCCCCCCCCAAGACTTTGATTTCCAATTAACCACCAGAAAACCAGGAAGTGGCACTGTGGCTTGAGTGGTAGAGCGCTCAGATTGAGCTGAAGAGCTCAGGGACCGCACTGGAGTTTAAACCCCACAACTGAGGTGGCAGGGTGTGGGGCAGGGGTGACGGACGACTCCTGTATAAGACAATAAATACAGCATGGCAATGGTAGCTACCCTAGCTACTCAGGAGGCTAAGATCTATGAATTGTGGTTTGAAGCCAGCATGGACAGAAAAATCCCCATGAGACTCCTATCTCCAGTTAACCAATCAAAACCTGGGAGTAGAGTTGTAGCTCAAAGTGGTAGAGCACTAGCCTTAAGCAAAAGAGCTCAGGGATAGCATCCAGGCTCTGAGCTCAAGCCTCACAACAAACAAGAAAAAATACTTGTTACTCTGGGTCCCAGTAAAATCTGGTAATATAACATGATTTTGTTAACGTCTTTAAATAGCCTGGATAAAATAGCACCTTAAAAGCTCCTTAAAATTTCTTTGATAATTTTAGAAAATAGCAAGAGTAGTTTACTACTTTTGTTTCAAAAGTGTAGTATAATTTCTCAAGTTACAGGATATTTCAACTTAATTTTTCATGCAGACATTTTCTAGAAATGGTGGTATGTCTGATAATAGGTTGGGTTTTTTTTCCCCTCTGCTATTTGCCATTTAACAGATAATGAACTACAGATGATAGTTATGGAAGAGTATTGGTCATGATTCTAAGTAGATTATTCCATTCCTGTCTACTCTTATGTCCTTTGTTCATGTCCTGAAATTGAATACTGTAGTTACTCCTAAGAGTGTACAGACTGTTTTTTTTAAATGCAGATCAAATGCCATTCTTTTCTGATAACAACAAAACAGGATATCTTGAGAGGCCCTGGAACATGATAAACATGATCTAAATAAAATCCAAATCTTACCTGTGTACATAGTAGATCATGCCTTGTAATCCTAGCTACTTCAGAGGCTGAGATCTGAGGATCATGGTTCAAAATCAGCTCAGGCAAGAAAGGCTTTGAAACTGTTTATCTCCATTTAACCACCAGAAAACTGGAAGTGGTGCTTTGGCTCAAAGTGGTAGAGCATTAGCCTTGCACAAAAGAGCTCAGGGATAGTACCCGGGCCCTGAGTTTAAGCCCCACGACTGACAAGAAGAAAAAGAAAATCTAGGTCTTTTACAAGGTCTATGAGATTTTAAAACAGTATCAGTCACTTCAAAACCTACAAAGTCATATAATATGTATATGTTCTTTGTTGACTCAGTAGTAACTAAAGTCACCATTGAGGAAGGAAAATTGGGAGCTAGTGGTATATAGCACAGTGTTAAACCTTGTGCTTAGCATGTATGAGGTCTCTGGTTTATAACCCCCCCAAAACCACAAAAAAGAAAGGAAAAAAAATTACTCCTGGATCAACCTTGACGTTTTGAGATTTCATTTATTTCTTGATTCAGTGTTTAAATTGAGCATCTTACAGTCTCTATAAAGATAAGACAATAATGGATTTTTAGGGGGCTTATATCACAGAGACTAAAACTATTTTTTTCATCTCTGTGGAACTATATTTGTATAATCTCTTTCTTTGAATTATTAAAACTGACCTCTTAAGTAGTCATTTCTCTTGATAGTTAAATAAAGGAAGGCTGCCTATAATAGCACCAAGGCGGGGAAAGTCTTAAATAAAAATAGTATCGGAAGTGGCACTGTGGCTCAAGCGGTAGAGCGCTTGGCTTGAGCTGTAAGAGCTGAGGGACAGCGCCCCGGCTCAGAGTTCAAGCCCCACGACCGACAAAAAAAAAAAAAAATAGTATCACTAATCAGTTCTCTTTAAGCTTGTAGAATTCTAGCATAAGTAAAAGCTCTTTGTGTTCCTTAAATCTCCTTGGACATTAGAATGTTCTTTTACATGGTAAATTTAACCCAACAGGTTAAATTTAGGAATGAAGATTGTAATGGACAATCATATAGGATATTTTTCATCAACTTTGACCTTAAGCTAAAAGAAATCAGTGTTTAAGCTACAGCTTTTGGCCAAGCACTAGTGGTTCACAACTATAATCCTAACCACTGAGAAGGCTGAAGTCTGAGGACAACAATTTGAAGAGTTCTGCCTGTGAGACTCTTATCTTTTTACTCCAGTTGTTCAGCAAAAAGCCTAAAGTGGAGGTGGCTCAGTTTATAGACAAAGTCTAACCTTGGCTAGGAACCCTACTTTATATAATAGTACATCAAAATTACATCTAAATTAAGGTAATAAACATTGAAGATTAATAATTATTTAAGACTAAACTTCCTTCTCCTGGTTCAAGTGGTAGAGCACCAACCTTGAGCAAAAATGCCAAGCAAAAACAAGGCCCTAAGTTCAAGCCACAGTACTGGCTTAAGGCATTTGTATTGTGAATTAACTTAGTTTGGGATCAGGTCTAAAAATGCTCCTTAACATGTGGCCAAATGTATCAAGAGTAGTGTAGTCTCATTGGTTTATACAAGATGTAATTAAGGGATTGGAAGCACAGTTCAGTTGGTAGAGTCTTTGCCCATGAGCGAAAGTTTGAGTCAGTCTTGGACCTAAAAAAATTCAGTTAATTCTGGCTAGTTCTCTGCAGGTTGTGAACTGTGTTACTAACTTTGAATGAACCTCTTGCATTTCCTTGAATTTCTCTGAATAGCGGTGTATTTTCATCATAAATGTATTGGTGTGATAGGATACCTAAGTTGAAAATCCTGTCAGTATTATCTGACATAGTTACTATGGCTAGTTTAGTAGGAGGATGTTTAATCTTTAAATAATTGTTATTAATCTTTGGTGTTTATTATCTTAATTTTGATGTAGTTTTGATGTATTGTTATAAGTAGGGTTCCTTCCCAAGGTCAGAGTTGGTCTATAAACTGATAGATAAATTAATAATACTTATTGCCAAACATAAAACATTAGTCATATGGAGTCTTGTACCTGGAAAACTACATTCGTGTCTTCTAGTAATTCCAGTGCCCTTTTTCTTAGTAGTAAAGGCATATTTCAAAGTAAATATGGAAACAATATGAGTCAACTTCATAAATCTAACTCTGGCCTGGCCTTACAGCTGTGTGATCTAGAGTAAGTCAGTTCCTGCCTGGGTTTCATTACCTTTGAAATGAGGAAGTTAAACTAGATAATTTCTCATGTCTCTTCTACTCCTAAATTCTATGATTTTTAGGGAGAAAAGCCCCTCAACATTGCTGGGATATATATCTAATGTCCCATATATTGTGAAACTTCCCTATTGACGATAAAGAGGGATGGGGAAGGCTACAAGTAAGTATATCCTATTTTCTCTAATCTTTACAAAAGCTTTTCCCAGCAGAGAAATTATAGTAATGGTGCCTTTCACAAAATTGGAGGAAAAAACAAAAAAATGGAGGAAAGCTTATTCTGCAGATTTTGAGTTCCAATTTTTTAAACTTCATCAGTGGTGATTTCAAATCCTTCTCATACTCAAATCCTTCCCTTCCTCCCCCTAAGCTTCTGTCACTCACAAGGTGCTAAGATCTGAGGGTTGATAAGCCATAAAGCCAGCCTCTTTCCTCCTAATTAACCAGCAAAATACTAGACTGGAGGTATGGCTTAAGTGGTAGATTACCAGCCATGAGCAAAAAAGCTAATACAGCCCAAAAGAGGATTTTTAAATTAATATTTTTTGAGTTAGTATTAGGGCTTGGATTTTCAGGGCCTTCCACTTTGGGACGGGCACTGGACCACTTGAGTCACTCTGCTAACCCATCTTCAAATATCTTTTTTTCAAAAATCTCATTTATTTTGAAGACATCTTCTCCTAAATTTTTCCTTTATCATCATAAGAAAAAAATCTGTTACCCTTTTGCCTTCACTTCCAGTTACTGTGATTAGCAAATGAATGTAATTTTCAGATATTTGAAGCTGTGATAAGGTCAACAGGTAGCTCCTTGCAAATGGAATTTTAGAAATAGTAACGTAGATTGTTTGGTGTAGCAACACATTGCAATCCCAGTACTTGAGAAGCATAGGCTGTAGATGGAGTTTGAAACCAACCCTGTGTTACATAGTAAGACACTGACTTAACCTAGTAACCCAGATAGTCAAAATGGGAAGAATTTTTATGGGAATTTTAAATGGATACTATGTCATTCCTACTCACCAAAAAACAAGTAGAATCACTATTACAAATGGATGTGATTCACTTCTGAGACATGAAATGATTCCAGGGAATTGCAAGCTGAATGTTTGAAATAAAGTATTCTTATCTATGGCTGTACTACCCTATCATCAAAAATAGAAATTTCCAAACCACAAATTCAGATGACCAGATTTCCCACTAAGATAAATTGATAGTCTTTGGATCCTTAAATGTGGACCCAAAGAAAAGAGTAGTATTTTAGAGCTGGGAAAAATGCTGTGTGTTATAAATTAAACTCTTCCATGGTGTCATTTTCCAACTAGTTTATTGTTTAAATAGCATCAGTGTGGAGTAGTTGCTATGGGCTAGATTTTTGCTAGTCACTCCTTTTGAAACTACTATTCACGTTGTCTTAAGTTAATACTAATGCTGGTCAATTGACTATTGCTTTGAAGATTACAGTGCTTTTGTGTTGCTTTTCCCCTGACTCCTGTCTGTTTTCATAGGTTCCCTTTGTAAAGAATCCTTTCCTGGTCAAGTTTCCTCTTCATCACTCATGCCACTTACTCCATTCTGGACCCTCCTTCAGTCAAATGTGCCAGTACTTCAACCTCCATTACCCTTGGAAATGCCACCACCTCCACCTCCACCCCCAGAATCCCCTCCTCCCCCACCACCACCCCCACCTCCTCCTGCAGAAGATGGTGAAATCCAGGAGGTAGAAATGGAGGATGAGGGAAGTGAGGAACCTCCTGCCCCAGGAACAGAAGAGGATACTCCTCTGAAACCTTCCACACAAACCACAGTTGTAACTAGCCAGGTAATTAATTCCTGTGGATTTATGAATAGTTATGGTAACTGGAGCTTGACTGGTGGCATTTTACTTTAGAATAATATGTTTAACCAGAGCTATCAGCCTCTGATCACATTGTTTGTCTTTCAGAGTTCAGTTGATTCTGCCATCTCTAGTTCTCCTTCTACTAAAGCAATAAAGAGGAAAGCCTCAGAAATTAGTACTGCAGTGGTTCAAAGATCAGCTACCATTGGTAGTTCTCCAGTGCTCTATAGCCAGTCAGCTCTTACCACAGGTAAGCAAGATTAAAATGGACTTTTTTCTATGTATCATTTGTTTCCAGAACTAGATTGTTTTCTGTTTTAAAGATCATTAAGACTGTTGATAGGGGTTTATTCTGTTATTAAAAATCACTAAGGAAGAAATGTACTCGTTATCTTGCCCATGTAATGGTGACCCCTCTGTACGGTATTTTCACAATTTAAAAAAAAAAATCAATGTTAAGGGGCTGGGAAGGTGGCTCAGTGGTAGAGTGCTTGCCTCGCATGCATGAGGCCCTGAGTTTGATTCCTCAGTATACCACATAAGCAGAAAAGGCTGGAAGTGGCACTATGGCTCCATTGGTAGAGCGCTAGCCTTGAGCTGAAGAGCTAAGGGACAGCACCCAGGCCCAGAGTTCAGGCCCCACAACCAACCAAAAAAAAAAAAATCACTGTTAAAGCAGTTTGGCAAGAGCTAGGTTCTGGTGGCTCATGGCCTGTAATCTCAATCAGAAGGCTGAGATCTGAGTGTCATGGTTCAAAGCTAGCCCAGGCGGGAAAGTCTATGAGAATCTTCTTGCCAGTTAATCACCAGAAAACCAGAAGTGGAGCTGTAGCTCAACAAAACTCAGGGATGACACCAAGGCCCAGAGTTCAAACTTCAGAAAAGTGTGGGGTGGTGAATTTTGGCAAATATCTTTGCAAATTGTTTCCTGTGAATTTACCTTCATGAGTGATTTTGATGCTTAAGTTCCTTAGTATGAAAATATTCAGAAATTAATATTCTGCTTTTAGCAAATATGGTTATATTTTCTATTTTTAGAAAAAGGCATATTGAAAAGATTTTAATTGTTCTAGCCCCCAATTCCTCTGTCCTCCTTCTTGGTTCTGTCCTGTTTTAAAATTTTCCTTTGTTTCCTGTGTTAGGTCACCCTGCCACAGGGATTGGACATCAGGCTACAGGGATTGGATCCCAGGCAATGTCAGTTAGCCATCCAGCTGCAGGAATGAGTCATCAGGCCAGAGGATTGAACCTGCAGTCAAATTACCTTGGACTAGCAGCAGCATCTACAATTATGACCTATGCTGAATGTTCTGTCCCAATTGGAGTAACTACTCCCTCCTTGCAGTCAGTCCAGGCCCGGGGTACTGTGCCAGCCACTGCCATTATAGAACCACCACCTCCTCCTCCTCCTCCTCCCCCTCCAACACCTCCACCACCACCACCAGCTCCCAAAGTGCCACCACCAGAGAAGACAAAAAAAGGAAAGAAAGATAAGGTGAATCTCTTAAGGTGTTTTGTATTTAAAAAGGATTTTGGGGTTTGAGGCGTGACTCAGTTGGTAGAGCACTAGCCAATGAGCAAAAGCATCAGGTACAGAGTTTGAGGCAGGAGGTATGACTCAAGTGGCAGAGTAGCTGTCTAGTAAATGTGAGCTCCTGACTTCAAACCCTAGTACTGCCAAGTAAAGAAAATAATAATACATTTGTATTGTGCACTTACCACCTCTGTTTAATTGTAAGCAAAACAGAAGAATGCCAATTAAGCAGTTACTCCTTTATCCTCTTCTGCATCCCCTGGGAAACACCAATCTACTTTGTGCTTCTAGCTTTACCTGTTCTGCATAGTTCACATAAATGAACTCATTGTTTCTGGCTTCCTTTATTTACTGTTTTCACAGTTCATGCACTTAACTGTATGTCAGTATTTTATTTGGGCAGTTTTGGATTTTGAACTCAAGACCTGCTAGCCCTCAAAATGGGGATACTGAGGTTTGATTGCCCAACTCTTTGATGTACATAGCCAAGTATCCAGCACAGTTATTTGAAGAGACCATACTTTTCTCATTGAACAATTCTGTCATCCTTATCGAAAACCAGTTGACCAGAAATGTTTGGGTTTGTTTCTAGACTTTGGATTTTATTCCATTGACCTACATGCTGATCCTTGTTAATACTACTGTTTGGATTCTGTAGTTGGTTTTTTTGTTTGTTTGTGTGTTTCAGTCGGGTTTGAACTCTACCTGGGCACTGTCCCTGAGCTCTTCAGCTCAAGCCTAGTGCTCTACCACTTGAGCCACAGTGCCACTTCTGGCTTTTTCTGTTTATATGGTGCTAAGGAATCAAAACCAGGGCTTCATGCATGCGAGGCAAGCATTCTACCACTGAGTCACCTTCCCAGCCCTAAACTTTAAAATTTTGAGCAAAGTGAAAACCTCTCACTGAAACTGCAAACCTTGTCCCTTATACCTATGTTCATGAAAATGTTTCAGGTTTCCAAGCCAAATATAGAGCATTTTGTCTGTAACGGCTTCCATTTCAAGAATATGACTACTCTAAGCTGGGCACTGAGATGGTTCATGCCTGTAATTCTAGTCACTCAGGATGCTGAGATCACAGGATCACAGTTCAAAGCCAGCCCAGGCAAGAAAGTCTTTGAGATTCTTATCTCCAATTAATCACCTGAAAACCGGAAGTGGTACTGTGGCTGAAAGCAGCAGAGTGCTAGCCTTGCACAAAACAACTCAGGGACAGTGCCTAGGCCCCAAGTTCAAGCCCCATGACTGACAGAAAAATAAACAACTTTTCAGTATGTTAGGCAAAAACAATGATTCACACCTTTAATCTCAGCACTTAGAAGGCTAAGGGAGTAGTTTAGATTTTGAGGCAACTCTAGGCTATATAATAAAACCCTATGTAAAACAAAATCGGTTTTTCCATTTAAAGTCAGACAAAGGTCTTATCTCCAAGGTGGAGGGCCCTATTCCTATTTTATATATTAAGATTTCTTCTGACTTTAACTTCTGTTATAGACAAAGAAGAGTAAAACAAAAATGCCATCTTTGGTAAAGAAGTGGCAGAGCATCCAGCGTGAGTTGGATGAAGAAGAAAACTCAAGTTCTAGTGAAGAGGATCGGGAATCTACTGCACAGAAGCGAATTGAAGAGTGGAAACAGCAGCAGCTGGTCAGGTAAAAGCCAGCCCATTACAAGCTTGTAGTGGTAGTTGTCATCTTAGAGCAGTCATATTCTTTTTTTTCCTTTTTTTTTTTTTTGGTCAGTCATGGGGCTTGAACTCTGGGCCTAGGTGCTGTCCCTCAGCTCTTCAGCTCAAGGCTAGTGTTCTACCACTGGAGCCACAATACCACTTCCAGTTTTCTGGTGGGTAATTGGAGATAAGAGTCTCAAGGAGCCGGGCGCGCCGGTGGCTCACGCCTATAATCCTAGCTACTGAGGAGGCTGAGATCTGAGGATCACAGTTCAAAGCCAGCCCAGGCAGGAAAGTCCATGAAACTCTTACCTCCAATAAACCACCAGAAAACCAGAAGTGGCGCTGTGGCTCAAGCAATAGAATGCTCTCCTTGAGCTGAAGAGTGCAGGGACAGCGCCCAAGCCCAAAGTTCAAAGCCCACGACCAACCAAAAAAGAAAAGAAAAGAATCTCAAGGACTTTCCTGCCCAGGCTGGCTTTGAACCACAATCCTCAGATCTCAGCCTCCTGAATAGCTAGGATTACAGGTTTAAGCCATGTGTCACTGAGTAAGAGCAGGCATATTCTTGAAATGGCAGTCCATAACAGACAAAATGCTCTATACTTGGCTTAGAAACCTGAAACATTTTCATGAACATAAGTATAATAGACAAGGTTTGCAGCTTCAATTAGTTTAATTTGTTCAAAATTTTAAAGTTTGGTTCTTTTCCTTCTAGTAAAGTAATATATATATATTGTTTTTGCAGTGGCATGGCAGAAAGGAATGCTAACTTTGAAGCCCTCCCTGAGGACTGGCGAGCAAGACTGAAAAGGAGGAAAATGGCTCCAAACACATAGTGGTTTTATTTTGTATTTTTTTTAATTTAGTTTTGTGTTGTCTTAACAAGTTTTACTGTTGTCAAATAAATTATAAGTGTTACTGAGGAGAGCCTTTCTTGGGCCAGGAGCATATGTTCACAAAGTTGTCCATTCATGAAATGTAATTTTTCTGTTTGCTGAAGGTAAGGTGATTAGAATTGCTCTAACGTGGCTACTTTTATTCTCACAGGCAGTCTTAACATGTTAGTATCAATCTTGAATATGTAGCTTGTGAGCATGGCATTTCAGTAGGGGACTTGACAAAAAGTGAAGGATTTTCCTGCCTATTAGATCTTAATTGAATTCCCATTTGACACACTTCATTAACTTCCACTCCAGAACAAGTTCAATTAAGAAGGCAACTTTTTATTCTACTCTGCTTGGATCTCTCTTTGACCTCTTTAGTCTGCCCAGAGATGTTGAGGTCTGTCTGATGGCCAACCTTAGAAGTAAATCTTTTCTCATAAGTTCCAGGATTTGACACACTAGGTAGCATATTTAAATTTTAAGTACAGGCAGGAATAGCAGCCATGGGCGTTCATAGCTTTATTTTGAAATTTTTCCCTTGTGAAAAATATGTGGCAGTGTAACAGTAGCCGCTCCATGTATTATGTTTCCATTGTTCTTGCATATTCTAAAATTTACCTTCCTTCTGTGTGTGAATGTATTTTCCATAAAATTCCAGTATTTAGAAAATAGTTCATTGTCTGTACTATCACAATCAGGTAAAGTCACTTTAAACTGAAGAAAAGCAAATTTGTGTTCAAAGCTATTTGTATTTCTCCAGTTTCTGACCTTGTAAATATGTATATATGCACTAATAAAAGTCTTTTTATACTCCTGATTGGTTATCCTGTTCCTCGTTAAACTGTTATTCCACAATTATGTAACCAGGACTTATTTTAGTCAATTCTTAATTGCTGTTTTCTATTCAAATGTGGTGCAAGGTATGCACAAACTGAACAAACATTCATGAAGAAGCTAGCAGTATCTTGGGGTGGGGGGGATGTAGAAAAATAGGCCTCTAGCACCAGATGGTGCTCAGTTTCTGGAGCTTATACCCTATTTATAAAATTTGACCTACTTAAGTCCTGGAAATGATGTAATGTGGTTAACATTCTGAAAAATATAAAGGTGCTTTAAAGGCTTTTTTCTTCTTACATATACAACGGTGATTATAAAAGTAATGTATACTTAATAGTTGTATATAATTGACCAAAGACATTAGTTTAAATCTTATATCCATATATTCCTATGCATATAATTAAATTTTTTTAACCTGGTCATTGTCATGTATGATAGTGTGTTGAATTTTTGTTTACCATAGTGAATATTGGGATACCTGTTTTGTATATAAAATTCTTTTGTTACTTGCTTAGAGTAAATTTATGCAAATAAATAAGGTTATCAACTAGCAAAGCTTTTGTCCTAACTGACTGGGGAGTTTTCCAGACTGGGATGTATCTGACTAGGCTACTTATTAAGTAAAAGTGAAAGAGGCTAATGAGTAAACTACAGCCCAAAAGCTGGGGGCGCAGAGGCTCTTGCCCGTGTGTAGGTACTCCTGTAGATGGGTTCTGGGGATCACATTCCAAGTTAGCTCCAGAGGACACGGCTTCCAAAAATCCCACAGGTATTGGTGTGGCTCAAGTGGTTAGGGTCATGCCTTGGACACACAGCCAAGCGGGAACCCAAGGCCCAGAGTTCTAGCCTGGGTAGCGGCATACACAAGCTGACCAGGCAGTGAGCCACTTGGAAGATCCGATGAAGACTCCCAACACTATGCCCCGATGAGTGGGGTAGTGCTTGCCATAAGAGCAAACTAACTTCCGACGCCTGACCCAGCTGCGGGGGGCGGGGCTTGGCTGTTGGGCAGCCCCGCCCCCCTGCTTCCGGCTCCTGGTTGCCAGGAAACCCAGGCCGGCACCCAAAGCGGTGTAGGTGAGTTGGACTGGCAGGGTTCACGTCCGGTACCCCGCGGGCCTTCCACCTCGCCCGGCGACACTCTCCTCCCCCGCATCCCCGCCCCCGCTTGCGTCCCGCCAGGCCCTGCGGGCTCAGAACTTCATTCCGTTGCAGGGCCTACCTGGTCCCCTGACATCTTCAGCGTCTTGGAGGCCGCCCACCCCCATTTCCTTCCCGCGGCGAGAGCGAAGCATGGGGCCAGCCAGGGGCCTGGCGCCTGGGGAAGGCTGGGCGGGAAGACCGGCCGCGCCCTCTGACCCCTCAGGTATGCCCCCCACACCCCCCACCCCGCCCCGGGCTGCATGCTGGGAACCACCGTGTGGGCCCCCCTCCTCCGGGGTGCTCGAATGGGTGGACAGGATTGCCCCAGGTGGACGGGGAGGTGCGGGAAGAGGGGCACCGGCAGGGCTTCACACTTGCTCCGTGATTGACTTACAGCTTCTCGCATGTGAGCAGCTGCCCTGGTGGAAACTAGGCAGCCTAGCCTAGGTGCGGTGACTCCAGACGGCCCTCCGCGTATCATGCAGCAGGAACATGTTCCCAGCATTGGAAACTGACCTAAAGCAGGAGGTGGGTACACACTCACCCCAGAACTCCACAGAAACCCAGTTCCCCTTGGAGACCCTGGTCCCTGAGATGGGATCGTTCACAGGGATCTCAGTCCGTTTGTTTACAGAAGGCCTCCAGTACACTGTCACATACGACTTAGCTCGGCACTTTTTGTTAAGAATTCAGCTTTGGGGCTTGGAAAGTGGCTGAGTGGTAGAGTGCTTGCCTTGCATGCATGAGGCCCTGGGTTCGATTCCTCAGCACCACATAAGCAGAAAAAGCCAGAAGTGGCGCTGTGGCTCAAGTGGTAGAGCGCTAACCTTGAGCTGAAGAACTGAGGGACAGCGCCCAGGCCCAGAGTTCAAGCCCTACAACCAACTCCCCCACACAAAAAAAACCAAAATATTCAGCATCCTTTGAAAGGACTTTTGTGATTAAGATGAACTTTTCTTTCACAGACTCATCCTGATCCCTATGAGGACTTCATGCACCATCACCTCCAATATTATGGCTATTTTAAAGGTAAGAGCTCATTCAATTTTCTTTATTTTTTTCCCTTTCATTCTTGTTTTTGTGCCGTACTGGGCTTGCACTCAAGGCTTCTTGCTCACTTGGCTTTTCACTTTACCACTTGAGCCACACCTCTGCTTCCAGTTTGTGTGTTTTTGGGGGGGAGGGGGGTTGCTAGTTAATTGGAGACAAGAGTCTTCCAGATTTGCCTACTGGGCTGACTTAGTCACCTCAGATTTCAGCCTAGTAGCTAGGATTACAGAGAGGAGCCACTGATGCCTAGCACCATGTCTTAATTACTATTTGACATTAAAATAGCTTTTAGTTTGTTTCTTTTTGAGGACAAGTTCTTGCTATATAGCAGGCTGGCCTCAAACTCAAGATCCTCCTGCCTCCCAAGCGCTGGATTACAGGGGTGCCACCATGCTTGACTTAATTTTTTATTTAAAAAATTATTGGACCCCCTTGTGCAGTCTTTTACTTTTCTTTTGTCAGACCTGTGACTTGAACTCAGGGCCTGGGCACTGTCCCTGAGCTTCTTTTGCCCAATACTAGCACTGTTACCACTTGAGCCACAGAGCCACTTCTGGCTTTTTCTTTTATGTGGTACTAAGGAATTGAACCCAGGGCTTTCATGCATGCTAGGCAAAGCACTCTACCACTAAGCCACCTTACCAGCCTCATGCAGTCTTTCCAAGTTAGAAAATTAAAAAAAAAAAAAACTATTGGGATTGCACTGGATCTGTAAATCAAATTTCAAAAAAAATGATACTGGCCGGGCGCTGGTGGCTCACACCTGTAATCCTAGCTACTCAGGAGGCTGAGATCTGAGGATCTCGGTTCAAAGCCAGCCCGGGCAGGAGAGACCATGAGACTCCTATCTCCAATAAACCACCAGAAAACCGGAAGTGGCGCTGTAGCTCAAGTGGTAGAGTGCTCGCCTTGAGCTGAAGAGCTGAGGGACAGCGCCCAGGCCCAGAGTTCAAGCCCCACGACTGACAAAAAAAAAATGATATTGTTTTTATTGAGTCATTTATAGCGTAGTCTCCATTTACATAAGCCTTCTTTAATGTCTCTTAATAAAAGTTTAGTTTTATTTCATAGTACTTTATATTTTTTAACATAAAAAATTGATTTTCTAATTTTATACTGATTACAGAAATTAGACTGAGGGTTTGTTTGGTGGTGGTGGTATGTGTGTGTGTGTGTGTCTGTGTCTGTGTGTCTGTGTGTGTGTTTTAAAACAGGCCTCATTCTTTCTGTGGTTCAGGATGTCCTGGAACTTGCTATATACTCCTATCTGGCCTTAAGTTCAGGATCCTCCTGCCTTTATTTGTCTTTATTTAGTTCTAGTAATCAAGACAGGGCCCGTGCATGCTAGGCAAGCCCTCTATCATTACGGTACAACCCCAGCCCTTGGCCTTGTGAGACAGGATCTTGCTATGTAATTCAAGTCAGCCTCAAACTCAAGATCCTGCTGCTTCCACCTCCTGGTTACCATCCTGCCCAATTTAGAATTAATTTTATTTTCAGTAACCTTGTTCAACATTCTTATTATTTCATTTTCTATAATTCATTGAAAACTATTTTCAGTTGGCCAGAATCAGCAAGTACCCCCAAGACAAAATGGATTCTGCCATCAGTACAGTACTTCTGTTCTGATACCTGCTTTCATTTCGGGTTGGCTCCCATAGCAGCTCTTACAGCCATTGGTTCTTTCTGCCTTCCAAGCCCTTTTTCATTTTACTATGTCATTCTGCTTCTCAGGTCAAAGCCAAGGATTGTTGTATATGCCTACAATATCAGCATTTAGGAGATTAAAGGCAGGAGGATCCCACATTTGAAACTAACCTAGGGAAAGTCAGTGAGACCTCACCTCTGAATGAATGAATGAATGAATGAATGAATGGAAAATTATTGAGCTGAGGATATGGTTCATGTGATAGAATTCTTGAACCCTCATTGGATTCCCAGTTCATCAAAGAAAACTCAAAAATTAAAAAAAAGCATCATTGGGCTGGGAAGGTGGCTCAGTGGTAGAGCGCTTGCCTTGCATGCTGGAGGCCCTGGGTTCAATTCCTCAGCACCACATAAGCAAAAAGAAAAAAGCCGGAAGTGGCGCTGTGGCTCAAGTGGTAGAGCGCTAGCCTTGAGCTGAAGAGCTGAGGGACAGCGCCCAGGCTCAGAGTTCAGGCCCCACAAATGGACCCAAAAAAAAAAAAGAGAGAGAGAGAGAGACTTAGATCTGAGGATCAAGGTTCAAAGCCAGCCTGAGCTGAAAGATCTGAGAGACTCTTATCTCCAACAAAAATCCAGAAGTGGAAGTGTAGCTCAAGTGATAGAGCACCAGCACTGAGGGAAAAAGTCAAGAAGAACACAAGGCACTTAGTTCAAGCCCCAGTACCAACAAAAAAAAAAAAAAAAAGAAGGAAGGAAGGAAGGATTGAGAATGTACTCAAATGGTAGAGCCCAAATGTGAAGGCTGGGATCAAAGCCTAGTACTGCTGGGCTGGGAAGGTGGCTCAGTGGTAGAGTGCTTGCCTTGCATGCATGAAGCCCTGGGTTCGATTCCTCAGCACCACATAAGCAGAAAAAGCTGGAAGTGGCGCTGTGGCTCAAGTGGTAGAGCACTAGCCTTGAGCTGAAGAGCTGAGGGGCAGTGTCCAGGCCCAGGGTTCAGGCCCCACGACTGGCAAAAAAAAAAAAAGAAAAAACAAAAACAAAGCCTAGTACTGCTGAAATAATTAGAAACGAGGATTAGCCTAGCATGTATGAACCTGGATTACATAATGAATTCATGGCCTCAGAAAAGACTGACAGACAGAGATGGGGGGAGGGGGAGAGAAAGAGGATTGGAGGAGGAAGAAAAAGTAGAGGAGGGAAAGGAAGTATTGAGAGAGGGAGAGAGGAAAGGAAAAGAAGAGGGAAAAAGAGAGAATTGAGATATGTTCTAAAAGCACTTGAACTTGTGGTTTTCAGGTGGTTAATTGGAGATAAGAGTCTCACGGACATTTTTGCTCCAGCTGGCTTTGAACTGAGATCCTCAGATCTCAGCCTCCTGAGTAGCTAGGATTACAAGGAGTGAGCCACCAGCACCCGGCTCAGTTGTAGTTTTTGTACTGATGGTTTTGGTATTAAACCTTGATGTTGGACAGCAGCACCCAGGCCCAGAGTTCAAGTCCCACAACCGACAAAAAAAAAAAAACCTTGATGTTAGGGCTGAGAATATGGCTTAGTAGTAGAGTGCTTGTGTAGCATGCATGAAGCCCTAGGTTCAATTCCTCAGTACCACATAAACAGAAAAGCCAAGACTGGCCAAAACAAAACAAAGCAAAAAACCCTTGATGTTAGAGATAATGAGTCACTGTGTCAGCAGCTTTAATTAAACCGTTTCT